AAAAACTTTAAATCTTCAATATCTTCGAAACTACTAATTTTCGGACAGGGTATAACTTGACTTAATTTGCTTCAAATTAGGTCTACTTTCAACCCTTAAAAGGAATGTATCGAGTTACCAATCACCCTGTATGAATAAAATTAAGTCCCCGCGGCAAGATGCCGAAGATACTGACAGCGTTCCCCCCTCTGTATATAGCCATACAGGCTTGGGTTTCCCAGACAGTCTATTAATATTTTGGATAAAATTTTGTATAGATGAAGGGCACTGGGATCTCACGGTTCAAGGGTTTCGACTCCAAAGGCTGTAAATAGGTAGTCGGAGCCGAGGTCCTGGTATTTATTACTTTTTGTTCTTTCCGCCAGCTTAGGCTGCTGGTGTGCTGGAGATGGTATGGGGCAAGTGTATCGACACACGTGGCGTCCCACACCAATGGATGGATGAGTAATGCTCCTCAACTTTGAAAGTAGTTAGCGATTTATTTCCTGAACAGTCATCAGAACAGGAATCCGTTCCAAAGTTTCTTCACATGAACAGTGATGGAGTGAGAATATAAACGAATCTGAAGAATGAAAAAGATAATCGGGACCGAGACACAGGGCTATTCAAAATATTGTAAACAATAGAGATAATATCGCCTCCTTACTTTCTCAAACTCGTATCATAAAGCACAAAGTTACTGATATATAAAAAATGGATTGTATATACAAATTTTGCACGCTCATTTCCTTCATATTTACACTCTGGCTTTTTACCTATTCTTAAAGTAATGCATCCAAATTAACACCCTTGATAAGAAATTTAAAATAAATAGAAAGTTTTGCCATCTCCTGAATAGTCACTCTTTATAAGATACGGGTTTGAGAAAGTAAGGCATCGATAAGCAAAGTCCTGCGGAGACAAATGAGAAGCCACTTGAGCTGACTGAGGTTTAATGTGAGATTCGGCCATATTTACAAACCAGATACTATTTATTATAAATATTATATTTTAAATTGTAATGTTGTGACATTGATAGAAGTAAATTATTTGATTTTAATCAGTTATGCCAAATTGAGATTCGCATGACAATTTTCTTTGTCTCATAAATACTTTTAAGCGGTCGTTAACAGATCTTCACGTATAATCGGCTTAGCGACAGTTACATCTAATAATTCTTCCTTCATCTTCAATCCACTGCAATGCTGTTGACAGAACGCCATAATCCTGTTGCATGCTTCTGTGAGAATGTTTTCAGGGACCGTCAGCACTATGCGCATGAAGTTTGGGTAACCAAAGCACTGGAAGGTAAATACTTGGTGGAGTACCGTACTTTGATGACAAGCAGCTTTGATACCAATTAGGGAGTATTTATATAAACATCAAAAGGGTGGCACAATCGTATTTCACATTATAACAATTATCATATACAGAGTGTTTTTTTTAAAGAAAATACAAGGAAACTGATTTACGAACCATCAAGACTTTTTTTGTGAAAACAATTTTGGGATAGTCAATTGGTATTTTAGCATAAAACGATCATTATCGGACTAGTTTTCACTACCTAATGTCCGTGGCAATATTGATTATGATTTATTATTTAAGTATTTCGCAGATGTGGCCTTATTACCCCAAGGTTGCAATGTAATTATCGCTAGTTGCCGATTTTTTAACACCACAGCCACACTTTTTATTATTTACCCGACATATTGGCGTGGTTAATAATAAGAAGTCATGCCGTGATCAGCAACATGAAATAATTGCGTAGTAAATAACGATGAAGCTTAAAATTAAAAGTTTAGGCAACCCTATCTCGCGAGTATTATGGACATAAACATAGACAACCATACATAACACCCAAACTCACAAAAGAAGCAGTAGCAGTGATAACAGTAGAGCACCTTGTGAAAGAGTTTTTCCAAAAAAGGTACTGTCACCTTACCTATTTCTGCCGCCAAGCAGTAATGTCAGCATTACTGTGTTCCGGTTTTGAAGGATAACGGTGCTGGTGAAATTACAGGCACATGGGACTTGTCAACTTATGTCTCAGGGTGATGGGCGTAGTGGTAGTGCCCCTCAGATCTTTGCGATTTAAATCTCTGAGTGACACTGCTATTGTTACGGACAAACAAGTAGCTTACCATCAGGTGCACAACTTGTTCGTCCCGTCACTTGACATTCTAAAAAAAATGTAGGCCGTACAAATATTTCTCCCTGGACCTCTGCGTGGCAGACCAGCATAGTAACCTTTCAGCCAAGGAGGCAGTTTAATAAATATAATTTCGAATGTTTTATGTTACTTAATCTAGTACCAATAACAATTGGTTATGTTTTAAAATAAGAAAATAAACTGCGGCAGGCTTAAAATCGGCTTGAGAGTTCATACCATATCAGCACCGGTGGTATGAATGCCATTCGGCGTGTCACGTAGCCTGCTAGACTGATCAATGTCTTTTCTTTTTAACCGACTGCAAAAAAAGGAGGAGGTCCTCAATTCGACTGTATGTTTTTTTTGTACGTATGTTACGCGATAACTCCGGTTTTTGTGAACCAATTTTCATGATTCTTTTTTTGTTGGAAAGAGGGTACTTCCATAGTGGTCCCATTTAATTTTAAAGAAAATCATCCACCTCTAAGGGTGGCTGTTCACGCATGAAGATTCATTTTTATAAATAGCGCCTAAATTTTAGTATAATGAGCAATTATTTGAATGGTTGATTTTGCTATTCTTTAATTCAAGGCGTTTTTCTCTCAATAATCTTTAAATAGTGAAAGTGTCAAGACCCGTATAGTGGCAAATTAGGGGATGAATCCGGATTTACGCATTTTCCGGTAGCCGATTTCAATGAAACTTAGTAATTATATGTAATTCCACGTACTTTTGAGGTCGGTTTTTTTTAGTACTCTGTACTGAAATTATTATAACACAAAATACTAATTCATACCTATTTCATCTTACCTGACCCGGTAGACAAAGAACAGCTTCTTCCATCAACAATCGCTCAACGAATTGGACATCATCCTTGAAGCTTGGGAACAATGAAATCTGTATCTCAATCATCATGTACATCACGCCTTGCGGTGTAATCGGGCGTAGGCCGGGACATAGACATAGTTGTTTGCATGCGAAATTCGCTTGAGTCTGGATTTGAAAGAAAAAACCATGAATATAGTAGACATTCTTAAGACTTTACTTTAACTGTAAAATAAAAATAAAAAATAAAAAAATAGACTTATCGTACAATTTTTGTTGTAATGATTCCCAAACTGTACGAAAACGATATTGTACATAGCATAATGACCTTTATGGTCAATTGTGCTCATGCTCGACAATGCTTGCGCATTACGCTGAAGATTTTGGCTCGTATCTAGTTTGTACGTTACACAATTGACCACAAAGTTTATTATGTTTTGTACCATATCGTTATAAAAATTCTCTTCCATTTCGTCCCGCCGCAATTTAAATTGAGCCTAAAGGGACACAATAGCGTCTACGGTTTTTAGCCCAGTTTTCAAGCACATATTTTATTTATATACGTTACTTAGTAATTAGGTTCTTAGTAATTACTAAGTAACATATAAGTAAGTCATTCGAAACGAAAGAGCAATCATCTAATGCAAAGAAGATGCACACGCTTTGAAAAGGTTCACAACAAATAACAATTTATATCGACACATGTACACTCCACAGCACGCTAGGCATAGAGTCAGTCTTACCTCCACAAACTTCATCATATCCCAAAAATATCCCTGTGGACTCTCCAGTATTGCCGGCAAAGCTCGTTGTATCAACACGCATGGTCCCAAAAGCCTACTAGCTACGTTACATAGACCTTTCCGAATGTCATCACCAAGGATATTGTTCCTGTCATGGATTATAAGCCAGCCTAGCCTCCATCCAGGGACTAAAAACCGCTTAGTAATGCCACTACACGTGATAATAGGCACATCAACAGATAAAGACGAGAGCGTGGTAAACTTATGGCCAGAAAACGTGAAATCTTCGTAAATTTCATCCGCCAAGACTGGTACGCGATTCCTCGATGCAATTTGTAATATATCTCTGAGGTGCTCTGCTTTGTAAACAGAGCCACAAGGGTTCGAAGGGTTGATGACCACTATCAGAGCCGTAGCTTCGTCTATTTTATTTTCTAAATCTTCTAAATCGATTTCCCAATTTTGGTCGGGCTACAAAAAACAAACAAGGATTTATTACATGTAATAAATATTCAATTAATTTATATGTAACACGAAGTAACACGAAGACGGACAATAACAAATTATGACGTAGAAAAACAAATGTAAAAATAAGAGTAAATTATAAACCATAAATTATTACGGAAAATGAAGGAAAAATTATACTCATTACATAAATTAACAGACTCTGTCGGTGAGTTGCGTCATCTCAAAGCTATGATTTGAACACACCGAGTGCCACACGAGCAATGCGGTGACGCAACGTAGCGCCGTTACACGGCCGCTACCGCAGCACCCAACTCCGTTTTATCTCCTGACCCTTAGCCCGATGTCCACGCGTTCAACGCCTCGCACCGTTTTAAGGTAACACTCCGATATCGGCGACCGCGTCGAGCGACTTGTGGGCGTTGGCGTGAGCTTCCGTGGCGCGGTCCGTGAATGCCGCGCATTGTGAGAAACCGCCTTTGCGCGTTTGGTAGGAATAAGAAATCGAAAGGCACCGATTATTCGAGACAACAATAACTCTAAATAACAATCTTATCGATTGCCCCGAGCTTCTACCTAAGACCCCCTTAATCTTCATAATGATACAAAGATGCATAATATTTTTTCCTCTTATTAATTACAGACAAAAATTGTTTATAAGCAATAATTTTAACAAAGTTTCAACACATTTTAATTTTGATGTATTCTTGTTTTATAATCTGGGTATTCAACACTAAGCTATACACAATACTACATGTTGTGTAGCAAAACCTAAACTAGAATTTCTCCAAATCCCCAGTAATGAACACCAAAAATCCACTAATTAGCTAACCAGTATTCGACACTCACCAATAATGGTAACACTCAGTAATTGACCTGACCAATAAAAGACGTATTACTATGACTGAAAATTTTCTCCTAAAACAGATGTCGAACACAGGAGGTCTACTCTCGATCTCTGTCCGACATCCGTCCGAAACAATTACTGCCAAATAAGCACTACTTGACCAAATGAAAAGACGCGTGATGCGAATGAAGCTTCATACTTGATACTTGTCTTTTAATTTTGTGGAATATTACTTACTTCACAGTAATTGTTTCGGACGGATGTCGGACGGAAATCGAGAATAGACCCCCAGGTACGGTCGGTCACTTGGCACCACCAAATTTAGATGTTTACAGTAAATCCCAAATCTGTGGCCTACAAAAATATACCTAATAAAAAATGTATATAAACTATACCTAATAATAAAATAATAAACCTTGGTGGGGAATTTTATCCAATAATCCCCATTGCATAGCAAGTAAGTGGGGCGCACTATAACTTTCCGGAATGATTAAGAAAAAAATACTATAAATGTCAATGTCAGAAATGAATTTATTGTTTCTCAAAATATTCTCCGTTAGCGTTAATGCACTTTTTCATACGAACGAACCAATTTTGAAAATATTTATGCCACTCCTCCGTAACAATCTCTGAAACATATTTTTCATACTCTTCGACAGCCTCTTCAGGTGATGAAAATCGTTGGCCGCGTAACTGGTTCTTAATTTTTGGAAATAAATAAAAGTCACAAGGTGTCAGGTCGGGATTGTAGGTACGCGGAATAACTCATAAGGTCAACGTTGTTCACCTTCAAAAACTCATTTGTATGTCTGGCCGTGTGAGACCTAGCATTGTCGTGGTGCAAGATGATACGGCGTTTACTGTTATTTTTAAAGAGTTTGTCAATAACTTCCAGCAAACGAATGGTCGTGTACCAATCACTATTCACGGTACAACGAATCTCCAAAGCAACAGCAGCCACGTGTCCAGTTTTGTTAAAATAAGAAGCAATCATCCGCTTAGAGGCACTTTGCACGCGCGCCACTTTGGTTGGTTTCGGCTCATCTCGAAAGACCATTACGCTCAATTACTGCTTTGTTTTGGGATGTAACTATAAATCCATGTTTCGTCACCTGTTACTATGACCCACACCAAATTTGACGCCCCTACGTTGAATCTGGTAGGCATGGCATTGCACCAAGAGACGCGATCCGGTTTTTGAGCCTCAGTCAAATTGTGTGGGATCGAGAGCACAGCTTTTTCACACCCAAATGTTTGTGTAGTACTGATTGTATTTGACTCATCCCTATGCCTAAAGATGCCCGAATCGCATGGCATGGTACATGCCTACCTGTTTTGATCATACGGCGCACAGCATCGATGTTTTTGTTGTTCACAGCATTGGACGGGCGACCATCACGAAATTTGTCACTGAGATTCATACGACTGCGTTTGAATTCTGCAAACCAGCTTAAATAGTCGTCTTTCATGGTGCTTCATCGCCAAAAGCAGTTTAAGCCGAGCAAAGCTCCGCTGAGCTGTTAAATTACACTTAAAGTCGTAGAAAATCATACTACGAAAATTTTCACGAGTTAAATCCATGGTGGTGTAGACAACGAATTTCTAAAATGACGCAACAATGTAAAAAAAACCGACCTCAAAAGTACGTGGATTTACGTCTATTTGCTAAGTTTTATTGAAATATCCTTAAATTCGCCACTATACAGGACTTGACACGAGATAATAAAAATCGGTTCTCACTACTCAAAGTGTATGGAGAGAAAAATGCCTTGAATTGGAGAAATAGCAAAATCAACCATTAAAATAATTGCTCCTTAGTAAAATTTAGGCGCTATTTATAAAAATGGATCTTCATGCGTGAACAGCCACCCTTAGAGGTGGATGATTTTCTTCAAAATGAAATGGGACCTCTATGGAAGTACCCCTTTTCCAACAAAAAATCGGTCTCATGAAATCATGAAAATCGGTTCACAAATACCAGAGTTATCGTGTAACATACATACAAAAAAACATACAGTCGAATTGAGAACCTCCTCATTTTTTGAAGTTGGTTAAAACCAGTGACAGTTAGATGAAACAAACTGTATTCTACAGCCAAAGAGTTCTATTTTCAAATGTCGTAATTACTTTTTAAATATTGTTTATGTAAGTGGCCAGTTCCGGAAATTTATAGTGCGGCCTATGTACTACGTTAGTAGGGATTTGTGGATTCAAATTTAATATTATGTATCCCCACGTTCGCGGAGTGGCAAATTAATTTGCTTCCATTTTTATTAACATAGATTTCCGCAAAGTAACGCCTGAATCTCATAATTATTTCATTTCATTTCTATCAGTAGGAAACTGTTTGATTACTATTGTTAATTTAATAAACTGTTTGTGGGTTCTAAGACAAAATCAAGAAACTTACAAGTAGATTGTAAAATTTCAGTTCTATTCCCAAACCTTCTGCAGCGGTTTTGTAAACCGTATGTCCTGGTCTTGGCACCAATATATTTTGGCCTGAGTTCGCCAACGTTGTTATCACGAGGTCAATGGCATGAGTACATCCGCTACATAGTATCACGTCTTCGGGTTTAACTTTCCCCTGACGCCTACTGTATTCTGCCACAGCTTTTCTTGCTTCGTAAAAACCAATGACTGGTCCATAATTCGGGCTGGAAGGATGATCAAGACTATCTCGGATAGCTTGTAGTACTGATTCTGGAGGTTGAAAATTGCCAAAAGCTGTTGGATCACCTGAGGGAAATGGTATAATCAATTAAAACTGATTTCGTAATAATGTATCAGCCTCTGGTTAATCACCAAGAGCGTCTGACGATGTCGGTAATCCAGGTGTTAGAACTCTGATCACTACATGCCATAATCCAGGTTTGATTGTGAAATCACATTCGGAATTTTCATATTTTTTTAAATTTTCTAGTCTGGGTATTCTGACTATTTCTGGGTGATAAAAAACCATTATATATTTTATAGGAGCTTGCACAGTTGTAAAAGAAATACATCTTGTCTTTTAATAAAATATAAGTTTGACGTGTTAAAATTGTCCGCAAAATATTGAATAATATTAACGACGAGAATTAACTAATAGTAAAGTTTTTCGTCCTAAGGCGTTTAAGCCTTACTGCCAGATGTCAGGTTTAAATTATTCTTCAATATTCATTTATATGTTGCGGGTTGAATTCTGTGGCTCTAGTGAAAAGGGGTACAAGTAAAAAAGCCAACTTAAAAAGAAAACGCGAAAAACACTTAACGCATAATATCGTAATAGGCTGTAACTGTTTGTCGCGTCTTGTACTCCTTTTCACTAGAGCCACAGATAGTTTCACTCGGTTTGTCATCACGATGCACTTGACATGACAACGCCTCATAGCATGAGCGCGGGAATGTCAATTGTAATTTTATTCCATTTATAACAAATTGAATTGTAATTATACCTTCATACTTTCACGGATTTAGTACCAACAAAATATAGTCGTTTTTGTCAAAACAAGGAGAAATTATTATTTCCCTAATAGGTACTATTTTATTCAAGCGGATTGCGAAATTTGCAATCACCTTTATGTACCTACAGTGTCAAAAGCACGTCAAAGTTTTTTATTACAATTATTGATTATTTTTCGCAAGCAATGATAGTTCTTTATCATTCGTTGAGGTTATCTAATAGGTTATCATATATATTGTTTATAAAAAATCTATTTAAATGAAAGCACGACAAGTTCTATATGCGTTATCACAATCACATAACCTACCAAACCAAAAATTTGAATCCAATATAACTTGCACCCACATGCACATCTACTAGCACAACACTGAGTCATATATTGACACAGAAACGACAATTCCTCGCTACTGCCTTCTTTTCTCATATTATAAAACTCTATACAACATTCCGATGTTTACATTATCAAAGCAAAAAATAAGGAAAGCCACCTATAATATAAACTTCGGTACAATTTCGAGTTCTTAGGTTTTCGCGATTGTTACACATTGGAAATTAAACTATTTTTGTATTTTTTAACCTGACATGCAAACTCTACAAAAATATCACAGATGCCATGTGAGACCGCCAACAGTCGAGCGAAGACCTGCCATTTTACCTTACGTGAGAGGTGTTTCGGACAATACCGAAATCCTCGGACGTGCTTCTATAAAGACCAATTTTAAGGCCTAGCAAAAAGTATCTCAGTTTCTGGGACCCAGGAAATATAACAATCCCCTTACAGGATGTAGGACTTGTAAGTTTGACGGCGAGTGTGGCCTCTCTGACATTGGACAAACAAAGAGCATTTCTACCCCCGCGACAAAGATCATACAGCTAGTGTCAAGCGCCATCGTGTAAAAAGTTTGCAGCCTGCGAATACGTCATGGATAAAGCTAAACAAAAAATTAATAACTTCACAAAACTATAGTTCAGAATAGGGTTGTTTGCATATAGATACAAATAAACAGTTAAGTCCTATAATAATAAGTATATTTGTATCTAATCAGCTTTTAGCCGCTTAGATCTGAAAAATAGTACAATTGCGTTTGAGGTTTTTATTTAGTTTGAAAATAAATAAATTTTTAACTGATTACTAATCTAACCGAATAATAAACTACACAAACCTTTAATATTTTAAGTTAATCGATTTAGTCGTTGCATAGGTTTACAAATTATATGCGAAATGTTATCTGTATGGCAGATAAGTGACAAAGCCCTCATAAAAAACCGGGCCGATAGAACGTAACTTTGCTTTTTAAATATTAATTCGGAAACTCGGATAGTAAATCGATTAAGGACTATTTAGTTACGTACACTAATTTGCTGCAATGTTTTAAAAAGATACAACAAATGGAATTAATTGTAAAGAAAATTTACAATAAATTATACAAAATAAAAACTTACCAATTGATAATGTAATATATTTTTTGTTTGGATTGGGTGTCATTTTAATATTTTCCACAACATTTCGGATTAAATTCTGCGTTTTTACGGCAAAATAAGAAGGCCGGACGGTCCACTCCTTTTGTATTATTCGCGACATGACTTACGGATAGTAATGTAGCAACTGACTTCAATTATGAACTGTGAACCCAATTTATGCAAGACATAAATTGCAAAAAACCTAAGACGTATTTCCACCCAATTATGTCTGCTTATTATAAAGGCAAAGGCTACGGTGGGGTCGGGTTTAGATTATGGGGTGAGCTTATGCTCATCAGTGGCACAGCAGTTAGTACTATGGGCGCTAGTTGAGGAGGTTCCGAGTTCTATTACCGATTTGGGCCAATTTAGGAAACGAACATTTCTAAGTTGGTCCTGATCTGGGTATTCTGTGTATTGCCCTTAGAGTTATCGTTATCTGGTATTAATATCGTGAAGAGGCATATTGTAGGCAGGCAGGGTGGAGGTGGCTAGTGCAGTGAGGATTCCATCGCTGCACTAGGTTCCTTCGCGTTTGGATACCACTTTCCACTTAACATCAGGTGGAGTGGAGTCATTTGCCTGTCATGTATAAAAAAAAAAAAAAAAAAAAAAAAAAAAATTCATAGTACAGGGAATTTCCTAATTTGAGACCAGAAATTTGGTGTGATTGTCTGGCATTTTTTTTCCCCTAAATACTTCTCTTTGGCATTGCTTCCAAGAAACAGAAATCTAACAGAGAGATGGTCGAGATATAACAACGCTATAAGTATCTCATTTCCACTACATCGGGAAGTATGCCTTACATTTTGAACAATATTGTGAGATATTGTACTCGTAATAGAACCTCTCCGTATACTACCAACGTGCGGTGGCATGCAGACGCTTTAGGCTTCGCCATCCCTGGACCTCGGTCTACGGCCTTGGCACTTCGTTTTAAAAAAATAATATAGCTCTTTACTGGCGGCCTTATTGAAAAGTGACGAAAAGTAAATTTTGACCGCAAATTATTATGAAACACCTCACCACAAATAAATTTTATCTCCCACCAAAAGAGTTTTGTATTGCAGCCATATTGAAAAATGTTAAAAAATAATTTTGTAAACAAATTTTTGTCAGACCACCCTTTTGTTAGACCACCCCTGCCAATTTTGAAACGGATCAGAGCAATTTCTTTTCTACCGCCAACTAACGATTGTATGGCGACCATTTTTGGAAATGGCAAAAATCAATATCGACCACAAATTATTATCAGCCACTCTTAGCGGCCACCGCAAGGAAATTTCAGCCGAATCAGAGCAAGCCTATTTTGGCGGCCATTTTTATGAAAATAAACGCTTATATGGCAGCCATATTAAAAAATGGAGAAAATAAACTTTTCACCCCAAATTATGATTAAGAAATCCTAAAGATATCAATTTTCAGCCGGATCGAAGAAAGGTTTTCTTCGGCCGCCATTTTGAATCCGCCATCTTGAATTTTTATTACCCAGGCAGTTGACCACTGTTACCCTCTATGACATTCCTTCGAGCACCTCCTACCTTCTCTAATATGCTCTAATAGTCGCCGTGATAGAAAACTGAAATTTGTATGGCGGCCAACTTGTTTGTTTGAGTTTCGAATATTTTTTACTTCCAGCGGAAATTATCCGGGGTGATCAAAAATCCGTGGTATTAATTATTATTATTATCGTAATAATTAATATTGTAAATGATAAATGTGTAGAAATGTTTGTTTGCTTGCTCATTCGTTCTGCGGACTCTGGCCTACGAATGAGTAGTAGAGTTTAATCAATGTGACGATTTCAAGTGTAATTTGCTTACCTACGTATAAAATACAGATGATTTGAGTTTGAGTTCAAAACAATTACTACATAAAAAATGTGACATTCCGCGCACTACAATTTACACTGTATAGTGTAAATAAGTTATATTACAAGTATATTAAATAGAAGTAATATGAAACTGTTAACCTTACTCTGGAAGCAAGTAACATCTGTGCCATACGTGGAGTTGCTAAACTAGATCCAAAATCTGAAAGACCGCGCAATATTCTTGCCACTTTGCAGTCGGAACGATTAAGAGACAACCTGTTATCAGCGGTGAGGCGTTTCAATAAGGTGAACCGCTCCAAGGCACTGAACTCTCTACATCTGGGAATAGAGGGTGAACTTATCTTATCGCTGACACTTATCACCGGCAACGAAGAAACTTCATGCCGAAACGAGAAAATTTGTGAAAGATCAAGCCTATAAATACGTTTGGATAAAATATGAGCGTGTTTACATGAGGAAAGATGATAATGAATCTGCTATACATATTAAGGATATAAACGATTTGAAAAAGTTGAAATAATTATTGTTAACATGTAAATTTGTCAATAAGCGAATGTGCATTGACTTGGTTATTTAATTTATAGTTCATTATGTTAATTTTCTATAAAAATGTAAACAGGATCAGATCGAAAACAACGGAACTGTACCTAAATATCTTAGGCTGTAATTACGACTGCATTTGCCTCACGGAAACAAACTTAAATGACGGTGTATTTGATAGGGAACTTTTTGATTCTCGCTATAATGTGTATCGAAGAGACGGAGGTTCTTGTTTCATCAGTAAATTGGAGGGCGGTGGTGTTTTAGTGGCTGTTAAAAAGGAATATAATATTGTTCACCGGCATGGATGGGAGAGCGAGATTGAGGATGTGTGGATATCAATCTTACCTGATGGACCTACAGATTCTGTGATAAATATATGTGTCTGCTATTTGCCACCGCATTTACCTACAAATCAACTAACAATATTCTACGACAATTTACATAAAACCATTAATAATATTTCTAATAATAATATCTCTATTAACAACACGAACATAATATTGGGCGATTTCAACGTACCCGGTTTGTCATGATCTACTGTTAACACTCAAGAAAAAAATGATTTTTGCCTAGCACCGAGTAGCCCTTCGGATTCAAGGTCTAGACTATTGTGCCAGTGCTTGTCTATATGTAACATGTATCAAGTAAACCCTGTTCTAAACTGTCAAGGACGCATGCTCGATCTCGTACTGTCATCTTCACCTAGCACCTTAGTTACAGAAAACAATCCCTTGTCGCGTAAAGTAAAAAAATAAAAGTGTAAAATCTAAACCAAACTTCCGTTTTCATTTCAATAAAGGCCACTACAATGCAATTCGAAACGAACTTGACGAAATTAACTGGGGAAACATATTGTCAGGCAGCGATGTGGACTTGGCCGTGGATGTTTTTTACTCTGTGGTTAATGAGATTATCTTCAAACATATACCCCTAACAAAGAACAATATTAACACATATCCCTGCTGGTTCTCACCTATACTCAAAAATGCCTCTCAGAAAAGAATAAGTACTACAGAAGATATAAAATGTACGAATATCCCCGCGACTACGATACTTTTTTACTGTTGAGAGCAAAATGTAAAGGTCTTATGGATAAATGTTATAAAGCTTATATATGTATCACAGAGGATGCTATAGCTCAAAACACTAAAGCATTTTGGAGCTTTGTAAATAACAAGAATGCGAAACCAGGTCTTCCAGGCACCATGAAACTGGGCACAGTCTCTGTATCAGACGGTCCAGGAATGTGTGAACTGTTATCGCATTACTTTGGATCAGTTTTCGATGATTCTCCTCACTCGGTTCCAGTCGCTGCGAGGCAAATGTGTGACGGGGTCCAATCCAATATTGTATTGACTGAACACGGTATCACGCGGAAGCTGAGGGAGCTCGACCAAAATAAAGGTGCGGGACCAGATGGTATGCCTCCTAAATTATTTAAAGAATGTGCATCTCAACTCTGCATACCCTTGCATATCATCTTCAAATTATCTTTGAACACAGGAACATTCCCGTCGAGTTGGAAACTGGAACATGTAGTCCCTGTGCACAAGTGTGGAGATCCGTCAATATGTGACAATTACAGACCCATTAGCTTGTTATCGTGTGCAGTCAAAGTTTTCGAGTCTGTTGTGTATGATCACATTTTTGGTCACGTGAAATCATCTCTCTGTGATCAGCAACATGGTTTTGTGAAGTGTAAATCAATTACTTCAAACCTACTAGAATATAAAACTTACCTTTGTTCCGCTTTTGCAGTGCGTGGACAGGTGGATACAATATATACGGATTTCCGAAAGGCTTTATTGTATCAAAAGCTTTCATGGTGTGTCATCCACGGAAACTTATTACGTTGGGTTCAATCGTACCTAATGAACCGTAGTCAGTTAGTCACTATAAAGGGTTTTAAGTCTGCTCCGGTATCAATAAAATCGGGCGTGCCCCAAGGTTCTCACCTGGGACTGTTGTTTTTCGTCATTTTCATCAACGACCTGATTGGTAGACTACAATGCCCGTGTTTACTGTATGCTGACGACCTTAAGGTGTTCTCGAATATTACTGACCTTGATTCCTGCAAAGCTCTGCAGAATGATGCAATCTCAACAGTAGATTGGTGATAGATTCCGCGGGTTCACCAGGCGTCGCGTCGCCTAGTCAGCTGCGGAAATTCTCGCGAATGCGCGAGCATTTCCGAGCATTCGCCGGAAGACGCCCGTCTTGTTTTTTAGCGCGTATCTAATTTTTACGTTACACAATTGACATAATTTTCATTTTGCTATGTACAATTTTGTTGCAAAAATTCGCTACCTTTCCGTTCCGCGACAATGTAAATTGAGCCTAAGGTAAACGTAGTGATATCGAAATAGTTCATCGTTCGTTCATGGCTCATTTATCCGTCCTGACATCGTTGATAAGAGTGTTACATGTTTGACATAAGGTTTAAATTATATGCTGTCATGACCTCTGTCAAGCCTTATCTTACATTCGTAGATGTTTCATTTTCGTCGGTTTTATTAAGTTCGTTACTAGCACCATCATTATCAGTTATTTCGACAGGACAAAAATTGTCTGGATTCGTCACTTCGATGCGTGTGATGGGGTTATTTATAGGAAAGCGGATGCCTCGGGCCACATTCCACAAACAAACACCCTTTGTTTGTGGGATCGAGAGCTGGGTAATTTTTTGGTTAGTTTTCTCTGCCTAATTCTGGTGGCTGCTAAATTTGGTAGAATATTATCATGAAGTATTATTTATTAATCGAGTGACGTATCCTGTTGGGTATCATAATTTTAAGATTTCACGATAATATGTATACTCGAATGTTTATTTGTGTGTTTATTATTTAAATAATAAAAATTGCCTTCGAAATCAGGGTCAGAAATGTAACCTGAATAATATTATCCGGCTAACGATTAATGTGTGACTTAAAATATCTTTGAATCCTATCAACGAATTCTACGAGAATCCTTGTATATTAATAATGTGGTTACTCAGTCTGTTCTATGTATGAATATAATTGGATATTGAAATACAACAGGAATTAAGTAATTTAACTTAGTAACTAAAGTAGAATTAAATAATGAAATTAAAAATTAATATATAGTTATATTTAGAAATAGTTAACACGTAAATTTTCATAATTGTCTTTTATTGTAAATAATGATCACGTTATATAATAATAATCATAATTTAATTTTTCCTTTTTGTGACAACCCTTGCGTATCTCCGTATGACCTCATAAGTATTTTTTTATAATATCAACTGATGGGACGTACAAGTTGTGCACCTGGTGTTAAGTAACACGCCTGTCCATAACAGTTGCTGTACCACTCAGAGCCTTAAATCGCAAATATCTCACGGGCACTGCCAATGCGCCTGTCATCCTGATACATAAGTTTGCAAGTCCCATGTGCCTGTAATTTTACCAAGTAGGTATGTACCTACAATATGTACAAGGGCGTAGCAAAGAGTATAGCCATTACGCTTTTAGTGTACCTAGGAAAGATACTGTAATTCTGCGACATAGTATTATATGGTAAGCGACGATGTGACCGACGATAGTACTTGTTTGCCTAAAAAATGCCTATTCACTCTAGCTTTGAATAGCCCCAAATTGTACGTTTCGGGAAACACACATTATTCCAATCCTTTGCCGTACGCATGAGAAAGGAGAAAGCAAAACGCTTAATGCGAATGGGTGGTATATCTACGACATAAGAATGGAGTGTTCCGGATCTTCTAGTCCACAAAGTAGCTTAAGGTATCACTTATCGGCCACTTATCGGCACGGATACATCGGACATATCGAAATGTTTACTAAATATTTTACATAATTTCATTAAGAAAGAAGATATCCATAATATTAATCGTAGAATTGAGTCCAAACTCATGGTACTACGATTTCGTTTAACCAAGGTAAACGGCTCTTTTATGGGGAACGGTATACGTTTTTACAATAAGATTCCGGAGCATATATTAAGATTATCATTTCCTAAGTTTAAAAACTACATTAAAAATATTTTAATGTTTCATTCACTTCACGGCTCTAGATTCCACACAAAATTGATTCAAAATGTTTTATTATCATAAAAGTTGTTTCAGAGAATAAAATAGGTGCTACTGTTTTTGCTTCTCGGACTATCGTTCACGTCGATTGTAGCCGACGCTGCGGTTGACGTCTCGACTGCAGGCATTAACTGAGTATGAGCTCTAGAGTTTGCTCATGGTCTTAAGCAGGGAGATAGGGCGAACCTTTTTTGTATCTAAGATCATTGGGCGGTAATTTTTAAGTATTCGAGCCATCAAAGTACGTTTCATTCATTCTCTGAACCTGTTACTGTCAAAACGCCACTAATCATTCGGTCATTGCATTGATAAACGGTGGATAAACGACTCCTGAACGCCGGTTGTCTGTCTTGGCCGCTTCAATTGTTATTGATTTTTGTCGCATTTTATATTTTTCGATAAATTGTGCATTTCTTGAATTGAAAAGGTGTTAAAATGTCTAAATTTTCAAATTATTTCATATTGTTTGTGTGTTTTCTTCTCGCTACATTTTCAACAGGTAAGAATAAGGGCGTTTCCGCGAGAAAGTTTGTTTTTATTATAATTGTTTTATTTTTGGTTGATTTTATTTTTAGTTAACTCAATAAGCTGCTACCAGTGTTCAGGGACGGATTCAGACAATCCTTTCGAGTGTACCGAGTGGCTGGGTAATGATATAGATTTGAAACCGACGGATTGTGGGGCAATACACAATGCCCAATTTTGTATCAAACATGTAGGGAGGTTTGAAGGTGAGAACCGACATATGACTGAAATACTGAGGAATACGAAATTCTATAATAATTTCTATCTACTAATGCGGATTTCGGGGCAGAGTTACAGCTAAACAATAACAATTAGATTGCTAGGAAAAAAAGACAATCTATGTCCCTTCCTTAAGATAGAGAAATAAACTTTAATATATTTATTGTACTAATTCTTCTGTTGTTAAGTGTAATAAACTTATAGATGGTTATTTCAAAATACTAACAACCTCGCAGGACTAGATTACTAACATAAACAACAAATAATTTTGTTCCATGACTTTTGACAAAACTTAATAAATATACCAAAAATAAAGTTTTAAGTTTAATGGAAGCAATTCGGGGCGGCGAACGCCCCCCAATTGCTACCGCATTTGAAAAGAAAACCTAAATTATCTATACACTACATTTTTTTTTTCTTGTGATATGTTAATATAATACGTTTTCAATTTTTTTTGTGGTGGTGAGCATTGAAATTTTTTATCTTGTCTAAGTGGGCAGTGAGCCATAAAGTTTGGGAACCTATGTTTTAGATGGTAATAAATAAAGGTAGGAAGTTCAAACGTGCAAGCATCCTCTCCGACGATCCCCAAGTTTGGCACAGAGTTATTGCTGCTTAGAGAGATCTATATAAATGTTTTTATTTTTGTATGAAAGTAAAATCTGATGAATTATTATTAGGGTGGCTTAACTCAGGGCCTATGCAGCCCCTCATCACTGCGAAAATGGGTCATTTAAAGTCATGGGAAGATGACAAAATGATGATGATGAGACAAAAGATGTTGTTTATGATGTTAATAATACAGTCCTGTAAGGTTGTTAGTGGTTTACAAATAACCCTGTATAAGCAATATTAGACTTGAAATTCTAGTTAGAAAATTCCATATGCTTTAACTTTCTTAGATGTGGAGAGGTAGATGCAATATTTGCTTGTGGAAACATTTTAGTTTTTATATTAAGTAATAGTGTTGCATTTAAACACTTTTTAAAGAGTCGTTTCCCAGATGACTGGGAAGGGAACTGGCCAAATTTAAAAAAAATATACTGTATTTTTATGATGCCACTTGAAATGATCAATTACAAGGATTAATATCAATCCCTCTCAAAATTAAGTTCTCCTTTTTGCTCCTGAATTATTTGTGATTTTATATGATACCATAACAAGTGATTTACAATTTCCTCAGATAATTATTACAAAAAAGTACATGGTACATTCGCAAGGCCCTCGTGAACCATTTTACCACATTTGTATGTAGTTTGTCTACTAACACTCACTTCTTGTAGCAACTTTTATTACTTTTGTTTTTTTTTGTTTACATACTCTTCCTTACTACTTTTTTAAAATAATTAGCTTTTTTGACTATTATTTTCACATCTTATTAACATTTATGTTTAGCCTTGTTAAATTTCTTGAGAAGTTGATAGTACACTCTGTATTTTCTATGCCTTCTGTAATATAAATGTTAATTATACCCATACTACTATTACTTTAACTAATCCATGTTAATTTAACTGACCCAAGAATTAACACAAGGCTAAATTATCCAGTGTATAATATATAATATATCTATACTAATTAATTTACTAACTCTAACTAGGTACAGCAATATTATGCTACCAATGTAACTCAACATCAACAATGGAATGTGGTGACGGACTCATGAAGCTAGACGGTGGAGTGATAAACCCGACATCCTGCGAGCATGTGTACAATGCTAAATTCTGCATTAAACAAATAGGTTTCACGTTATGATAATTAACTGTTTGTTGATGCACTATTGTTCAACGCATTATTATATTATATGAATTACTGGTTTTAAAGTTCGATCATTTTGGGGTATCGTATTTCCGTACCATATCGACCAAATGTATCAATGTCGCTACTTTGGAGGCAGCACAAGTTAAGGATGTTGATACTGCATTTCAACTTGTTTATGATTACTTCACATCTATTTAATAAACGTCACATATGATTAGTCATCTTAATTATTTCGTAATTTATGGCGAAATGGTATCGTGGTTTTGAACCGTATGGGTGCACCTATAAATTCGTATTATGATATTTAAACATATGCATATACATATATTTTAGAAAAGTAATCTCGGTACGGAGTACTAAAAAAGTCGACCTCAAAACCCTCGCAAAACATGCAAGTGAAAAATTCATTGAGACATGTAATAACAATGAATGAAACAAATTTTTCTAAAAATTTTGCGGAACTTTGTGATATTTTAATCGAAGCAAGTTTAGGTAATCATATTTCGGATCCCATAGTTCTCGCGGTATCCTGTTTTCATTAACAAATACATATAAAGAAAACAGTTGGATTCGTATTTTTTAACGTCGAAAAACCGACTTTCTGTGTGATCGAAATACATCAAAATATTTATTTTCGGTCTCACTAATGGATTAATGATAGTTAAGCTTGAAACATTGCCTTTATATTCGAGGAAACGGGTCTTCTTTGACTTGGTAAACAATAAACGGATATTCCCAAAAAGTCTGCATAACAATTATTTCTCATAATTCGCGAGTACGTGTTACACCAAAATGATAGAAAGTTAACCTAGCACAATATATATAACAGTGGATGGTGTTAGTGGTCTGAAGCACAGAAATTTACTATGTACTTTAAAAGAATGAATTACTTTGCAACAAATATTGGCTTTCATATTTTGCCAAAATTTATTGCAAATTATAAAGAGTAAAGAACATATTTCTTCAACATAGCATAATTACATGCTTAAATTTTCCCTTCATACACTAAAGAATGGGTACATAATAAGACTACAATTAATGACACAAATTCATCCACTTAATTCTAATATTGCCTTCAAAATCTAATATAAACTGCTTTGAGTTTCCACAGCACAGATCACTATATATTTAACGCTATATTATAATTAATTACATTGATATGGTGATGAATGGTGAGTAATGCACGACACTTAGTTTCTAAATTATCTATATCGATACTTCAGGGAAAGGCGAGTGAAAATCAAAAATTTTATAACTTTGTTGTTTCAAAATGATTTTATTTTTATAACTACATTTACGTGATACATGTTTTTGGATATAAAGCGCAGGCCACACCGCGAGTGAAATTAAGTTAGCTTTAGCTCACAAAGCCGCGATATGTTTTCATACAAACTGTTCACACCGTGAATTAAGCTAGTTGGTTGCATTCAGCTACATGAGCTAAGCTATCTCAGCTTCGCTCGCGGTGTAGCCTGCGCTTAATAACAAAGCTAACTACATATAAATCATTTTAGATCTTTTTGTACGTCTCTCTTTCCCAGAAGTATAATATTATTTAGCACTTACGTCTACATAGAGATAGTATACTTAAAAGTTAAATTGTAACCCTGGCGATATCACAGCGGTTCTTCTATTGTCAAATTACAGTGTTAGAAAGTATTGGTATTGGTATTGGTGCAACGGGCTAGTTTCCGGAACTCGACGTCGAGGCGCCTATTTTGCGTGTTTTGTTAGAAAGTAACAATTAAACTTATTTCGTCTCAGCTTTTCTCCACTTTTCGTTTTAATTTCTACTAAAAATGTCATATATACATACCTCTATATATCATACATATATTAACATCATAAGATGAAAAAACTTAATTAAATGAAAGCAAAAACTGGCTGGAAAATATAACGCTTATTAAACTACCCGATTTTAAGGGCCCTAAGTCAGGAGTGGGCGTGGCCCCATTTAGGGCGCCGCTATTAATAAATAACTTATTAAGTCGCCCTAATTTAGTAACAGTTGAGCTTGTGAAAGAGTTCGTCCAGCTTAGTAGTGCCACCTTACCTATGTCTGCCGCCAAGCAATAATTTCAGCATTACTATGCGTTCCGGTTTTGAATAGTAAGAGTGCTGGTGAAATTATGGGCACATGGGATTTGTCAACTTGCGATTTAAATCTCTGAGTGGCACTGCACCTGTTACGGACAGGACATTATGTACAGCTTACCATTAGGCGCATGACTTGTTCGTCCCGTCACTTAATATTATAAAAAAGGGGACCCAACTCCTATTACACCCCCGTAAGTTAAAGTTAGGGTCCCTTGAAAGCGGTAGCAATGTTTAAGAACGATTAATTATACCTTCCCATTTTCCAGGTGGAATCAGTACGAAACGTTTTTGTTCGTCACTGGACTTGGGCAATTATTGCAATTACGTACAGCAACCAGGTGACAAATTGGAATACAGAAGTTGCATATACACTTGCAGCACTGACAGCTGCAACGCAGCCTCCAGTTTACAGATGTCGGTTATTCTTTTAACTTTAATATATTTTTTCAAACTAATTTTGTAAGATCAATGACTGCTTGATTTATAAATTTACGTGTTTTTAAATTACTTTATTGTATTTATGATTATAGTTATGTCGGATTTCTATTGAAATAGTAAGTATTATCAACAGTCTGATCTACAAGAATATTTTTAAATCAGAGCGGTTGTTAGTAAATATACCTCATAGTTGATAATTTGTGACAATTCGGCAGCATATTTCTAAATTGAAAATTAATTCCATTTTATTTTCTCTAGAGTTACTCTGTTAGTTTTAAGAAATAACACTAAAGTGAAACCAGACAAATTATAGAAATGTAAGGACATCCTTATAAGGTCCTGTTAGGGTTGTTCACATGTCATTCGAAATTATTATTCTAGATTCCGGTAAAGGTGCTTAAAGATTTACTCGATTTTTTAACCGACTTCAAAAAAGGTGGAGGTTGTCAATTCGCTTGTATGTTATTTTATGTATGTTACGCGATAACTCCGCCATTTGTGAACCGATTTTGATGATTTTTTTTTGTTGAAAAGAGGGTAGCTCAGTAGTAGAAAATATCTCTAAGGGTGGCAAACTAGGGGATTAATCAGTTTTGAAGTCGGTTTTTTTAATACTCTGTACTGATTATTGACGATCGACACATGTCGATATACTAAAAATACGATATCGAACATCCGTTTCTTACGCATTTACTCTATTATGTCTCATCACACATGTTGATCGACAAGAAATACAATGTCGATCGTATGTTGCTTACTTTCCTCGTTTTGTTTGGTCACACATGTCGATCATCAAAAAATCAATCAAATCTGCTCTGATAATATCTTACAATGATACATTTAATTTTATATATAAAAAAATCTTAATGTGTGGAGCCTAAAGTTAAGCTTTAAGTAGCCTTTACGACTTTTTTGGACGTTGCCGTCGCGGTATAATATAATATATAGTAATGCAAGGGAATATAAGGTATGGCATGTATTGCGATGATATAGCGTTTGAGAAAGCAGTAGCACTGTGCCCATCCCGTCACTGCCGCAGCGGCTTTCAAAAGAAAAGGCTTTAAGTGATTTTAATCTGTCCATTGTGGTTGATGTATTTTTTATTTTAAATTTTTATTGTGATCAATGCAGAATCTCGTAATAATCACAACAAGAAAACGTACTTTTAACATTGTTATGTTTGCTAAATAATAGATAGTAAACGTTTTCCCTCACTCTCTGCCAGGCTAAAGGCCCATTTAGATGGGGAGAGTTTCTCGCACGCTTCGAGACGAAAACTCGTAGGCGATTCTCGTAAGCAATAATCGCCATAAGATTATCGTATCATAATGTTTACATTCAGGCAAGAACTAAAATCTCGCCTACGATTATGTCGTACGAGACTCGTAAGCAACTTAATCGCCTCCTCGACTGTTTACACGGAGAAATATGTAGTAAGGAGATTCTTGCTTACGAGTTTTCGACTTGTCTAAACACGATCTCGTATGACATTTTTTCAAGTTCATACGTATATCGTACAAATCGGTTCGAACCGTTTTGAGTGCGAGAATTGCCATTCGAGTTCAGTGATTACTGCGGTATGACTATGGATATATCAAAATGATGCAAAAACCATTCAAATTTGAAACTGCTGATAATATTAAGTTCATTGCACTGTACAGAAATATAATTTTGATTTATCATTTTTTTTTTTAATTTTATAACTACTGACACAAACAAAACTGACAATTATGATAAATTTATAGGGCGAGTGAGTGCGTGTGTGAGTGCGTGAGTGACTGAGTGAGTGAGTGAGTGCGTGCGTGCGTGCGTGCGCGCGGGCGTGCGTGCGTGCGTGAGTGAGTGAGTGGTGAGTAAGTGAGTGATGAGTGAGTGAGTGAGGGGTGAGTGAGTCAGTGAGTGGTGAGTGAGTGGCTGAGTGAGTGAGTGTGCGAGTGGTTAGTGAGTGAGTGGGTGAGTGAGTGAGTGAGTGAGTGGTGAGTGAGTGGCTGAGTGAGTGAGTGTGTGAGTGGTTAGTGAGTGAGTTGTGACTGAGTGGGTGAGTGAGTGAGTGAGTAGTGAGTGTGAGTGAGTGAGTGAGTGGTGAGTGAGTGAGTGAGTGGTGAGTGAGTGAGTGAGTGAGTGAGTAGGGAGTGAGTGGGGAGTTAGTGAGGAGTGTTTATTGAATAGTACATTTACTTGAAAAGTCGTGTCGGCCATCTTGGATTTAGAAATAAATGCTATGTTCGTAATGAGCACCTCCAAATACCTCAGAAACGATACCCAACTTGCCATTATTTGAAAAGTGCGGGCACGACTTTTCATCCTGGATTTAGAAAGGAGTGCCATATTCGTTACGAGAGCACCCTAAATACTATATTGCCCACGCTATATTCGACCACAGAGGCACTCACTCACTCACCGTTATTTGAAATTTTTTTTTCGCTCTTGTTCCATTAATTCTTGTCTTAGAAAAGCAGTGATAATCAAAACACCCTCGCGCGCTGCACTCGTGGTAGAAACGGCTGGCACAGAAACTCGAAATACGATTTTTGCTTTCGAGTTCTGTTTACACGGAGACGTTATATTGAAAGGCGAGGAGATTATCGCTCACGTGGACGGTCGATAATCGCAAATGTTTAGACGAGGAAAGTTTTTTTATATTCTTTCGATAATCGTATCTTCGAGACGAGAAACTCTCTCCATCTAAATGGGCCTTAATTGATTGTACGTACAATTTACTTTTAGTAAATTTTATTATTTTTATTTTAAATTTTATTATTATTTAGACGTATTATGCATATTTTCATTCGTTGATGTCTTATGGCATCACACTATGGGGTAATTCAACTGAGTCGATTAGGGTTTTTATTCTTCAAAAACGTGCACTAAGAACAATAGTAGGCATAAAAAGGGTCAGACCTGCAGAAACCTTTATAAGAAATACAATATAATGACCATGTACTCACAATATATTTATGATATAATAGTTTATGCGCGTCAAAACTTGGCTACTTATGAGCGACGTACGGGCGGAGGCCGAGCGTTACGAAACGCGGGAACACTAAAATCCGTTGCCCACCGTACCGAACTTGCAACTAGAAATCCGCGGGTAATAGGTCCCCGATTCTACGAACATCTACCCACAGACCTGAAAGTGTTAGAAACGATGAAACGTTTTGTACCCGACTAAAAATCCTTTTATTGGATATTGAATTGTACAGTGTCGATGAGTTTCTTTTGAAACAATTTTAATTTTATTTTATTCGACAAGCAGTAGTTATACTACTTTATTTTATATTCATTATTATTATTATAATTTTATTACTGACGATCATAGTTATCCCTTGACATTGTATTTCCAATTGTAATATTGTGACATTGATAACATGAAATAAACGATTCTATTCTATTCTATTTTGTAAAGATAAATTTAAACTCTTACATAAGATAATTATAAGTATTATATATATAAAACTTGCAATTTTATACTTCTATTTACAATAAAATTATTTTATCAATAAGTTTATTATTTTTTACGCAAAACCGAAAGGGATTTTAGCGGTGCTTGTATTATGAATGTATCGTACAGAAATACGGAGTTTTTGTTTCGGTTGTTAAATATTGAAAATGAAACTATTTTTTCGGATTTAAATTAGGTGGATACCTATATTTATTTTTCATACAAACCAACGTTTTCCTATGGTCTTATGGTCACGGCTAAGATGGTAAAGTCACCACCCAGTTGTGTGTAATAAATGCACACCCTATTTTTATTTCACTTTTTCACAGACGCACACCTGGGGGCTCCTACGATCTTGACGGTAAGACATCTCAAATAAGGTAAAATGGCAGGTCTTCACTCGGCTGTTGGTGCTTTTACATGGCGTCTGTGGTTTTGGCGTACAATCTTCAACTTGTTTGGGCAATAAAACGTCCTCTTGATCTATGATATGTATAGGTTTTCTTTCTAAATACCGTATGGCCTATTAAAATCATTTAAGGTGGTGGCGCCAGTGGCCGTGAAGCACCGCTGTTCTGACATCTTTTTTAAATTCATTTCTAATAAGATTTAGACGTCAAGCTAGACACTTTGTACTTTGGACCGTTCTTATCGTAAGCCGCACAGAGTTGGATTTAATTTTTAAGTGTCAAGCTTGACGTGCTCTTGACCCTGTACAACATTTTCTATCATAGTAAACCCGCGTACCCGTTATGTCGTAACGTTTTATTTATCGTTAGACGACTGTCGCGTCTAGCCTGTTTCCATATCACGACTAACGGTCGTAAACATTTATTTTATCGTTGAACGACTGTCGTGTCTAGCTGTTCCACCAGATAGTGACGACAATATATCGGTTCACGGCAGCCGGCTTGTCGTTTGCATGGCAGAGTCGTTTGATGCACTGTAGTCGCTTCTATGAGTTCTTTTCCAAAGCCAGTACTGTGTTCGCTCTAGTGTGAAATGGATGAATGTGTTACTTTTTAAAAAGGCGGAAGAGCAAGCAACCGAAGAAATGAAAGTTTTGGGTACATCCAATGTTATTAAAAAGAATTCCATTAGGATAATGTCAAACGTTTACAGGCGAACTGAAAAAAGATGAGAGAAAATGTCGGGACTATTTAAGAATGTAATATTTATAATTAAATTTGAACAAAACTCCATTCACAACAAATATTTAGCTGTAAGTAAATAGTTTATGCCCTCGATTTCGAGCCTTAATGGGTTTTAACCCGATTTAAAACCCGGCATTAACAAAGCGCTTGTTTGAAAAAACAAACAAACGTGATTTAGAGCCCTTATACGTCGTAAAGGCGCGTATATGCGCCGCAGACGCGCTGTAGTGAATCGATTCAAACGCGCGCAAACATCGCGTTGCAAGCAAGAAGCTTATAGAATTTCATGTAGTTGCTCGATTTGAAGAATTTACAGATTTACGAACACAACTATAATAAAAACTATCTCTTATCAAAATGCGCGATACATACACGCATTTTACAACGCGTATGCGCGCAGATGACGTGTGTCGTCGGCGTGTAAAATACGCCGTTTGCATAGCCTTTAAAACAATTTTTTCGAATCTAAGATTCGAAAAAAATGTTTCATTTTCAATATGTATACGAGTATATGTGTTCAGATGAACAAATGGCAGTTCCCTTACAGAGCTTTATCGCCTTGATTGTAGACAAAAGTGAACTCATATTTTATATTGCTTACTTAACAATGTTATTTGTATCTTGTTGTATGCATCTTATACCTAAATAAAATAAAACAATACAAATACTGTCCAAATATTTATTGAAAATTTGTGCTACACAAGCTTGATATAAAAATACACAATAAATATTAACATCAACTTAGCCAAGTAATATATCCAGCTATGCACAATAATACTTTCATTTTTACTTACCATGCTAAACTATGCCTTCGTACTGAAAAATGGAATGTAAATTTTGTAAATTTCATGGAAATGTTTATTAATTTAGTCAATGAGATTATCAATTTCAAAATATAGTAATTGAAATTACATTATCAAAATGTAAAGTGTACTAAATACAGTTTTAGGCTATTTTTAAAACATGAAAGGCATCTTAGAGAAAATCTAGCATCTATTATTATGATGCTAGTATCAAAATCTAATTTTGATATTAAAAATCAGGTAACCTTTTTGTACAATTTCATATTATTATGCAATGTTACGATTGACCTCTATGAAGACCTAAATGTTTCTAAAAAAAATTTAATTGCTTGAACTGGATTTAAACTATACACTAGCGTCATATCATAATAGATATACAATAATCAATATACAACACATACAAACGCGTAGTAACAGGTAACATTACTCTGAAAATCAGACTATTAAAACAATCACTAACAAGACTATCTGCTAGGATAAATCATTACTCTCCTCACTAATCACCGTTGTCTAACATTTTTGTAGTAACTCGAAGTCGTGCGATCTTTGGGAATTTTATTATAGGATAATATGCTGTAATTTGGAAAAGTCTTCGAAATAATTTCCTTTAGTGAAAAATATACGATTTTGAACATTATTAAACATGAATGACTGACCCTAGGGTTGGACTACACGTTTCAGTAGGCATCAACACCGTGGCCTTACTAAAAGATTTTTTTTATGAAGCTAGTAACGGGACGAACATATCGTGCATCAGGTGGTAAGCGACAGGCCTGTTCATAACGGTTGCATTGCCACTCAGAGCTTTAAATTACAAACATCTGAGGGGCACTGCTACTGCACCCGTCACCTTGAAACATAAGTTGACAAGTCGCGTGTGCCTGTAATTTCACCAACACCCTTCGTATCATTCAAAGCTGAAACACAATAATGCTCACATTACTGCTTAGCGGCAGAAATAGGTTCATATGAGTTAATGCTACTACGTGCGCCCGATATATCATGCGTCATCTAACAAACACGTTTCCTATGAATGTGGTGCTGTTGCGTGTTGACAAAAATAGTCTAGGAATTCATTCATTCAATTTAGAGCACAAGGGAGTCGCCACGCTTAAGGAGAGACCACACCACCAGCGAAGCTAAGTTAATTTAGCTCAAAACTCGCAACATCTTTGGCTCAAGCCGATTTCACGGTAATAAGTGTGGTGACACCCTTACTCAGTTCTCAACAATGAACGTTCCTACACTCGTCTTTATATGTCTACTTTTTTGATATCTGGAATTTAGATTTTTAGAACGATTTTTTTAAGACTCATTTGTAGTACGAGTTTGAACGGAATTACAGCTCAAGATATGAAGGCTAAACATACGTTGCCCTGAACATTTGCTTAGTGCTAGTTAGTTACGACAGTTAGTCAGGAGCGAAACAAAATATAGCTATAAAAATAGAAATTACGCTACTGAACACTGCTTTGCTCGGTTGTGATCATATTATGATTTAAGAATTTAGCCTACGTTAGCACTAAAAGCTAGGTCGACCTGCAAAAATTCGATCGCGAAATTTCAAGACGTAATTTTCCAAACATAGTATTTTTTAATTTGTCATATACACCGTGGTGTTTTTTTAACTGGGACAGTACGGGCAAATCTGAAACTCCATAAGGGAATCTGTCTTAGGCTCAACTCACACTGGCGTAGAGTCGAAGCGTCGCTTCGCAACCTGTTTTACAACTACAACGCTTGGACGCTCACATTCGTGCACCCGGATCACAATGTAGTCGGTGTCTGACGCCTCACTGCGCTCAAGTGACGCGCGAAGCCGCTCGACTGCATCCAAACGTCGACGCGCGTCGATGCTCGTTTCTATATTTGCATAACACAAATTTGTACCTTAATAATGGGAAAATAGAGATGAATGTACTATAGGCGAAAAACATGACTCGTCGTGACGCTTCAACTCTGCGCCAGTGTGAGTTGAGCCTTAGGAGCCCTTAAGACATTTTTTGTGAAAACAATTTTGGATTAGTCAACTTTTTTGTCAAGCGAAACTTGTCCATAAACTTGATTAATTTACACATTATAGACAACTGACGCTTGACTAAATTGTTTTAAAAAAAGATTTAACGGTTTCTAAGACAGTTTCCATGTATCTTCTCTGGTTTCGGATTTCTCCATACTGTCCCAATTAAAAAAAAAACATATTCATTGAACATTGAAAGTCCTGAAATCGCGCGGCTGATTTTCGGTTGGTGTGTCGCTAGGCTTAAAACGCTTGGCAAAGTTTCTAGACTTGTCGTGATCAGTCTCGTAAATGCTATTTTTGTTCCTAGCTATCAACTTAACTAAAACTGGTACATAATTTTTGTGCTATATAAAAAGTGCTCACCAAATGATCACATAATCAAAATGTCAAAATTTTAAAAACCAACGACCCTGATTCATTGCACATAAGAATTGTATAGAAATAAAGACCATAAAGGCTTAGAAATAAAGTACATAACAAAATTGTGACCAAAAAAGTTTCCTGTCATGGAATTTATCACAAGCTTGCTAATTAGCGAAAACCTGAAAGGCCTTACATTACATAATTGCGAATAAAATATAATATACACTAGGCCTTATTTATACCGAGAACACTTACGAGTAAATGACGTAAAAATATACGCATAATACTGTAAACATACATGCACATAAAGATCATTATCGGAATTAAAGAAAAATTATCACTTTTTGCATAACTATGTATAATAATTAAATATAAAAAAAACACATCTTTCGTGTTCGTAAATTCACTACGAAAAGTAAAAAAGTCGTTATCATAGAGCTTCATACAAATCGTATGAACAAGATTGCGGCTCGAAAACTGTTGCTTACCTTTGGGCTTAATAAAGAAGCTACCATAGAAGTCACAATAAACTTGTAGCATAAAATACTAAATGCTGACGTAATAGCCTAATTGCTATTTGTAAAAAACTAAAAACCATCTACAGACTCTTATTGGCCAATGTTAAATACTATCAATTTCTTAGGCCCTTATCTACCAAAGCAGAACGTACAAGAGCTACCAACATTTATTTCATATCATCGATGGCTTTCTAGAATAGCGGCATTTTTTTCGAACACATTTAAAAGTTGATTTAAAAAAAGCTATTTGGCGCACAAAGCCAATCGTATTACGGAGCAATTTTGTGTATTCACAGCAAAAAAAAAAGTATGGTCTTTGCCCCTATTCTTGAAATTGTTTCAAAACTCATTTCTCTGCTCCACTTTTGTAGATGGACCTAACTCTCCTCTTTTTGAGCTATACTAGTGACAGATGTAGCCACTAATATTTCTTAATGACGTCGCTCCAATGCCTATTGTCCTTTTCTGATAAATCTAGAATTCACCGGCATCATTCTGTATTAGTGATGTAACAGGGGGACAGGACTAGTTCAATGCCAGTCGTGGGGATGTCTAAAGAACGCCATCTATTGGTAAATATTTAGGCCGTGTTGGCCGACAGTCGGGTAGTAAATAACAACGTTAGCCGACTATCATTTGTCTATGATGTCGGTTGATATATCGCTTAAGGATTCCACCAAACTGTGCGACTCGTAATCGTATGCGGTCAGAAAAAGAATTTTGTTATATTATATAACGATGTAAAAGACGCTAGGACTAATAGAAAAGACGTTACACAGACACTCTATCGTGCGTGATACAGCAATCGTGCAAGATTGAGCGCGCGTGTAAGGACGTTGGAAGGAAAAGGGAAAGACCGCGCGATTGCGCACATCAGTCGCGCGCAATCGCGCACTCCAACACGCGTCAGTTTCACGCGGTGTATTCTGCGCTATTAGCCTTTACACGGACGCTCTTTCCGTTGTAACAAAAATGAACACGAGCATTCGCGCGCGAAAGAACTTTAGCTTAAAAAAATTCAAACAGGTAATTGCTCACGACAGGCTTTCCGCGCAATCCTGTACGCTCCTGATCACGCGCGATAAAGTGACTGTGTAAAGGGTGCTATTGGTATAGCTTCGGTGCCGGCGACGCAACTCGTCTTTGTCCGGCAACGGAAGTTTTTAACCTTATAGTGGAACATAAGAAGCCCGACACTTTCTAACAATTAGGGTTTTTAGATGATAAGTGAACACAGATAAACCTTAATGATTTTTAAAAGTTCGAATGCTTACCATCTAGACACTTTTTTTAGAACGATTGACGCCTAAATTATATAGCGCGATGCCCTATATCGTCGTTACACCGCAGCTCAGCATCAGTTCAAAGCATTTTGGTTTCAAAACGACAATAAAAAAGCTAGAAAATTCTAGATACGACGTTGGGACGCGTCGGTCCGTGGCTTTGTAATATAGGCCTCAAGCAAAGTGTGGTGTAGTTTAGGACCCGTCGCGCTGCAAACGCGCTTGTAGAGCCGCTACCTGTTGCTCGAGTTCGCGAACTCGCTGTTGACTGTTCTGCAGCTGCCGCTTCGCAATCCTTAACTCTTCGCCTTGTCGATTAAACGCAAGGCGCAACTGAAACGTACAAGATAATAGATTATATTAAATGTTCTTGTCAAGAACAGGGTTGTTGCTGATGTAGGTTTTTGATGTAGTTAGATAAGAATTATGATTGTATACTAACAAGATTATGGATTATTTTGTATGTGAGATAAATTATATTATTATTTTACACATTAGCGGGTGCTCATGTGGGTGCTGATGCTGATTCAAAACTGGATCTATCTACATCAAAAAGTTTATTCTTTGCCATTGTAATTAAATTTCAATGATTTAGTGACATTTATTAAGATAACCTCAGTACAGAGTACTAAAAAACCGACCTCACACGTTCGTGGAATTACATCTGTTTACCAAGTTTTATTGAAATCGGTTACCGGAAAAGTGAGCGAAACTGGTTTCGTCCTCTAATTAGTGCCCTTAGAGGGGAATATTTTCCTCAAATTTAAACGGGAGGTACCCTCTTTCCAACAAAAAAAAGAATCATTAAAATAGGTACACAAATGCCTTTATCGCGTAACATACATACAAAAAAAAACATGCAGTCGAATTGGAATCTATCCACTTTTTTAAGTCAAAGAATCAATCTGAGCTACTTTTTCGGCTTACAGTATGTTTCTGGAAGGTTTGTGAATTATTCCAGCGTGCCTTTTAGGTCATGTCACGACTCGAACATCCGCAATGGATATCAGCATCAATTAATGCGCATACGGATGCTGATATTCGGAATAACTCTAGACCAGGTGGAGTTCAGATCATTTCAACATGCACCCAAATAAAATAGGAAGGCCTTATTGATCCTATCTTGTAAAACATTAATTAGTACACTAACAATATCCAAGGTAAAATAAAAAAAAACTTAATTCTACCTCATGTTCCGTGCTAAAGACGTCACCCTGGTTGATCTGCTTGTACAGCGGCACGGGTTCGACGTCGCTAGTCTGCTTGCCGAACATACGTTGCAGCTGGTGGAACTTGGTGTTCTGGTTGGCATTCGTTTTCTGCGATTTCTCTGATACCTGCGCAAAAACAAATACATTCAAAACGAAATATAAGAAATGCCGTCTACAATTTATTGCAAACTACTAAAGTTTGCAATAAATTCTAGATGACATTTCTTTGAATTGATTTTCGAAACTAAGTAACGTTTTAGCTCTGACTTTTACATTAAAATATTGATATTACACACAGATACTTTGCGTTTTTATTAAATGTTACTCATATAATATAATCAACGTCTAAACAAGATCAATAACCTTGACAAAAATGTAAGTACTGACATGTGTTGGCTTCTTCGAATATTATTACAATCGCATAGGGGGTTTCCTTAGCACCATCTATTGATCAGCGCTAAGAATCAAAATAAGCGTCTGAATAAGCGGAATTACGAGTACGACATTTTTTTGAATGAACTTGGGTATTTCATTTGTTTTAATTATATTATTACATTATCTGTGGTTGTAAAGTTTTAGCCTTCGACTTCGGGCGTTAATGGGTTTTAACTAGATTAGCCGATAGCGAACCCGGGCGCTTGCGCATCTGTGGTCCCAAAAGTTGTTTAGTGTGAAAAACAAATACACGCGATTTATTTCTATAGATCCAACAAAATACTTTTATTGTTGTGTCTATGTGTAACAATCGTGAACCTTACAATATCTATATAATTAATATGGTCCCGGTTATGTCGGGTACTACGACGTTGAGCGTCTCCTTTCTTACTTTCTAATTCAGTCGAGTTTTGAGAAGTATAAACCCAAAGATTGTAACACTTGAGTTTGCTAAGTTAGTTACAAAAAAAAACTCTTACAATATCATGATCATTATTAGTATGGTTCTCCGGCGGCTGCCAAGTGTTCAACGGGCGATAGTCGGGCGTGGTCTCTCGTGACAGGAAGGCGAACTTCTTCCTGTTGTTGGGATCCTGCGGCTGCATCGCCGGAGTGTCTTTGTTCGTTGTGCGGGGTTTGTGCGTCGATATTGTCACTCCTGTAATGTTGATTAATTGTTATTGTACACCGTCATCCTAAATTATTTCAACATGTCACAAGTGCACGCCGTTCTGATCAACTACAAACCAGATCGTGCAAAACTGCACTACTTAGAGAAAGCGTAGTTGTAATGGTCTCGTGGTTCGAAGGTCTATTACAAACTTCCAATTAAAATAAGGAATTGCAATAATGCTACAGAGTTTACGACAATGTCATTTAATTACTTCAATGCAATGACATTCTACAACATTGAAGACTTCATTTAAAATTGACATTATATATTATTTATGTTCTTTTTCATTTCTGACATTTTGTTTGTATTAGTATTGTGACTGATGTTACTTTATTGGACGGCATGAATACCGTATACAAATTATTGCATGTATTATTAATTATTGTATTGTATATAAAAAAATGTGAAACTTTGTATGCTGCAAGGCGGATCACAGATTATTCTATTCGAAATTTTTCTAACACCTTTTGTAACCTGTATATCACAAACAAATAAATAAATTTGAATTGTATCTAGATAGATGTTTTCTTGGATTAAGGGAAAACGGACAAAAAATTTAAGATCGAAAACAGTGCAGGGCAGCGGTCGCTACAATCTATTCTGTATTTAATGTTGAATCGATTAAAAATCGCGTTGCAATGAATCGATACAAAAAATCGCTAGTATGTATAAACTTGAATTGATCTTCATAAAAATCGAATCATAATGTGCATCTCTAGCTTCTACAAGCGTCTAATTTGAAGGCCCTTTTATAACATTATTAGGAGAAATTAAGTAGCAGTAGGGCTTCTCGTGGAATAGTTCGTCCAGGGAAGTACTGCCGCCAAGTAATAATGTGGGCATTCCTGTGTTCCAGTTTGGATGGGTTATGGTGCAGGTAAAATTACACACACATGCACTGTCAACTGGCACAGGCACATGAAACTGTCAACTAGTATCTCAGAGTGACGGGCACAGTGGCAGTACCCCTAAGATATTTGCGGTTAAAAGCTGTAATTAGCCCTGTAACTGTTATAGAAAGGCATGTCGCTGACCATCAACCGCACGACTTATTCATCTCATCTGGTATTATAAAAAAAACCACGTGATATTTACAGTACAGTAATAAAAATACTTAGGTTCTTTTTTGTTCTTTTTTTTTTCATTATTATTATTTAGTAGTGTAGTCTTTGAATTAGTGAATGTCTGCAGTGTTTGTATGCCAATTTGGCCGGGTATAGTGAAAATATATAAATATGAATGAATGAAGTACAAGAACATTTCATTTTAAATTAAAGTAAAATATTATAGCAAATATCTATTACATAAAGTATTCATGTATCACATTCTAAATTTAACTACACTTATTTTTGGCGCCTTTTGTAGATGTGGCAATTTCTCATTACATAAACTATATGGACATTTTGTCCGATCTTGTTTCCCTGCATTAATTAATTTTCCTCAGATACGTAATATAGTTTGTTTTTGTCAGTCCATTGTACAAAAGCAACGCTTTCAAATCTAAAGTGTAATAAATAATACACGCAAGACTGACCTGTCTTCATACTTATCAGTAGTGGTGGAACATTCATCCCGCTTAGCCAGTCTTTGGCAGACAACGCCGGAATCGGGGCTGCAGTGTCTGGGTACAGATCCTCCTGAAACATGAAGACGAGTACATATAATGGGCTACATAAAAAAACATAAAAATAATTCTTACGGTTGTTCACTAATGCGCCGCGCAAACATGTCTTGTGTTGGATACAAGCAACCGGCAAGTAGAAGCAAATATTTTTTTTCATACAATACATATGTAATCAACACTGTCGCCGGTTGCTATACACCAAAAAAGAAAACAAATACAATACAATTAAATTAAAAATAAGCGGTGGTACAATGGGCGGTCTTATCGCTTTAAGCGATTTCTGCCAGACAACCTTTGGATGGAAGTAATTATATAATTCACAGGAAAAAGACGGCGGTGTATGAAGAATTACTAATCAATAGATAAAAATTGATAAATAAAGGCAAATATACATATATTTATAAATAAATAATAAAACCAATACATGTCATGAATATCGTAAACTACTATATATTCTTATACCTATAAATATAAAATTTCTAAAACATAATTTCAAAACATAAAAATACCTAAGCAGTCCAAGTCACACTAAAGTTAGGTAGTGTTCTTTTACCATATTTTTTAATATATTCAATGATTTCGCTTGTTGAATAAACAAAGGTAAAGCGTTCCACAAAACAACCACAATTTGTATGAAAATAGAAAAATTCGCTTCTAGTTGCCGGTTGTTTGCACAAGACACACGTTTGCGCAGCGCCTAAATAATTGTCACTAATTACAGGTACATGAGACGCACTATAAGTTTCCGGAATTAATAAGAGAAAATAACTACAAATGGTCAGAAATGAATTTATTGTTTCTCAAAAATCCTCCGTTAGCGTTAATGCACTTTTTCACACGAATGAACCAATTTTGAAAACATTTATGCCGCTCCTCCGAAAATCGTTGACCATTTAACTTTTTCTTAATTTTTGGAAATAAATAAAAGTCATAAGGTGCCAGGTCAGGATTGTACGTGGGATGGCTCATAAGGTCAACGTTGTTCACCTTCAAATATTCATTTGTCTGCTGGCCATGTGAGAACTGGCATTATCGTGGTGCAAGATGAGACAGGGTTTATGCACGGCATTCACTGTACGATTCTCCAAAGGAACAATAGCCATGTGTCCAGTTTTGTTAAAAAAAAAGAAGCAATCATCCGCTTAGAGGCACTTTGCACGCGCGCCACTTTGGTTGGTTTCGGCTCATCCCGAAAGACCAATACGCTCGATTGCGGCTTTGTTTTGGGATGTAACTATAAATCCAAGTTTCGTCACTTGTTACTATGTCCCACACCAAATTTGACGCCCCTGCGTTGAATCTGGTAAGCATGGCATTGCACCAAGAGACGCGATCCGGTTTTTGAGCCTCAGTCAAATTGTGTGGGATCCATCGAGAGCACAGCTTTTTCACACCCAAATGTTTGTGTAGTATTGATTGTATTTGACTCATGCCTATGCCTAAAGATGCCCGAATCTAATGGTATGGCACATGCCTGTCTATTTTGATCATACGGCGCACAGCATCGATATTTTTGTTGTTCACAGCATTGAACGGGCGACCATCACGAAATTCGTCACGGAGATTCACACGACCGCGTTTGAATTCTGCAAACCAGCTATAAATAGTCGTCTTGCATGGTGCTTCATCGCCAAAAGCAGTTTGAAGCCGAGCAAAGCTCCGCAGAGCTGTTAAATTACACTTAAAGTCGTTGAAAATCATACTACGAAAATTTTCACGAGTAAAATCCATGATGATGTAGATAATCAATTTCTAAAATGACGCTACAATGTAAAAACAAGTGACGGTCAGATGAAACAAACTATATTCTACAGCCAAAGAGTTCCATTTTCAAATGTTCTAATTACTTTTTAAATATTGTTTATGTAAGTGACCACTTCCGGAAACTTATAGTGCGCCCTATGTATCTTAGCAAAGTTAAGATTTCTTTTTAATTTCCTGATATTTCGAAATGGTCATACAGTCCATAGTCGACTCGGCAAAAGAAATTACTTTCTACTCTGTTGACCGATAGGCCACAAAGCAAAGTCAAGTTAACCCTATCTAATAAACGTTGCATTGGTTCCCTGGTGATTGATTAGTTATCGGAATTGAATGAGTTAATATAGCTAAAGTAAAGAATAATGTGGACATTCCTTTATATAAATCCCTGTACTTCTCAGAAATAATTATTATTAATGCGTATTATCTATTGAAATTTAAGTTAATTGGCGACAAATTATTATTTCCTATTAATGCTAAAGTGCGGGGCCGCACGCCATGACAAACAGGCAGAGCGGGCGCGGGCCGCGGCCGCGGCGTCCGCGGGGCGGGTGCGGTCGCGGGTGTTGTAATACATTGAGTTCTATGCAACCGTTCACACAGCGCGTCAGTGGCGGGGCGCGATCCGGGAGCGGGGCTTCAGCGGGCTTGGACGTTGTATTTTTTTACAACTAGGGAATGTGTTTTAATTGATTTTAATCAAGTTTCAAGATGAATTCGACGGAAAAACTTATATCATTGGTGCAATCATACCCCAGTTTATTTAATACAAGTGATAGAAATTATAAAAACATAGAAATTATTTGGGAAACAATTACGAGGAGCTAAATCAAGATCGTGAGTATATTTTTTATGTTTTTAATTATTATTAAAATAATTGCCAAATTTTTCTCTGATTTCAATTGCATAATCAGACGATCTTTGATTTGTACGAATTGGAAGTAGTTCATTGGCCTCAACTGGTTGAGAATCGCTCTGTTGAACCGCATTGTTACCGTTCTTACTTTAATGAAATTGTGTAAACAACACGTGACTTTGACAACTTCTATTGTCGTTTCAATATCATATTGCATGAAACGTCTATAGACTTGCCATTTCTGTGTTAGCTGGCCGAATACGTTGTGGAAAACGTCTCCCTCCATCAATAACAATCAACTGTGAGATACCTCTTCTCTTCTCTAAGAAAAAAACATGACGCCGTAGATTATCTGTTCATTAGTTATGCAGAAACATTTAAAAAACTGAAACCCACAATTCAAGCCGAAATCAAATTGAAACTTGCACACATTTTTACAGAAGCTGAACTGAACGACCTAGAAGAAAATCAAATTTCAGAAGCACCGGTACAATCTCCTTAATTTACCGTAATTAGCACAACAAGTAATAACGATCAAGAAAGTATCCCAGTTTCATTGCAACTAATTCCTGAAGACTTGTGTTTCCCATTATGGTACCTGTAATATAGTTGATGACTAAACTACACAGGGTAATTCCAAAAGGTATGGTACTGAATTAATGCTGTGATAACATAAAAAATGTAATAAGAAATGATGAATGCTAATTTAATAAATAAAAAGTTAAATAAATAAACAGTTTAGTTTAATAAGTAGCAACCAAGGAGTTTTATAATTTTTATTAGAGTATTGAATGGTCTACAAAACACTTTTTGTTTGAATAAGTTTGCATTGTTAGTTCTGAGATGTTGATTTTTATGTTAGTGACTCGGATTCATTGCTCCCGAGTGTATAAGTAGGTATATAAGTTAAATATAATTGCAATTATGCATTGTTCATAATAATTTAAGTAGGTACATAAAATTAAATAGAATTGTTGTTGATTCTACAAATCTTAGATGCCTGTTATTTGTTAAAATAAAAAATCATGGGCCGTAGGAAGCCAGCATTAGACTGATATACCCTGTTTCAAATGAATTGAGAGTAAAGGTAAACATTGAGTGCATTGACCCGACCATAGTCGGTTTAGTGATGGGCAACTGTAGAATAATTTACTAATCAATTATTGAATGAATCAGATCGATTAATTGAATCTGTTGGACTAACATCAAGTGAATTCCGCGCATTTGACCGTTGTAAATTGATTGAAGGTGATACATAAAAAAACGTTTCTTTAATTACGATTATTGACATTTATTGTTTAAAAGTTAGAAGCTATCAGTTAAATACAGAAAATTATGAAAATACTTGATAGTTAACAAGTCGCTAAATCGTTTGTAAGCGGTATAGAAATAAGAGTTGGTCAAATGACTTCAAGACGTAAGTTTCTGGTGACTCTTGAGGCAATCACTTACTCAAACTATGATTCACTCAATTGAACTTTTTTCCGTACATCCCTATGCAACCATAAACATTCTAGACTCTGGATTGTCACATCAATCTCAGTTTTCGGCGAAGATTTTTCAATTATGATTTTATAATGCATAACAAACGAATATTGTTGGAAAAAGTGGTGAGATATCAAGTGGAAACCTACAAAATACACATAAAAGTGTTACTTATTCCATATAGTGAGTGATTTCTTCAGAATTTTAACACAACTGGTTTGTTTACGTTTACTCTCAATTCTATTGAAATAGACTATAGTAAAAGAAGTTTGAATTAATTGTGTTAAGATTGTTGATTGTTCATAATAATGTAACTTTCGATAGGGACCTATTAATTATTTGTTAAAATAAAAATGCCCAGCGAGTTTGTTAGAAATAGAAGTTTTAAGTTAACTATGTTAAAATTGCTCAAAATAATATAAGTAGGTACATAAGTTAAATACAATTGTTGTTACATAAATCTTAGATAGATACATATTATTAGTTAAAATAAAAACGCCCAGTGAGACTGCTACAACAAGAAGTTTCAAGTTAATTTCAATTGCAATTCAAAATAATCAGATGACAAATAATTTGTCAAAATAAAAATGCTCAGTGAGACAGATAGAAAAAGAAGTTTCAAGTTAACTATGTTAAGATTGTTCAAAATAATGCACTTATGTAGATACATAACTTAAACAAAATAGTTGGTGTTATACAAATCTTAGATAGGTACTTATTATTTATTAAAATAAAAATGCCCATTTGGACTGATAGAAAAAGAAGTTTCAAGTTAATTACGTATATAGATTGTTAATAATAAAGTAAGTAGGTACAGTAGTTAAATGCAATTATTATTGTTGATTCTACAAATCTTATATACCTATTATTTGTTATAATGAAAATGCCCAGTGAGTCTCACTGAAAAAATAGTTTCAAGTTAATTGTGTTAAGATTATAGAATTTTTTTAATGTTTTTAAATAAACAATTTCTGTTCATATGAATAGTTTGATTCAAAACCTTCAAAGTAAGTATACAGAGTGTCCCAAAACTCAACGATAACCTGGGAACAGAATGTTGCCTAGTTTGTAACTACCCAGAAAAAAATATTTAAAAGATCGGAGTCATTTTCTTTTTGTAATATAAGCATTTTAATGAAAAATGTTGAAAATGTACGCCCTGTACCCCATTTTTAAGTACTACAATTACAAATTTGCTAATTTTGCTGTTCTAGTTTTTGTAACGATAACACAGCTAATGAGCACAATGCCAAAGAAAGCCCGAATTACTCTAGTAAACTCTAGTTTCAGCACTAAAAAAATATGTATTTAATTTTTTCTTGAAATTTTTAGCAGATTTTTTTTCAAGGTAACTTTAACACCCCATACAAAAGTTTAAAGAAGTTCTTCTACATCACTATCCGATAGTGACATGGACCTTTCTTTATTTGTGTTGAAAATGAAATGTGGCGTGACGCTTTTGGTGTCACACCGGCCGCCTTCGTGCCGCTGTCCCGTCACGAACTACACTCGGGATTGCTGTGTGGCATGCCCCGGCACGCATTCGCTTCCCGCAGGTCCGCCCCCGAAACGCTTTTCCCGCTATACCGCGTCTGTGTGGCCTGACCTTAGGTGTTTGCTACAAAATTATTGTCTTAAAAATAATATTGTAGTTGTGTTTGTACAGGTACTTACGTATTTAGATACTTTACCCATTTAAAAAAATAAACATGAGACAACCTAGATTTTGGAATTATTAGGAAACAAACAGAAAAAAAGGAAACCGTTCAGACGCATTTGATCATGTTTTAGCGTAACTACATTTTTCGACTTGCTAACGAACTAACATAAATTGTAAATTCATCATATCACGAAATAGGTATGTCATATTATAAGAAATCGTTCAGTTTAGGTAAATTAACTCATTCTTGATTACTTTAAAAAAATATGGTGGTAAATACCTTTATTTGTCAAAGCGGCAACTTAATGTAAGACGACTTTTTCAACAAAATATTCTACGAGGTAGTTCTACCCTTCTACATTACACTTTTTTATTTATTTGTTCTCACCTGGAAGCAATCGGACTTGCGCGGTACGATCATGGAGATGGGCTCGCAGAGACCTCGCGACGTGTGCAGTTTGTAGAAGCGGAACACTTCGCATATGGCCGTGTTCATGCCGCGTTTCGGCATGAAGCCCAGCCCTCGCTGCAAGTAGGACAAAAAAATAGTAGTGATACACAATAGCTATCGTACAACAGTGTAGACAGTGTGCGGTTTGAGTAGCCCGTGACTTAGGGTCGTATTCCAGAACTCCACTCAATGCTCAAGTCAGGATTTGAGCAGACTTGAATATGATTTCAAGCACTGGAAATACGACCCTAATGCCAAGGGCTTGAGTTTGATTTTCAGTGCTCACTGCAATACTCAAGTCCTGACTTGAGTAGAGTTCTAGAATACGACCCTTAGAGAACAAAAAAATATTTTTGTTAAGTATGATTTATTTTTCGACGTAATCTCGTTTTAACTCTATACACCTTGATTAGCGACATCCCAACTTCATCAACCCATTTCCTGATTTGATGAAAATCAGTAAAAAAATAAAATGGGGCCAAATCTGGTGAATGGTGTGTGGCAATAGTTCGTACCATATTTCGACAATATTCTGATTGCAGATGAGAATGGCATACCGAAAATCTGTTTTCTCCAGCTTCAAAAAATATACCGACCTCAACTAACTCTTCTGTTTTCGCGTTAATTTTAAAAAAGTAACGTCAGTTCCTTATTAAGGAGTTCTAAATTAAGAAATAAAAAAATCCGAAAAAAATTTTGTTTAACTTTATAGTCCCGTACGTATTTATCAAATCGTCCTCGTGGGCTATGGCTTTAATTTCTAAGTTTGCGAATGTTTAGAAGTAGTAATTCTCAGTAACCGAAATGAAAACATTGTTATGAAATCTGCAAGTAAAAGATTCACGTAAAACGTGTGAAGCACCCATGCCATATTGGAAGATTAACACATTATAAATTACGAAGAGTTCAGTAACCCAGTTGTGTGAACGCTAGAAGCATCTCGGTTCTAATTCCCGGCAAGAGCAATTAAACAGGTTCTGCTCTTGTTTAGTCTGGCATTAGGGTTTTAAATTTAGGGAGAAAAAAGAATTAAAAATATTTTTAGGAGCTATATCTTTTATTTCTACATTTCATGGGTAGCTGAAGTTTCATATTTCACCCGTCATCTTAATAAACAAGAATTTTATCCATTATCAGTCCTCTGTCGGCTATTTTATTTTCACAGATAAATAAACTTACTTGTGGGTTGCCCGATAAGAACTGGTTGAGGAAATGCACATAGGGAGCCTCATCAACGACTTCGTAGTACCGTATGTTCCCATCTCCCTTGCCCGCAAGATATACCTATAAAACAATCATACATTTAGCTATTTTTCCAGAATAGTAGCACAAACAAAAATAGTTCATTTTTTACATATAACAGAGCTGTATTTAGAATATGCTAACTTTATAGTGAATAAGAAACCGAGGTATTAATAATATTCGGTTCGGTTCGTAATACGATACGATTCGGTGGCTTTGCGTGTCAGATTCTCTTTTTTTAACAAACTTCCTCCTCATGGATTGTACTTGTTTATATTCATATTTAAACTTATTAAACATAAATAAATTTAATCTATAAATAAATAACAAAAACCTTAAGTCCTTGTAATATACATATTTTTTCTAGTAACAATACATTTAAAGTATTTTAAATGAAAAATATTGAAACAAAACAAAATCGTTATATTTACAAGCAATTTATCGTCGTCTTAAGAGTGAATAATACCTCGTATGTGATTTCTATTACATTTTTCAGGACGATGATAAAAATGTGGTGTAAAATGTAGTAAACGCAATAATGTTTGCTGTTAACATTTTAATTAGTTAAATTATACCTCTGCCAGATACTATATTACTTTATTAATACTTGGAGCAAGAAGTTTATAATTTTTCTTCAACAAAAATCAGTAAAAACGACCTACGTGAAAACGCGTATGCGAGGTGTCACTCTAAAGCGACGGTATGTCAAAATAATTATAACGCTATCATTTTAGGATTCAAAAGAAACCTCTGTGAACCAAGCCTAGTTCACTGCGTACGCGCGTAACGAAAATTAACTTCACTGTCCAGCACAGCCGAAACCGACATCATATTGGGCTTTTACATAATTAATTCGCATGCATAGGCCGCACATGCTCAATCGCAATCGATATCTTTACTTAACTGCCTAATTAATGTACAGGTCCTTTCCTATTATTATTGTTAAAGCAGATTAAGATTTTTGTTTCTGTTTGCTTCGACTGCATTCCTGTACAAATTTATTAATCTTAAGGGGGAACGACTTAACCCACGGAGCATCCGTTATACGCGTGACCTTCAATTTTGTACAGTTTAATATAGACATTCTCCAAGACGCATAGGAATTAATTTTGGCTCGCATGGAACTAAATAGGTGGGTTCTCATTCGGCCTTGCCGAGTGTTTGCTAAGTTTTCTATACTTATTACATATTTGTGTTTAAACTTACTATATTTGTATCATAGTCGTAATACGGGAACACGACACCCGAAGAGCTATCGATGGTTTCACATACGAGAGGCTTGGACAAGTCATGTTGGTCCCAAACTGCGTACTGGCGGTCGCTGTACCGCGAAAAACCCGTCGTTAGCACTTTTCCTTGACTACCTAGGAATGTACATTTCGATGCCTTCGTTCCTGTATGGCAAGGTCCTTCCTGTAAATACAAACAGTATTGTCAACTAATTTACAAGGACATGGATGGATCAAGCGTCGATGAGTTTGAGAGATGGTTGGATTTTTTTTTATAATAACAAGTGAAGGGACGAACAAGTAGGGTGCCTGGTGGTAAGCGACATGCCTCTCCATAACAGTTGCAGAATCCCTCTGAGCTTTAAGTCGCAAAGATCTGAGGTACACCGCCACTGCACCCGTCACCCTGAGACGTAAGTTGATAAGTCCCATGTACCTGTAATTTCACCAGCACCCTTACCCTTCAAAACCGGAACGCAGAAATGCTCACATTACTGCTTGGCGACAGAAATAGGTAAGGTGGCAGTACTTCTCTGAACTAACTCTTTCACAAGGAGCTCTCCTGTTGTACATACATAATTTTTATTTACAACCTGTAGGATCAAGAGCACGTCACGCTTGATACTTAAGATTTAAATCCAACTCTATGCCGCTTACGATAAGAACGGTCCAAAGTACAAAGTGTCAATCTTGACGGGCTCTTGGCTGTACAACTAAAATGATAATGTGACAACCTTTTTTTTTTTTTTTTTTTTTTTTACGGGGGGAAATCTTTAATGTGACAACCCTACCCACCAACCGTCCGAGAGAAGCGTGTGTAGTATAAATACTTCTGTTATGTTTGTTCAGTAAAGTTCTAAACTTACAGAGAGCACAATACCCCGTCTGGGCTCGATGACTCTAAGCTTCTTGTCCTTGGAGGTGGTAGCTAAAAGTGAGCCGTCGCGATTGAACGACATGCAGTAGATGACGTCGGTGTGGCAGTCGATTACCTTCACCGCCTCTCCTTTGCCCACATCCCATACGAAGATCTGGAAGATAATGTTTTTTACTATTAGAAACAACAATATTGGCTGAGACAATTAAATACGACACCACCAGTATTTACACTGTGTAAGACAAGTAAAGAAACACTCGTAGGGAACTATAGATCATTGAAAAATAGGTTTTTTTTTAGTTTTTAGGTTATTTTCGAAGACTTATAATCATATAATTGTTAATTATTAATATTATTTTGTGTACGTTTTCTTCTTTATTGTTATTGTTTTTTATTTGTTTCGTTTGTAACTTTTCATTTCTTTGCCTAGGTGGTGAATGCCAGTGTACGGTCAAACCAAAAATGGTTTTTGTTACACCGTTAGAAGCGTAGATTTGAGTATTTCTTTTTGTACCTGTTCCTTGTAAAATAAAATAAATAAACAATTATTGTACATACACGTTGAGGAAATTTATAAAAAAAAACAACATATATTTTGTATATTTAATAACATGCTCTCGGGGGTTCAGAAGATGACTTTCATGGTGTATAAATAAATAGTGATTTTGTACGTGGACATAATCATATCAATTTTGTTTACACGCTAGCTATGCGGACGGCGATGAGGGAACGGCTGGTACCGATCGTCACGCGTATCAACTAAACCTTTAAATTGCCTACATAACAAACTGTATCCCTACACGAGCAACCTTTGATAAAAGCCTAAAGTACATGAAGTTGCTTTCATCTGTGATCGATTTTAGAGAATTTCTACAAATGGGTATTACAAACCTACGAAGAAACCAGGGTATCAGATGTGTGTACCTACTATATTGGTAAGTTTATTAAACAGTACCAATAATGTGAAATGTAAAAGAATATCGAATGAAATCAAGCACTTAAGGTCAATTGGATATATTTCACAGTAACAGTGAAATTTCTCAATTCCCAAACGAACGGCATCATTATTCGGTATCAAAAGTATCTGATGGCACGCGATGATGTTAACCGCCTCATATCGATTGGATACAACATCAGGATTAGATTCGCGTGGTTTCTGATAGTGTGTAATGGAGCTATCACTCCGTTCGTTTTCTGATAACGAGGTTTTTCGAATAACACTTATGATGATTGTGTATATTGACCACCGCGCTTGTGTCTGTATTAAACCTCTTAATTGCTAATAATTGATTGGATATTTATATCTTATTATAAGGTTAGGAGACTTTTAGTATCATGTAATATAAGTCCTGACACTAAGTCAGGAATTACTGGAAGACTGTCCCACTCTCCCTTTGTGTGCCTTTAATGTAAATTTATTAAAATAAAGAATTTGTTTCTATAACAGTCTAAATTTGTCTTAGTAATGTTTCACTTACCAAATAATCAAAGCCAGCGCTCAGCAACACATTTTCCGCGGTAGGATGCCATTCGATGTACGCCACGCGTCGCTTGTGACCATGAAGTTCCACCAGCCAGTCGGTCAGGTGCATAGAAAGACCGCCATCCGGAATATGCCATAATTTTACCTAAAAATATTCACAAGTTACGTAAGTTATGTTAATTCACGCACTTGAAATACAATAGACAATAGTTAGTAAGGTATTTTACAATAACGGTTGTGTTTCTAACTATAATAGGCTGCGGCTGAATAAAAGCGAGAGCAATGTACAGTTTAAAAAAAAAATTAAATAACCGTGAGGCATTTAATTTTTACATTATTACATGTACGTATTCACGCTTCAAAGCTGAAAAATTACACATGACAGTAATAAACCTAGTTATAACAGACAGAAGATATAATTTCATATATCGTAAAGTACGATAAAAACGATATTTAAAAATTTTAGACAATCACCATTTTTTTTCTAATAAAAATGGTAAAAGAGCAAGGACTCGCTTGATAGGTCAAGAAGATACCCAAGGTGTGTCTGTGTGTGTTTCTGGCCCTCGAGAACTCTAATCTCGTTTTTTGAAAACTCCATAGCATAGCGCAAAGGACGCCCAAGCAGGAAATAAACAAGAAAATAACAAATAAAGTTGTATGAAAAGAAAAGCGAAATAAATATCACGAAACAGCCTCATAATAGACTTTAGGCTGCCCATCCACACAAAGGAAATAAAATACTAAGTACAATACAATATAGTAGGTACTGATAAGTGATTCATCAGTATCAATTTGTAAATAAAAAACAATCTGCCTTTAGCAATAGATTTCTGAAATTTACTGATGAAACCTGTAACATCACTTAAGCAGTTTTTTTCTGCTCTTTATTATCTATGCCCGTTTTAAAACAACATAACCTTATAACTTAATTCATACTTAATTACCTAACATTGTGGCTTATGATTGTATATAGAAGACAAATTGATGCCATTTATAAATAAATATTAGGGGTTAAAGTATGAAATTGCCGTTTTATTGCAATAGGTTCTTTGAATTTTCATAGAATCTTCATGGTTTGAGGTTTTCGAATGAAACTTTTTTCAAATGGTTTCTGTGATTTTTTTTTTTAATTTGAAACATTTGAATATCGACTTTCAATTGTTTTTGTTATTCAATTTAGACAAGAAAGATGGATACTGCGAAAATTCGAATGATTTTTGAATACGAGTTCCGACGCGGAACTAACGCGGCAGAAACAGCCCGCAATATCAATGCTGCGTTTGGAGAGGGGTCTACTAATGAACGCACCGTGCGATTTTGGTTTAAACGCTTTCGTGATGGAAATTTCGACTTAAAGAACGAGGCACGAGGAAGACCGCCCACACAGGTGAATAACGATGAATTAAGAGAGATAGTGGAAGCCGATCCTAGTCAAACTACCCAGGAATTAGCGGCATGGTTTAACGTTACCTTACCCACAATATTGACTCACTTGCGTCAAATCAATAAAATAAAAAAATACGAAAAATGGGTGCCTCATGATTTGACTGATCTGCAGAAAGAAACGCGTGTTGAAACTTGTGTTGCCTTGTTGAACCGGTACAGAAATGAAGGAATATTGGATCGAATTGTAACATGTGATGAAAAGTGGATTCTTTATGATAACCGGAAAAGAAAAATGCAATGGCTGACCCCAGGTCAAATGCCACAACAGTATCCTAACCACCACCACATTTTACCAATAAAAAGGTAATGGTAACTGTTTGGTGGTCTCAGCATGGTGTTATTCACTATAGTTTTCTCCGATCTGGTCAAGCAATAACGGCAGATGTCTATTGTGCCGAACTCCGAACCATGTTGACAAAACTAGCAGTAAAACAGCCCCGACTCATGAATCGATCTTCACCATTATTGCTCCACGACAATGCGAGACCTCACACAGCACGAGAAACCATTTTGACCCTTCAGGAACTGCAGTTAGTAACCATTCGTTATCCTCCGTATTCACCAGACCTTGCTCCAACGGACTACCATTTTTTTCGTGATTTGAACAATTATCTACGTGACAAGAAGTTTTCTTCCCAGGAGGCAGTACAAAATGCTTTCTCACAGTTTGTGCAGTCTAGATCGTCGGAGTTCTATCGCAAAGGCATTAATAACCTTCCCATTAGATGGCAGCAATGTATAGATAATAATGGCAACTATTTTGATGAAATAAATTTGTTAAAAATTTAAAAAATAAACAATTTAGATTTTCAGTACAAATCGGCAATTTCATACTTTAACCCCTATTATAATAATATAAATAAATATAATAATATAAATATATAATAATATAAATAAATATTAGACAACATCACATACGTTGCTCTCATCCGAAAGTTAGTAGCTAAAGCACTTGTGTTATGGAAATTGGAAACAACGACGTTACCACAAACACCCACCCGAGACAATATAGAAAAGTTAGTTTTTCTACACTCGGCCGGGAATCGAACCCGGGACCACAGAGGTGGCAACACCATGAAAACCGGTATGCAAGTCTTTCGACCACTGAGCTCTTCAATAATAATATAAATCTTTATCACAAAGCATTATCTATATTTAGATAAATAAGTATCATCTTTCGCCTAATCCTATAATTGGCGTTGGTGCAGTATGTCTTCTTCCATTCGTCTATATCACCCATAACCTCCTTATTCACTCCCTTCTTGCACATATCATATTTCACACAATCCTTTAATAAATAGGTATATTGATTTATTGAGTCGCCTACAAACAAAAGCATTGCAAGGTCTGATTGTAATAGTGTTGCCGCTATAGAGTATTTCAAACAGTGATTGTTCTTCAATGATCGATTTTATTGATTGGAAGTCATTGCTAATGATGCATTGTGTACGATAACATCGCTTACGTAGGAGATAAAAAATGTGTATCTGCTGGTGATAATAGAGCAACGAATATAACTATTAAAAAAATTATCATAACTGCCATGTTAGCGATGGGCGGTAGAAAAACATATCGATGTTAATAATAATTTTGATGATGATATCGACTTTTTTCATCATCATCCACGTCAATCCACTTATACGTCTAATGTGATTATTTAGGCCACAGTAACAATCACAACGCTGGCCCAATGTCAAAATAATTTTTTTAGGCAACAGAAAACAAGCTACCGACAGTTAGCTCACACCGAACTGCGAAAAAACACGTATGACGATAGCCACACCGAAAAAACGTGTGTAAATAATATTACATGTTTATTATCTATACATTTGGAAAGACGAATAACCTAACCTAACTGAACAACTCGAAAGCCAGTTTAGAGAAATGTCAATTTTCGAAACCCGTTTTTTTGTGTTTCAAATTTAGTAGTCGAAAATTTGACATTTCACATTGAAATCCATAAATAACTGAGATTAAATTAATATCTGATTTTATTACTACTAACAAATTTAAATTATAAAACCAATTTACTTATATTAATATATCCATAACGGTGATAGTATATCGTGTTTAATTTGTATTGTTCCAGAAGACGGACTAGACTAAAGAGCAGTGTTAAATAATTAAACATTAAAAAAAAATTAATGTGTATTTCTCATGACATTGGCAAAGTTATTCAAGAGAAGCCAGAAACTTAAAAATAGAATAGTATAGAACTGCGATTAACTGGACCATCAGCAAGGCAAAAAGACAGGACTTAAATTATCACTTATTACAGTTTTTAAAGTGTGTATGTACGTTGTACGTTCTACGTTACGTACTTTCATATCAATCATGAACAAAAACGAAGTAATCGACTAACGGAACATACGTAATGGACTATTCCACGAGTAAATTGCGAGTTCGACAAAAAAAAGTATAAAAATTGGCGCGAAAAAAATTACCGTGCAGTCATCGGAACACGAAGCTATGATGTTATCATTGAACGGATTCCACTTGATGTCGAGCACTGGGCCTTTGTGGCCTGTAACTCGGCTCGCGTTGAAGTCGAGACGCCCCGTCTGAAAACATTTATTAATTAGTATCACATCCATTACGTAGATAGACTTCAACTGCATACAGTCGAGACGTCGACTGAATGCAGTCGAGACTTCAACTGCAAGCGTCGGCTGCAATCGATGTGAACGATGGTCCGAGAATCAAAAGCAGCAGTTGACATCCTTAGGAGAACATATGATTTCTTTTGTGTCTTAAACAACTTGAAGTTTAATAGTAACGTCAAAAGGTAACGATTACTTGAGGGTTTAATGAACTTAATGGTAAACAGAAACACGATTGTTGAGACGAGGATATTAGTATAACTTTTAGAGCATTATTGTCTATCTTATAGATGATTGTAAATTCACTCTTATTATTAGCAACCGACAGTCTTGTAGTAGATTGATACAAATCTAATACGTCGTCAGTTTGGTAGTGTCCCAAACTGGCTCCATGCAGTTTGAGTACAAGATGTTCTTCAATCACAGTTAAAGCAAATGATCGAAGTTCATAATAGGCATACTCTGCCCGTACCTACATCTTAATAACAATTATCAGAGACGGCAATCGGTAAAGTATACGCGTGGACACGACACAACACAAAATTGTACGTTTCATATTATCAAATTTGTATAAAAAATATTAGAATTTAAGTTTATTTTGTTGATGTACTGTTATTTACGTATTAGAAATATTTCACATGTGTATGTAGTTGTATGTATCATACCTATTTTGTCGGTTTTTTATCTGTTTATTTATTTATTGTTGAGTTCTTTATTGTTGTCAGTGGCTCAATCGACAAGGGCTTGCTGAAAATCAGCGCCACTAAACGGTTTGAAAAAGCCGTTTTTGGCTAGAGCTGAGCAAATCCCGATTTCCCCAGCCGCGACACGCATGACGGTGAATTAGGTAGTGCATAATTGTATCAATTGTTTTAATTTTCTTTTTATTATCATCATTATTTATTTTAGACTCTCGCCTCTTCCAGGGCCTAAAAGATTAATTTTGAATTTTCATTATTATTATTATTGTTCCTCTGTTTTTTCTCTCAAAACAGTTTTCTTTCTTTCTATATATATATAACTAAACTTCAAGGAAGTTTTAGTAAATATACACTATTTCGATCTATGCAAATGACAAACAGTGCGTGATCCCGAAAAATTCACTGACATAGTCCCGTACTAATAGACTACTTGTGATGTAATGAACATAACATGTATTTGACAATACTTAATGGTTTATTTAAAAAAAAATGAAGAGTTTGCGATTCCATTTTAAGCAATTAACATCGTGCATTATTAACTCCTGTTTCACAAGTAAATGATCAGAATTTAAACTTAATAACGACTCAAGTAACGCAACTTTTGCAACAACAAAAAGTTTATAATATGAAGTTTTAGATTTCCCTTCTCACGTTCATTTTAAATGCCATAGTGTTAACATTCGTGTTTATAAGATAGATTTAAACTTGCTCAAAATTTGAAAAATTGTAAAGCACATTGTTTTCCTACAGAGAAATCATGAAAATTGAAAAAATAACCAAAGTTTACGTATCTCCCGACCGTGTAGTCTAAATGAGCGAGTAAGGTAAATTTTGTAAAGTTAGTTTGCAATCTGTTATAAGCAGGGGCTATTCCAGTTTATGTGAAAACGAAATTCTTCCAATTAAATTCATTTATTGGCCTTGTTACAAAAAAAAATTGGCAGTTATGCTGGGAAAAATAATTTTGACATAAATGCAGTTGAAATTTCAACAATATTTCTTACAAATACCATGGTTATTTATTGATATTAATTTGTAACAGATGCAACAATTATGCCGCATTTTCCTATGGTTCAGTAAATTTCTATAAAAATTCCAGATAATTGGTTTTCGCTGCATGGCTACGTACTATAAAATTAGAGATAACTGAAAATACTTTATTACTACATTTTCATTAAATAAAAATCAATCAAAATTAATGAATTAGAACATACAGCAATTTGCAAAGATTGTCATTAAAATAAATTGCAATCATATAACAATAAAAGCAATCGTTTTTGAAGTTTCCAATTTTTTAATATTATTTTCATGGTTTGGGTATGGTAATTTATTATATTCACCCCAGACGGCGACGCAAACGCAAAAACAGGCCCTCGTGTTAACATGGTCGGCGAAACAGTTGAGGCCAATATAGTCTTTACCATCTAGTTACGCCACAATACGTGATTCAAAAGCAATTTGGCAGCTGCTCAATGTATGAATTATTTATTCAAGTCGTGCCTGCATTTAAATCGCATATGAAAATGAGATGCATGCGCGACTTAATTAGCGGCGACATTCAGTTGAATGGAAGCAATGACACGTATCTAACATTTCAAAACGGTAAGAAACACAATTAAATTTCATAGGCATTTCCACACCTAACCATTATCACGACGTTTCGGCCAGGTTGCACTGGCCATTCATTATCACTGGCTGACTGGAGATGCGATGTTACGTCTCTGTCAAATTATCTATTACATTGTTTAATCACGCTTATTAAAAATGTAATGGCAGTTACAGTATGTTATTATAGGAAACATAATTCACCTATCGTACGTTTCACTGCGGGATCGGGTATTCTCTAACATAGAGGTTCCCAGACTTTTTTTCTCATAGACCACTTTCAAAATTTAGCTGGTTTCGGTGGACCCCCTGCAGCTACATTTCTATCATATTCCCAAAACACGACAAAAAATGTGAAGGGTGTAACTATGGAAATTTGCAACGCAAATTGCTGAGTTCCAACCACAAAGTAATAGTTTTCGAAAAAAAAAGTGAGAATTTAATTGATTGTGCTGTGAGTGGATGTCAAAAAAGTAAAGATAAGTTGTACTGCGTATGGAATATGCAAGTTTTTACAAGTAACAGTCGCTGAGCTTCTTAAAATATTATCTGCCTGCATTGATAGGTGAAGTCAAGCCAACATTTTAGTTCTTCACCATCGAAAGCAGATAAATTTTCGTGGACCCCCGCACTTACGAATTGTGAACCCCCATTTTTTTTGTCACGCCAACGCAACACCCCGTGGAGTCTCCCGTGGACACAAAGGAGTCCACCTGGACCACTTTGGGAACTAAGGCTCTAACACATCGTTCTAAGGTTTGTGAACTTCGACATACAAGTTTCAATATTTTACGATATTTTTTTCCTATGTCATCATCAGCATACACGCATCCACTGCTGATAAACATAACACAACATAAGCCTCTCTTTGAGCACGCGAACTCTCCCAGACCTGGGAGTCTACTCCCTCTTCTCCGTCCGAAATTATTACTGTAAAATAAGTAATACTCGACCAAATCAAAAGACGCATGATGCGAACGCATACTTGACATTCCATCGAGTGTATAAACAGAAATAGAGACGAAATAAGGGCCATAAATTCCTGGTAACTCATCAGTGATACATCAAATCATCAATTGAAAATGAAACTCTTTGGCTGTAGAATACAGTTTGTTCCATCTGACTGTCACTTGTTTTTACATTGTGGCGTCATTTTAGAAATTGGTTGTCTACATCAACATGGATTTAACTCATGAAAATTTTCGTAGTATGATTTTCTGCGACTCTAAGTGTAATTTAACAGCTCAGCGGAGCTTCACTCGGCTTCAAACTGCTTTTGGCGGTGAAGCACCATGCAAGACGACTATTTATAGCTGGTTTGCAGAATTCAAACACGGACCCATATGGGCCCATCCCGCGTGCAGTCCCGACCTGGCACCTTGTGACCTTTATTTATTTCCAAAAATTAAGAACCAGTTACGCGGTCAACGATTTTCATCACCTGAAGAGGCTGTCGAAAAGTGAAAAATGTGTTTCAGAGATTGTCACGAAGGTGTGGCATAAATGTTTTCAAAATTGGTTCATTCGTATGATAAAGTGCATGAACGCTAACGGAGAATATTTTCAGTAACAATAAATTCATTTCTGACCATTTAAGTATTTTTTCTTATTCATTCCGGAAACTTATAGTGCGCCTCACGTACAATGCTCCGGCGTGGCCGACTACAGGGCAAGTACGGTTCGAAATTATCAGATATATATATATATATTGGATAATTATCCTCTTCTCTTATCTTTAAATTTTGACTAAAAATGAGAAAACTACATAAACATGAAGAAACGTCATTGGGTAAAAGATTTGGTGTATGACCTTTTTTATTTCACATTTGACACGTTTAGACGTCTTTGATACAAATACATGGCACGACATTGCTAGCGGTAGCATTTTGTTTGTCAAGATAACTATAGTGATAATTATTATGATATTTATCACTTCGAGTCTACTTCAGTTCTCCGTCTAACGTTCTGAAACAATTACTGTCAAATGAGTGCTACTTCACCAGATTGAAAGACGCAATGCGAATGAAGCTTCATACTCTACATTGTCTTGATTTGGTCGAATATTACTTATTTCACAGTAATTGTTTCGGACGGAGAGGACCCTCTGGAGCGGAATACCTTGGAGTGCCGAGGTCGCTCCCCGAAGTCTTCAGCAAACTCAGGAGAATGCCGAGATATTTAGATCAGCCGGGTGGCACGAACCTTGCACTAGTGATAAAAGAGACTCAGTCTTTTAAGGCGTTTTATAAAGACTCGACTCTAAAATTAAGACTGGGGTTTCGAGTTTTTATTAATAAGTCTCAGTCTTTATACTAAAAGACTCAAAAGACTTAAACAACTTGAACGACTTGAAAGACAAACGACTCGAGTTGTTTGCAAAGGACTTATAAACCTTTTTATGTTTTTAAAAAATTATGATGATAGATTATATCTATCGGATAGCTTATCCGAGACTATATTTACACATATTGTCAATTACGATGCTAATTAATATATACAATAGATGAACTGTTAAGGAATTTTCCACAAGATTATCTGCCGTGATGGTGGCTCTCCTCACTGACCGCCATTTTCGACATTTTTATCGGTAACTTATGATGTTAAAAAGCTTTCAATATCGAACATTCCCCACTGATAGTCATATGGCCACCTTTTTTTATAATTATTTTATTATTATACCTCGTCACGGAACAAACAAGTGATAAGCGACACGCCCATAACAGTTGCAGTGCCGCTGAGAGCTTTAAATTGCAAAAGATTTGAGGGGCACTCCACTGCACCCGTTTTTTTTTCATTTTTATAAGTTTTTATTAACTTTTTAATTCTGATTATATTATTTTGATCTTTACTATTAATTTCAATTTGAATGTAATTTAATTTGATATGGGTCATTGTCGCCCGAAATAAATGATTTTAATTTATTTATCGAGTTCTTAAGTTTTCGCGATTGTTACACATAGGAAACGAAACTATTTTTCCGGATTTAAATCGCGTATATTTGTTTTTTCAAACAAACCTACGTTTCGGGCCCTTTACAGGTCCCATGGTCACGGTTGACTGAGGTGGTACAGTCTTTCAGATTTAAATCCGGAAAAATAGTTTCATTTCATTTATTTTTTCATCTATTTTTTTAAAGTTCTTAGGTAAAGGGTTAAAGTTCTGAATTGCTCTGCAACTGTTATAGATAGGTGTGTCAAGTGTACAAGTCGTGCCCCTGGTGGTAAGCGCCTTACCCCTAGGCGTACGACTTGTTCGTCAAAAAAAACAAAAATGAAACAAACTTGAAACTGCCAGTATTGTATTTGCAATTAACTTAGCAAATGTTAAAAATGTACCTAATCCATCTTCTATTATGCAAATTCTCACTCTTTTGATAAGTTCGCTGTCTGTAGATTTTCTTTATCTTGTTACGAGGGATATGCGACATAATACGCATCAATTGCGTTTTAAACTCGTTCACATTGTCAAATTGCTTCTTGTACATTTAAATAAAACTTTCACGTATTATCAGAAAAAAATTTTTTGTTGTTGTTTAGTACAAACAGTCATTACAATATGAGTTAATACAGAAAAAATTTTAACTGTGCTATAGACAACGAGTACCGAATATTAAACTTAAATATTAATAACATAGGCTAAAAGGGCTTAAAAATATAAGTAGAATACAAAACTTTTTGAAGCAAAAGCGAATGGTTAACCATATAAGTGCTTGAACAAATTATTTCTTAGAACTAAAGAAAATTAAAACAACACTAATTAACCGGGATGTGAACCAGCGACTACAGGCTTCGTAAGAAGACTAAGGGTGTTAAGTCTGGGAGTACAAACATTTGCTAATGAACTCACTCTTAAAGGTCGATAAATGCAACGATGAGTTATCTTTCAAAACTTCGTTACAAAATTTACACTATCGTGTTAAAAACGTTCTGCGTGTTCTATTCCTTACTAATAAATTGGCTAGACTTTACTATCGTTACTTCAATGTTTGTTTTGTCATATATGTATAGCTCGTTAATAGAACGAGATTGACCCAAGCTACAGCACAAAACGTCCAGTGCTGAACTAAATACTTAACCCAGAAAATTTCACCTAATGCTAGTTACAAATTCAATGACTGGGACATAAAAAGGCTTAGATAAAGACAATTATATCTCGAATCATCTTAAATAATTTACCAAACTTGAATGAAAAACACTGCGCCGCTATTTGGAAAACAATATTTCATTATCAACAACCCTTAACGCAGATCTTCTTTAAGCTGTATATTTACTAAAAAAAAAATACGTCATAAGTTCTCTCTACAGATGTCAAGAAAACCGTCGTAGACACCAAGAGACAGGTCAGAAAAAAATTTAAATAAAAAAGCATAAAATTTTTTTTCACCGACTCAAACCGCGTGTGAATGAATATGTGTGGTGACTACCTCATACTGCAGCAACGTAGTCGGCAGTAAAGAACAAAGCTAGTTTCGTCTATTTGCAGTAGGTAATATTAAGCCAACAAGGTGCGAGTCTCCTTCAATCTCTCCGCATTCGACCCAATGTGGTTTACGGATTTCAAATTTCTTTAGAGTTATTTCAACGACTTTCGACTCTTCTCCTACTTTCAGATTACAGCAAGGGACAATTAAATTTCAAAATATTGTACAGGTGCCTAAATGGTTTAATCATTAGTTCAGTTTAGTAAAGTTCTCACAAATAGTATACTCACTAGTAAAAAATAATGTTACTTACGTGATCCAAAGGCAGAACAAGAAATGCGCCTCCACCAGCAACTTCAGTCACAATAGCCACAAACTTGGGATTGACTGCGCAGAAATTGGAATCGTGCGCATTCCTCGTGATCTTTATGTTGTCGTAACAACGTTCTCTTTTGAATGGCACACCGTACACATGTCGGAACTTTGAGCTCCTGACGCCGCGGAACCATACCTGAAAGATTAGAAGATATACTAACAAGGTCAAAAAACCTAAGTAATCATAATTGAATTTTAATGGTTAGACGTTAAAAACTCATTAACAAAAATATGTTAGTAGAAAGCTAGAGAATGTGGGAGTATTTTGTAATGAATTTAATCTACATTATGTTAATTCCTTAAAGATTTGCGATAGATATCCCTTGTTTACGTCACCTCTATTGTGTATTACAAATTGTATTCGTAATCGGTGGAGTAGGCATCCATTGCGCGATATGCTAGAAATTATACACAGGTCGTCTGAACAGACCAAGTAACGAGTATCCAATTGCAGCATAAATACCAAGGTCATGGCTGATAAGTTACTTCCTTCAGGTCCTTATGTAACAGCGCTAGTATTGACTTTTGATATCAATGTTCGTTTTTGTGGTTGCAGCGATTGTTCCGCGACTAAATTTAGGTATGTACCTAGTATATGAAAAATGTATCTTCTAGACGTAATACTTATTCTCTCTAACTTAAAGTTCAGTGAAATGACAAATGCTATAGGCAATTCTGAACTTTAGAACCTCAACATAAGTGATGGTTTTCAGAATTTTGATCAATTTTATACATTTTTATGGACAACTCACGCTTGACCAAAAAATTGACTATGCCAAACATTGACTTGTAAGTCAATGATGCCAAAATTGTTTTCACAAAAAAGACTTAATGATTCCTAAGACAGTTGCCTTGTATCTTCTATGATTTCGGATTTCCCCATATTGTCCCCTTTAAACAAAAATATCTGTATATTGTTCAACTCTACATTTAAAAAAACAATTCTTAGTAATAAAAACTACAACTAATTTGTTAATTGTTTGCAAACTCCATACCTCGGTACAAAAACTCGCTAATGAACGCTCTTAAGGTCGACATGAATGCAACGATTTAATCTTTCATGTTGAGTTGAGGGGCTATGTTGAGTGTGTGCGTTATTATTATTATTTCAATGCCTCGTTAAAAAATTTCCACTATCATGTTAATACGTTTTGCCTATTGGGAGCTAATAAGTTGGCTAGGCTTTAAGCCTGTTGTTTCTTCTTAAATATATTTGGATTGTTTTAATCCATAAATAATTATGCCTAATATCAAAACAAAAAAAAATCTTTTTTCTTTTTCAATAAAAAATACTTTGATAAAAACAGAACAATAGGGGAGTTTTGACGACCCTGCGGTTTTCTCTCATTTTTAACCGACTTCAAAATAAAGGAGGGGGTTCTCAATTCGTCTGCATGTTTTTTTTTTGTATATATGTTACGCGATAACTCCGCCATTTGTGATCCAATTTTGATGATCCTTTTTTTATTGGAAAGAAAGTTCCTCAGATGTGGTCTCATTTAAATTTCAAGAAAATATTCCACCTCTAAAGGTGCAAACTAGGGGATGAATGACTTTTGAGGTCGGTTTTTTAACAGGAGGTTAGGTTATTGTTTATAGATAACTCAAAATGAAACATTGCATTTAATCGAGACTTGTCAATAACCACGACTAATGACAATAGTATAAATATAATTGAAGTGTTAGATAACGAATACACACAAGTGATTATTCAACTACATAAGCATAAACAATGAGTAAGCATAGCTTGGGGAACGTGTGTTATCACAACACCAATGAATCAAATATACTTTAAGTTCCAAGTTACATTAAACAATAAACTAACTTTCTTGTAAAACGGCTTACACGTAACAACAAAAGAAAAAAAAACTAAGCAAGTTAAGCGGCCTACATTTACTGTTATGGAACGTGTATTGCCATACATTTACTACTTATAAAAACTAATCTAAAACGCCGCAAGGAAAAAATACAAAATGTACGGTCACAATGAAAACTACGTGGAAATGTTGCATTATTTAATCAAATTAACACAAATCGTCGGGGATAGCGCAATTACGCGTAACTAGTATTGGATGATGAGTTTCCATTTCGGTAATTTAGTCACCAAATCCGCGTATATGTCGTGGCAAGCAAATTAACGTGATATACGGGAATCTATAGTTATCAGTCCGTAGACAACATGAATTAATGCATACTGTGCAAAAATCAAAGTCGTACCCATTGAAATAACAAAGTAATAACTTTAAATCCCCCTCGTGCCTTTTACCAATGCTACATACGCGGATTTGCACTATCCCCGACGAAATGACAACCAATCAGTAAAGTAATAGGTAATAAATTTTGATTAATATGATGAAACTCTACATAGCGTTTTTCTCAGTGTGACGATAATAATAAGCTATTGTTACCAACTTTTCTCAGTATCGTAAAATTGACTAATCTGTTTCAGAAGTGACGCAAAAAAGTGTGATCGGGAGTTTCTCCGCGTTTGAAAAAAAGCATTGAACTGAGTTGAGCCTTATTTTCTCCGTAGTAACTTCAATATTTCCATTTACTCTGAATACAAGTATGTTCCTTGTACCAGAACATTAAAATACTATGCACGAACGATATTGCTGTAAAAATCACTCTGTTTCCCATACTTAATTAAAAGAGCGTCAAGGATTATGAACGCAAGACTTTGCCCTACAAGTTGTGAAAATCCTAAAAAGTTGTGAAATCTCGTGTAGGGCCTCACAATTACTATTTATGATTTAACGTTTTTACGTTAAATCATAAATAGTAATTGCGATGAGATTCTATTTCCTATAAATATTTTACCTGTTTTTATTATTAATAATGTTATATGTAGGTTCGCATTTGCACCCAATGCTGTAAGGTGATTGTGGAAGAAAAAGGCACATGCTCGCCTAGATTGTCGGTCCAGTCTGAGCTTAAAATGATAAGGCGAATAATCTACAACTTTTTTATAAAAAAAACTGACTTCAAAAGTTCGTGGTATTACATCCATTTGCCAAGTTTTATTGGAAAATGGGACCAATATTCAGGTACCCTCTTTCCCACAGAAAAAGAATCATCAAAATCGGTTTACAAACGTAATCGCTCAACATACATACAAAAAAAAACATAGCCGAATTGAGAACCTCCTACTTTTTTCAAGGCCTTAAAAAGGCGTTAGGCAAGGCCTTAATAAGATTTAAAGAGAATTCTACTAATTTATTAGTGACTTAAAAGGACAACACTGACACGACTATTATTTGTCCAATTTTTGACAGACAAATAGTAAGACTGGTTGTAATTGTTAAAATGGCAGTCAAAAATTGGTTTAAGTAGCAACACCGATACAGTGATCTATGTGACACCAAGCAATGTTTTCTTTGGCATTGCGCGGTTAATCTGCAGATTGTGTGGTTTCTTATGGTTTACTATTTCTTTACATACCATAATCCGAAGGTAAACATTTAGAATTAATAAAAATTACTAGTTCTTACTGTTTTTTATTTAACCAACATAGCGTAAATGATAATATAATTGAAGATAATGTGGCATGAATTTTACAATCTGATAGACAAGCGTGTTAAGATAACGAGCTTGTCTGTCGACGTCATTGAAATATTGTCTAGAGGAAATGCAACAGTGTAAATGCTTTAAACCTTTTTATAATTAGCATCGCAATGTCGTTAATATCATAATACGACAAAATGTACCTGGTAATCAAAGTAAGTACCCTGTTCCTCGTGACTGTACACACACCCTTTTCTCTCCGTAATTGTGCCCAAAACTTATTTTGTATTTTGATGACCTCAGTGGCCCAGTGATTAGAATTGCGGGCGCTTGATGAGGAGGTCCCGGGTTTGTAAATTGATCCTGGAGTGGGTGTTCTGTACATGACCCAGAGTTAATTTTCGATGTTCTGGTACTCGTAGGGAATTAGTGCAGTTATATGGCACCATTATCAAAAGATAATAATGAATGAATGAATTATGAATTTATTTATTTTTTATGATACAAAAATATAATAACGTAGATGTTACTTGTAATTTTCAATCATATAAACAGTAATTTCGATTTGGATAATTTTAAATAAAGGGTATAAATTGCTGCAGAATTTTTATGAACTAACTTCTATAGACGACAGGGTATATGCTAAATCTTATAATCTTAATATTTTTTTATTTTGATATTTGCACATAGCTTAGTTATTACTTGTTTAAATTCAACTCTTCTCTTATATACTCGGTAGATAAGAGCCATATTTACTGTTTCACGTCACTTGTCATAATTTGAATTGCATTAGGCGACAGGTTATTTAGTTGAATGGTTAAGTAAATCCGTTATTCTTATTTTAAATGTAAAAAAGGTAGGTTCTCACGACTACTAGACATAGAAAATGACTATTTTTTGGATCTAAATCGTGTGTATTTGTTTTTTCAAACGGGTCCAATCAGCTACGACTATGGGACTTATAAAGAGCCAAAAACATTGGATTATTTGAAAAAACAAAATACACGCGAATTTAGATTCGAAAAAAATTGTTCCATTTCCAATTTCGTCTCAAATATAAACAATTTACTTGTATTGTATTCTGAACTGGCTAATATACGGAGTAGGGTAATAATTACAGTAAGTGGCCAGGCCTCGGCAAATATAATAGAAAGAAACAAGCAAACGAATACGGGTTTGGTAGGGAATACAGAAGTATATTTATCACTGTCGTTCGCGCCATCACTTCCATAAGTTTGTTTCTTTCTATTACATTTGCAGAAGGTTATTACTGTAGCTTGGCCAATTATAACTGCTACCCTTCTTAATATTCCCCTTCAACATTCAATCTTCCAGCGTTACTCAGGAAAATACCTATTTATCAAGAAAATTAACACCAATTTACACAAGATCTTACTTAATAGCCTAAGGAATAAGTCTTAATATAAAAAGTTATAACTCCGGCCAATTAAGTAATAAACTAATTGATGAAACTAGAACCGTGACGACCTTATTTTCGATGTCAAGGACCCAGGAAATTAGGGATTGCTTTATAAAAGAATAATGAAAAATAAAGAGGGATTCATAGTTTTGTATTTACAAGGTTGAATCGACATTAGTTTCACACTTTATTGGATGAAGAAATAAAAAGAAATACAAAAAATAAATCGTGCAAACATAAAAAAACATAATGTAGGTACCTGTGAATTAGTCATGTTGTCTCCACTCTACTCAGGCGTGATAAAGACATGCACTACATAGAGATGTACTCCCAAACTAAATTCTGTGCATTTTACAAACAGTCAAGTACACAAGTAACATACAGCGACTGATAGCATGACGCACTGTAACTTAACACTGAAAGTGTGAAACAAACAAAAAAGATGCATTAACACAACAGAGATCAATAAATTAATATATATATATATATATATATCAGCTGATGACGCAATCACAACAAGAAACACTACACTTATGATGGTTATAAAATTAAATAGACGTTTTAAAATTGTAACAAAAATACGTGTGCTATTCCGACAGCGTCACATGCGCGTGTCTTGAGCGGCAGACCAAAAAAAAGTGAAAATATACTTGTTATAGAGTCGACGCCGCCGACTAGATGAGAGAAATTCAAATTCATTGTGTTTAAAACGATGGAAGTGCAATTAAGTTCTAAAATATTATGATACAATAGTTTTGGACCAGTTTTGAGGTTCAATTTTGTGAAAACGTTTGGAAAGTATAAATTCATCATCCATTTGCAAAATCATGACGTAAAATACTTAATTATTCCATGTCATGTACAATATGTGTACAACACTAAAATTAAATATTATGATACAATAGTCTTGAACCTGTTTTGAGTTCCAATTTTGTGAAAACGTTTGGAAAGTATAATTAACCATCACTTTGCAAAATCATGACGTTAAATAATTAAGTAACTACGTCATATACAGCACGAAAATGATTTTGATTTCAACATTTAAGTTACAATAAAAACCACCGTAAACATAAGACAAAACTTTTAAAAATAATGTAATACTTTCCCTTCACAATGGCTAAGAAAGAAGCATTACATGATGGTCAGCAAACCATTACAAAAAAGATATAATAGTGCTCGCGAATTTGAAAATAGGGGCCGGTGCGCATGACCATCTAGCACTTATGTCATGGTCCGACGGACGAAGTACATGGCAAATGATATAATAGATTTGTTCAATTACATCATCGCTAAATACATAGTCATGGTAAGAGGTTGACCATGATTATTAAAGATAAAGACCGATAAAGACCATGCTCACTGGGTATTTGTTTAAAAAAAAACATAGCGGAGAGTAACACTGGAAATAATTTTCATATGCAGATTTTTAGATAAGCAACTGATAAGATATTACGTTGAACATATTGTAACATGCTGTAATTACAGCATAGGTACTAGTAATTACTAGTACCATTCAAAATTGGTGATTGTTTTATTGTTCTTTTAGAGAGATAAAATATAAAAAACAAGATATAAAAATTTCATCACCCACCACCACGCAAAATAATTAAAAACACGTATGTGTTATATTAACACATAATAAATAAAATCACAAGGAAAAAAATTGCTTCCGAGACCCCCCTAGGTTGCGAAACTATGATTAGAGGGTGATGAGATTGTGATATGACACAAAGTTTATAAAATCATTATTCGCAACAATCGAATAAACACAGAAAACTCCTCTCTCAGGACTCGCACCAGAGTCTGTTGCCTCAACGTGGCTACCGCTTTGCCAACTGAGCTACAGATCGAGCCAGTTATGTAAGATTTTTCTTTGCGTTGTTCGATTTTGTATCAATAATAAAAAAAAATTATAAAATCATTTTCATATCAAATTCCTACCCTATAAACGTTTTGTAAACTTTTTAATTCAAGCTAATAAATGTATAGAATAATTAACAGAAATTAAAAAATTTAAAACGGAAAATATAGAGCTGGAAAGGCAATGTTTGTCAATGTAATCAGGATGTCTTTCGCTTTACGCGGTGAACCTGCGGGACGAGGAAGCACAAGGTTAAATTATTTTGTTCGAGTAAAAAAGGGCTGACATCACTACACTTTAAGAGTCGTATTCCAGAACTCTACTTAATACTCAAGTCAGGACTTGAGTATTGCAGTGAGCACGGAAAATCATACTCAAGGCCTTGCAATTAGGGTCCTATTTCCAGTGCTTGAAATCATACAAGTCTGCTCAAATCTTGACTTGAGCATTGAGTAGAGTTCTGGAATACGAGCATAAGAGTTCCTTGTGAAAGTGTCCCAGGTATGTACGGCCACCATACCTATTTCTGCCGCCAAGCCGAAATGACCTTGACTGCGTTCCGGTTTTAAAGTGCGAAAGGGCTGATGCTAGAAATAACGGGCACATGGTACTTGTCAACATGACACCTCGTGGTGATGGGCGCAGTGGCGCTGCAACTGTTATAGATAGGCGTGTCGGTTAGCACCAGGAGCATGACTCGTTCGTCCACATAAAAAAAAAGGTTAAGAAGACATTGAACGGGACAGATTTATGTCTACTACACCTTCAAGAGACTATTAAAGTTATTCCATAATCAACTCGGCTATTGAAGTTAATTTGTCCCTCTCTTGGATAACTTGACGACTTCAGTGGTGCAACGATTTGCGCTGTGGGTGCAGATGGGGAGGTCCTGAGTCAATCTCTGGTAGGACACACATGGGGAAATAAACTTTTCGAAATTGATTCTGGTCTGAGTGCCCAGTAGTGCCCCGGAGTGAATTCCCTTGCTCTGGTATTGACTCAGGGAAACGCGTGCAGTTTGCAGTAAGCAGACGATAACCTGAAGACTGTTTCACGCGTACACACTAGAACCTCTTTACTGTGTCTGTCACGTTACAGTTACAGCTCGCTGATGAGTACCCGGTTTGAGATTGTACGTCTCACTCAGCTAGGACAATAATGTCAGATACGACACTGGGGCGAGACGAAAGGTCAACGCCATCACTTAAGGCGCAATTTACTTTGCCGCGGAACGAAATGGAAGGGAATTTTTGTAACAAAATTGAACATAGCAAAATGAACCTTGTGTCAATTGTGTAATGTACCAACAAGATATAAATATGGTACAAGGGAAATTCCTGAGACTGCGCGAAAATTCTCCGGAAGACAATTGAACTGATATTTTGTACGTTACTCAATTGACATAAATGTCATTATGCCATGGCCATAAAAATAAGCCTAAGAATCCAAAAGTTACTCATCAACTTTTATAATTAGTAGTACTACTTTAGCTCAAAACGAAATTACAAGACACAGCTCACTGATTATAGCATAATGGAAAGCAGGTTACATAAAACCGATCATCTGATTGGTAGAGAAAGCCGCATTGATTGAAATGCAAATTAAACATGCGTCTCAAGACAAATCAGATACAAGTTCATATATCACCTGAGATTTGTATATCTTAATAAATTGAAGAATGTAAGTTAGTCAGTGATGAAATTTATATGTTGTTAATTTATTACTATTTTCATAAAAGCCTGTTAGTATTAGATGTAATTCGAAAGATTAAGTGGTGAAATTTAGGTATAATTTAAACTTTTAAAAGTGAAATTTTTGAGATAAATCGTGGTATTTAATAATATAACGGGAAACCTAAGAAATTAAAATTCTTCCACTCTCAAATTATATAAATGATGGAATTAATTATCATTTCTATAATGAAAAACAAAATTGTGCAAAAAGAAAAAAAAAATAAACACTGTTATTGCAAACACTACCTGACCAATATGCGAGGAAATTTTCACACCGCGAGCGAATCTAAGTTAGCTTTAGTTTACACAGACGCAGCATGTTTTCATACAATTGTTCACACCGCAAACTAAGCTAACCGGGCTAAAGTCGCATAGTTGGTTATATGCAGCTACGTGAGGTAAGCTAACTAGCTTATCTTCACTCTAACTTAACTTCTCTTGTAGTAATGGAAAAATATTGTTTATAAATATGTTGAAATGTTTGTTGTCTAATAAAAAGCGCTACTGTAAAAAAATGGCGGAAAGATCATAAATATTACAGGGAAAATATTTATGATAGTCTTAGGTTTTACTATTTGTCCTATTTAGTTTATAATTTTTTTATACTAGCCTTATCTCATCGTACCGCACATGTCTTATTAAATAATTTATTATTGTCATACTTATGTAATACTACACCATTAACATCAATCTCTTTCTATAATTTAATTATTTCTTTTTCTTCTTGTATTTTAGTATGTCGACATGGTGTTGCCTGATGCTATTGCAGAATCAGTAACTTATTTTAATTATTTGGATAAAATCATACTATTAGGGGATTTCAATATTAATCTATTGGATAGTAATAGTTTAAATTATCCTAAATTTCAATCTTTTACTCAAAGTTGCGGCTTGTTGCAGGTAGTTGATGGACCAACACATTATACTGAAAACTCTGCAACATTGATCGACGTAGTATGCACAGACTGTGTGATAAAAAAGTGGATTTGGATAGTGTTTCAAACCTCGTAGGTCACTGTATGGTTAACGTAACCCTTAACATAAAGAAATATAAATTTAAACCTAAATTTATTACTTATAGACCTATAAAAGATATCAATTTGGATGAATTTAACATAGATTTAATAAATTATGGCTTCCTAAACATTAATTCGTTATGCAATGTAGACGATATGGTCGACTCCTACACTAGTAAAATTTTGCAACTTTACGATTGCCATGCGCCTGTACAAACAATCCTTTTAAAACATAAATCTACTCAGTGGGTAACTCCTAATACTAAACTTATTATTGATCTGTGTAATAAAGTTCTTTGCCGATTCCATCACAGCCGACTCGACACTCATAAGGATTATTATAAAAAGCCTCAAAAAACAAGTTAACATAGCTATGCTCTCTGAAAAACGTGCATATTTTAACCAACGTATACATAGCTGCTCCAACGACCCCAAGAGGCTCTGGAAAAACTTAAAGAATAATGTTCTTTCTTGTAATAAACGATATGAGACCTTGCCACCTCAAATTTCTGATCCTGAAGAAATAAACAAACATTTTCTAACCCTCCCATGTATTGAAACAATTCCACTTTCCGAATTGGCATTCTTTAAGCAGCATAAATACAACAGTAGTATTTTTACTCTGCGAACAGTAAATGAAATAGAGGTGGGTAGAGCCAACCTTTCAATAAAATCGGGAGCGTCAGGGGAAGATAATATAAATTCGGATATGGTTTTATTAACACTGCCGCACACTCTACCTCTTGTAACGAATATTATCAACAAATCCATTTCTTCCTCGACATTTTCGCTTGCATGGAAGTCTGCTCTGATTACGCCCATACCCAAAATCTCGATTTATGTCGATATACAAAAATTATATTAGTGCTATTATCAATCTCTCTCTAGGGCGTCGGATTTGCAGTTAAACACACACCCTCCTCCATACATTTATAAAAACTAATCAGTTAATAAATACACAAATTAAGGGAATAACTGAGGTTTAGGAATTGGGAGTCTGCACATAATTAAGAAGAACCAATCAAAAGTATATCTCTCAAGTAAAAGGAAAGGTACTAGACCCATTCCTCACAGAAACAAAGATTTTTAATACAGTTTTGTACTAATTTAAAGAAGCAATTTCCTTTAACTACGCTAATTAAACATGTAATTAATTCAATACAGGAGTTTTTAGAAACAAATACACAAAGTGAACAAGTCTACTGCATTTAAATAACAGGCCTTTACATAAGAACAAGTGTAGAACAAATGCAAGTGCTCGCATGAAATTGAGGTCAATTAATACAACAATTCAGATATACTACTTTCTTCTACAATGCAGGGTTGGAAATAAAGAAATGTAGGGTCGTTGAATGTTGGCGCAATACATTGTCTTTACAAAGAGCATTTTGTTTAGTGAAATGTAATTATAATATTTATGGCCGAGTTACAAGACCTTTAAGCCAAGTCCTGTTTAAATTTAAGAGTTTGTTAAATAGTTTCTATAGTGTATTTCACAGATTTATATAAAGCACTGTAACACTTCTTACTTTTATTTAAAAATAAAATAAAGCACAAAGACATACAAGACTAAAAGGCTTTATAAAAACAAATATACACTGATGTGTACATTTTATGTAAATGACTACTACACAATACATTATTCAGAAAATTAAGCAATACAAATGGATTATTGAAAAAAAAAACTTTATAGGCAATAAACTCTTAAGTTACTTAAATAATGGAATGATTGTAATTTTCGTAAACTATTGTTTATTAACAATTGATGCAGTGATATGGCTAAATCACAATAACACCTTTTTTCTGAATTCATCTGTTCACACTATAAACAATATAGAAATATGTGGTAAACGTAATGGTATTAATAACCGTTGGTATGAGATCAAACGGAAAATGGTTGTAGGTTCGATCCCTGAACCCTGTGAATTACACGCATCATCATTTCAACGTCCCAAAGTAACTTTTCTAGTCTCATATTTGGTGGAAGCAATAATGCATCTAATGTATGTAAATTTCTAAGGTATTTTCAAGTACAGAGTGTTTCCTATATTGTGCAATAAGTACATTTAATTAGATTCGTCACTCTTTATATTGCAAGTCAGTATTTTAAAGTGTGAACAAGATTGTTCCGCAAATATGTAATTTAGTTAAATTGTATTTTTATATTCTCTATATGGTGTTGTGACCTTTCGGGCAATATGGCATATGTATGCAAGTATTATGACTTTGTAAAAAAAATTGATGATGTAATCAATCAATTTTATACTTTTTTGTATAACATAAATAATAGGTAACATAAACAATCAACAACACGCCATAGTACAGGTGAATTATCAAAAGTTAATGTGATGTATGATAGGAATCAGTACTGGACAGATATCTTGTAAAACAGTCCTCTTGTGTCTTGTGAAGGTTGAGTGACATCAGCTATCACAATATTTTCATAAGCCGACTAATGTGTGTAAGCGAAACAGGAAATATTTCTCAGTCCCACTATGCAATATTATTACTGCTGCAATCAAGCACACATTAACTAACACATGCAAACTTATACTAAAACTTTCCAGTTTTCCATAATTATATTAATAAAAATTAGAGTCATGATTTCAAAAAAATAATTAAAATCGCACTCCTGTATTATATAATATTCCAATATTTTCTTTCCAGCATCAAAATCATCCTCTTTACATTGATAGGATGTAATTTATAAACTTCATACAATAAAATATTTAGATTGTTCCATTCAAAATTTCATATTCAATGCTATACAGTGTAAATAATTCATTACTGTAACAAATTAAATTCCTTAATGTTGTGAAGGGTGAGCTGTCTCTGTGGCTTGTAAACAAAATATTAAATACCTAATAATGCTTCATTTTACTAAACTACTAATTCTCTCTGTAAAGATCTAAGATGTTCAAAACTTGTCTCCAATTGTAAATATTGTTATTAATTTAATTTATTTTATGTAATATAATGAATCATCGCGTTTAAACTGTTTAACATTATAATGTTATCTGAGTCTATTTGACTTAATTTCTGTTTAGATAGTTCTTACAATATTGTTGAAGTATTATAAGATTCAGTCAGTTTTACTCTGAAAACAGCTAATCCAAAATATGCCTATCATAAAATAAATTATAACTTTCATGTTTAAAGCACGCTTCTAGACCTCCAAAGACGAATTTGTTTGGTAAAAGCCCTTCTTTTTCCTTTAGCTGGTAATAATACACAAAATATAATTGTATTTTATAGACTACAAAACATCATACCAATCATTATTACTTTGTACATTTGTATGTACTTACAGTATAATACTTTGTGTTTGTAATTTAGAATATACTTGGGATCTAAAAAGACCGAGGAATTACCAAGACTAATTCATAGGAAATCATAGAGACGTGTATGTTTCTTCATTTCTATACCGAGATAAAACAACAACTATTCTAATTCATGTTTTATCTCGAGTAAAGTATATTAACTATATTTAGTTACATTAATAATTTAAATACATAAGTACTAAAAATCTGCATAAAGAACAAAACACTAGAAGAAATTATGTGAGACGAAACATAATATATAATTAAAAAATCCAATACCACATAGAAAGCTTAACAAAAAACCTAGCAGCATGGTCTTTTCTCCCGCATGGCTGATCACTATTTTCTAGGGCAAAGAATAGCTCGTGAAACCAACAAGGATCGATAATATCTACAGATCATAGAGCCGCAACACACCAAAAGCTATTTAAATACTATAACTAATTAAATCTTACCTTAGCGGCAGGTTTGTTGCAAGCTCTCACGTCTACAAGAGCACTATTTTTCGCGGGACTCTTCTCGCCAATGTTTAAAACCTCCAAACAATTGGCTTCATTTTTCATCTCATCTTTGGCCGGCGGCATATCCTTTATTAAATTTTTCTATCAAACACTTTTAAATCAAATATACTGAAGTAATCCTGTATTAAAAAAACAACAATAAAGTATTTTTCAAAAAACTACTTCACAGAAACGACAATCCACAGTGATATCTAATGAATGATTGATTGATTACAATGAGTGAGTGAATGAAGAAAACAAAAGAAAATCAATTGAATGAATATAATGAAAACCATTGTATGATAGCTTTGGATCCTTGGAAGTATTAAAATTCAATATCTCTGGTTCAAAGTTGTCGTTGGCATTGCAGGCTGAGACAGGCTGTTAAAAAAGTGAAATAATTAAATTCGCTACGTACAGGGTCAAGAGCTTGACAAAGGTTTAAATTTAACTCTATGCCGCTTGCAATAAGAACGGTCCAAAGTCCAAAGTGTCAAGCTTGATGTGCTCTTGACTATACCTATACAATTCGTTCAAACTGACTAACCGACTTTAAAAAAAAGTAGGAGGTTCTCAATTAGGTATTTTTTTGTATGTATGTTACGCGATAACTCTATACAATACGTTAAAAATTTGTGAACAGCTTTTGATGATTGTTTTTTTGTTGGAAAGACCTCAGTATTGTGAATGATTTTAATGTAAGTACAGTAAATTTGAACGAAATATTCCACCTCTAAGGGTAGCACCCCTAGTATAAATCCGGTTTCGTACACTTTCCGGTCCGATTTAAATAAAACTTGGCAAATAGATGTAATTTCACAAACTTTTGAGAACGTTTTTTTTAAATAAAATAGTTACAATTATTTACTGTAGACAATAATAAGCTAAATGAAAACTATCAGTTGAAAAATTCTGTCTGTAACAACAAGTAGAGGTCGAGTATTCAGTTTAATCACCTCGCAAGATTGGCATGTAGGTACCTAGTATGAAATTGTAATATAATCTGTGTTTACTGATAATGATATACGTGTAGCGCACTATAAGTTTTCGGAATGAATAAGAAAAAAAATACTATAAATGGTCAGAAATAAATTTATTGTTTGTCAAAATATTCTCCGTTAGCGTTAAATCATTTTTTCATATGAATGAACCAATTTTGAAAACATTTATGCCGCTCCTCCGTGACAATTTCTGAAACATATTTTTCATACTCTTTGACAGCCTCTTCCACCTGAAGAGAGAATAAAAATCGTTGACCGCGTAACTCGTTTTTAATTTTTGGAAATAAATAAAATTTACAAGGTCAGGCCAGGTCGGGACAGTACGCGGGATGGCTCATAAGGTCAACGTTGTTCACCTTCAAAAATTCATTTGTCTCTCTGGCCGTGTGAGAACTGGCAGTATCGTGGTGCAAGATGATACGGCGTTTAAGGTAACTTTTACGGAGTTTGTTAATAACTTCCGGCAAACAAATGGTCGTGTACCAACCACTATTCAGGGTACAACGAATCTCCAAAGCAACAGTAGCCACGTGTCCAGTTTTATTGAAAAAAGAAGCAATCATCCGCTTAGAGGCACTTTGCACGCGCGCCACTTTAATTGGTTTCAGCTCATCTCGAAAGACCCATACGCTCGATTGCTGCTTTGTTTTGGGATCGTAACTATAAATCCATGTTTCGTCACCTGTTACTATTTCCCACACCAAATTTGACGCCCCTTCGTTGAATCTGGTAAGCATGGCATTGCACAAAGTGACGCGATCCGTTTTTTGAGCCTCAGTCAAATTGTGTGGGATCCACCGAGAGCACAGCTTTTTCACACCCAAATATTTTTGTAGTATTGATTGCATTTGACTCATGCTTTTGTCCAAAGATGCCTGAATCTCATGGTATGTCACCTGCCTTTCTATTTTGATCATACGGCGCACAGCATCGATGTTTTTGTTGTTCACAGCAGTGGACGAGCGGCCATTACGAAATTCGTCACTGAGATTCACACGACCGCGTTTGAATTCTGCAAACCAGCTAATATAAATAGTCTTGCATGGTGCTTCATCGCCAAAAGCAGTTTGAAGCGCCGAGCGAAGCTCCGCTGAGCTGTTAAATTACACTTAAAGTCGTAGAAAACGTACTACGAAAATTTTCACGAGTTAAATCCATGGTGATGTAGACAACTAATTTCTAAAACGAGGCCACAATGTAAAAACAAGTGACAGTCAGATGAAACAAACTGTATTCTACAGCCAAAGAGTTCCATTTTCAAATGTTGTAATTACTTTTTAAATATTGTTTATGTAAGTGGCCAGTTCCGGAAAGTTATAATGCGCCCTATGTAGATTTGATTGCCAACCTTCTAAAATCATTTATAAGAATCATTCATAAATATAAACGAACAACTATTAAATATTTCGTCAATGAAAATATTAGAAATAAAAGTAAATTATATGCAAAACACTAATAAACGCCTGTCAAATATAATACAGCAAATTTACAAACAGAAGTCGAGGCATAACACTGTTCGAGGCAGGCAAGTAATTAGCTTAGACTTACCTGCTTTTATTTTCCTTTTAACGTTTCGTAAATTATATATATACGCTCGATGCTAGTTTTTAATTTTAATTAGCGTATTGTAATATGAAGACACTACTTACATAATATTTGATATATATAACAATATGTAACGAATGCCAAAAAAATCCCTTTATGACCTTGATAAACGGCTGAGTTTTACCGGGAGTTTTGCACAGGCCAAGTACGCGTATGTCTATATTATGAGGCCTTGAGTATTATTTGAAAAGACGGTAACCTGACCTGCCTCTTGCACGCGACTGGCCATTAGATTGAGAGTAAATACTTAAATTTAAATAAACATGTACCTAGAACTTTGTTTAAATTTTTAAACAAATCTAAGTGCGTACAGCAATTATATTCTATTAAAACATTGCATTGGCTAATAGACTTAATATGCGTAAATAGGTAGGAACATTTGGTATTTTGCTTCTCATTCATGATGCATTTAGCAACGACAACCAAATTCAACATAAAAACAAGTCGCTTATTTGATTTTGCTCAGCACAAGCCGCGTCAATTTAAGTTTATCAAGAGACCGGTCCGTTTGTATCCATTTGACTTGAGCCAGTCACGCCCGTCAACTCAGGCAGATTACTCGTGCTTGTTTACGTTAATAAAATTTTATATACTAATTATGGTGAAAATACATAACTTTGGGGCGGGTCCAGCTAAAATGCCGGAAGAAGTGAGTTCAACAAGAAATATATATAACTAATGCGCGCATAATTATAACTTGAATTGTTTTCGGTGAGATGAAAATAAACTTTCAATAACAATTCAATTACGCGGGTTATTTATTATGTGATACCTGGCGTGGCGTCATTTACTGAAATATTTGGATTTTTACAGGTGTACAATATATTACGCGATGAGTTAACGAATTTTGAAGGAACCGGCATTAGTTTACTTGAAACAAGTCATCGTACAGCTCCTTATATGAATTTAAATACAGAAGTTCAAAACGTGGTGAGACGATTATTGTAAGTACCTGTTAATTACTTTTTAGCTAAAATTAGATTGATTTAATTACGTGATAGGGTACTATGATTATTTAGCGGTAAATAAGTGGGTAAATACCTAAAAGAACAGAATTCGGAAATATTTTAAAACATGAAATACGGTCACAGCCAGTTACGTCATGACGTCATAGGATTGCCGCCGTGCCGGTTTGTGGATTTCTTCAAAATTAGTTATTGGAACTATGGTAGTCGTTTTAATTTACTTTACAATAATTTTTATCAAAGCACTACAAACCGTGCTAGCAACTAGCATAAAACAGCATACCGTTCGACGTAATATGAAGTATTCTTTGGACGTAATGCCTGCTTCTCGTTAGCGAGAGCACGAGCACCTGTATTCACAAAAATTTGAGAGACAGTATTTTTGTTTGAAAAAGTTATTAAAATAGCCTTGAAAGGAAATTAATGAGACAACAGAGTAATATAGTTATTTTTTATTTTTCGACAGGGAACATTTTTTCAGCAGAATGACAACGTACCTACATCATACTTTTACTCATAAAGCCATTGACTTCCAATTATATGGACGTCGAGTCCGCGCTAAAAAGTGTCCGCACTTGTAAGGCGCTAAAATCGTATACAGAGCGCCACACTCCGCTTTAGTCTTCATTTGTTCTACTGACAGCGCGATACTGCGATGATATTACAATTTAAATTTCGAATAGGTTGACTTGGGACATTTTTTTCGTGGTTTTTGTACTTATTATTATTATTTTGTATTAGACCCGTCGTCCATTTATTTGTAAGTCAATGCATAAAGCATATAGCTTTTACTACTTAACAGTCATTCATTTTACGATTGCTTTCACCCTAGGACTAATTTTTTTCCATCCTCTAAACTTTCACCCCTATTTTCTTCTTTATTTTCACTTTTCATTCACGTGAAATTCGCTCTACAAATAAAAAGTCAGTTTCCTTCGTAGACAGACAGCTGTCTACGGTTTCTTTCAATAAAAGCCGTTCGTTCGTTCATCGTTCAATTTTATGAAAGTCAATCACTAATTAGAAAGATATAGGGTCTGTGTCGGTCGAATTTTAAGAAAATGTTGTATTAATTAATGTAAATTGTTTTAGAAATGTGCCAGAAAATTACAAAATCCTCTTCTTGGCTGGTGGCGGACAGGGACAATTCGCAGCTGTTCCTCTCAACTTGATATCAAGGACAGGAACAGCCGACTATGTTGTTACTGGTAAACTATGTTTTTAAATAGTTTTCCTTGTAAATTGTGTAGCATTTTCCGTAATATTAAGGAATGTATCTATTGCGCTGCATGCTGATAAAATATTTCTGCGCTATTATGTACGAGGTATATTGTCGCCTTACTTTCTCAAACTCGTACCCTAAGGCACAAAGTTATTGAAATGCAAAGAATGGATTGTATATACAAATTTTGCAGGCTGATTTCACATCAAATTTCCGTCATATTTACACACTAGCTTTTACCTATTCTTAAAGTAAGGTATGCAAATTAATACATATATTACATGCATAAATTAATAAGTTTTGTCATCTCCTGAAAAACCGCTCTTTATAAGATATGGGTTTACGAAAGTAAGGCAGCGATATATCGTATTTTCAACATCGTATGGTAAATTTCTTGACAAGTTTGGGTGGAGACAGGTAGCCTTTGATCAATTCAATTCAATTATGTTTTTCATGGAATTGAAGCCAATTTTAATAATTTTAAAAAGAAAGGACAATTTTAATTATTTTCAAAAAAATATTTGTTTTTTTAGTGTTTGTTTCAAGTAGAACAGATCTAAATTTAACATTTTTCCATTCCATATTTTCACATTCCATTATAGTTGATGTGAATCTTTTATAGAATTGGTTTGATGACACGATCACATTATTTTATAATATTTATATGTATGTATTCTTAGCAAAAATGTATGAATTTGAGATGATGTTGATGATTGACTGATTTCTGCGTAACTAAGTTAGACTGTTGAAGTGTATCTTTATACACACATTTATTTACTTACATATTCTGCCAAACAGGTGACTGGTCGGCAAAAGCGGCAAAAGAAGCAAAAAAGTATGGCAAAGTCAATCTTGTGCTTCCACCTACTGAAAAATATGTGGACATTCCTGACCAGTCTAAATGGAAACTGGATCCTAATGCTTCTTATGTACACATCTGCACCAATGAGACTATTCATGGTAATGTTTAATTTCTTGCTATACATACTATGCACCCAGTTACACAAGGAGAAAGTTTTCACGCGGCCTCCGCGCGGCGACCGCCCAGTTACCAAGCCTTCATGTACATTAATGGCAAATCTGAATTCTATTTACTAGGCAACGATATTTAAATTCCTCTGAATAGTATTATTCTATATAGTATTATGCGCAGTTGTATAACTGCGCGGGCCGCCGTGTAGACCAAATTTAAGCCAGACCCGTGTGCCCGAGAAGATCATTTAAGCTAAAACGTAAATGCTAAATAAATAGAGCGTATTTTGCCATGATAGTTAGACGGCAACGCCGACTCCGCTCAGCGGCCGTGTGGGATGAGCGCAATGAAATTCGTGTCGATTAAATGTGCCCTAATTGTTATTGTTGCTGGGAGACAAGTTCTATTGGCGCAAGCAAAGACGTGTTTTTTTTTATATATAATATCAAGTGACGGGAAGAACAAGTCATGCGCCCGATGGTAAGCTACACACCTGTCCATAACAGTTGCAGTGCCACTCAGAGCTTTAAATCGCAAAGATCTGAAGGGCAGTCCCACTACGCCCGTCACCCTAAGACATAAGTTGATAAGTCTCGTGCCTGTAATTTCATCACGTCTAGTTCCTATTGTCATCAAATATGAAATATCTTTATTGTTGTTTCCATTTACACCAATCCTTTCATACATGGTCTTTTGGTTTTCTGGAAATTACCTGCTGTGATTTCATAAAGGTCCCCATAGTTAAGATGTTTGTATTAATAGGAAGAATTACTCCTAAATCTCTCGGAATATTATTATTATTAACTCCCAATAAACCTTATTTTGTAGAGTATAATGTTATTTACTATTTAGTAATGTATTTGTACTTACTTTTAGGTGTGGAGTTTGACTTCATTCCAGATACAAAAGGAGTGCCTCTTGTAGCTGACATGTCTTCCAATTTCATGTCAAAGAAAGTTGATGTTTCTAAGGTAAAGTTATTTTATTATGAATCATTTGTACAGGTCAACAACTTATCTACATATTTATGAGTTTTGTTAAAGACAATTCTGTTTTACTTGTAATCATAGTAACAGGGAGTACATTTGACTTTTATCAGTGTGGTAATTTCAGTTTCTTTAGTACCATATTAAAGATAAGTGGGTCAAATGTCAACACTAACATTAAATTCTTTTATTTTTAAAGACTGACTCAATATTAACAAACCATTTAACAAGAACAACAGAGTTCCCCTGATGTCTTTCTATGGGATTGGCAGACTCTATGAACCTTCCATGGCCTACCCTCCTCACAACCATTCTTTTGCTTTTTCCACTCGCATTGATATTCGTTTATGAATGCCTTTTATTGGTGTTTTTAAACTGACCTTTTTTATATCCTAAATCTGGGTGAGCTGTACAATTTCTTCTTTTCTTTCATGAATGCCTCTACGATTTCTTTTGCATCTTTATCATCATTACTTCTGATTCTAGTGAAATAGGATTCTGATGAATCTGTTCACTGACGACTATTGTTGTTCTATTATGATTAGTTTTATTTTATTATTAGAGGTTGGAATAGGCAGAGTATATTAACCTAAATTTCAAGGAAGTGTTTTATGCACCATAATACATACTTCCACTACATTTTACACTGTAATATTTTACTTTATAGGAACCTTACACTATGATACTTTTATGCTGTTTAAGTAACCCTCTAAATAAGTATTATGCACTACATAGAAGTTATTATACACTCCATGTATAATAGTTCCGGAATTATGTGTATTGCATTTGGTTCTATATTTTTGATGTGTAACCAAAAAATTACTACACCGGTGTACTTAGAGGAAAAGTGCTTTTGTTTTGATTTTTTGTCTTTTATATTTATTCATTGGATTTCACTCTACGTATTTATTTTATTTTTAATTTTTTTAATTTTTTTATTTTTTATATTACTTGATGTTTAGGTATATATACTCAGGCTATTTCTATCTCCGATGTTTATTTATCACAATGTTATAGTAACACCAAAATCATGATAACAAGTATCACAATCATGATAACATGACTCTATAAGCAAGCATTCATTGATAAATGTTGCTTAGGAGACATTTAAATTAGATAACTATGGCGCCCGCGTATTTTTTGCCGAAGTATCTATTTATCCAGATAATACTGTAAAATACGTCATAGAATGAAAAACATGTGGTTTTTTTATTATTATTGTTTATTAGCATGAATTCTGTTAAAGTCCGATATTATAGCAAAAATCTCCTCAAATCTCTCCAAAGTTCAATCACTTTTATGTATCTGTTTTAAAGTGTGAATGTTACTAATAATTATAATAATAATATATAAATAATAATAATAATAACGCACACTCTCAACTTAATAACGCACACACTCAACATAGCCCCGCTCTAGGGAAATCCTGTGTCGCGGGTGCTATGGACACACACATAGACAACCACAAATTACGCCCAAACTCACGAGAGAAATAAATGTAGGCCACTCTGCGTGGCAGTCCGGCATGGTAACCGTTCGGCCACGGAGGCAGACATGTAAGCTATAGTTTAGCTATAGCTTACATGTCTGGGCGGCGCTGTTGGAGAGCCGATTCAACAAATAGTAATTTTAGTAATTTTGTCTGTTTCGTGTGAGGATTGCTTAATATACAATTTATAGCACCTAAGAATGTTCGGTTGATCTGCAAGTCTCTCATCAACGCCGCCCTCTGTTGTTCGTACCGGACACATTCCAGAAACAAATGATATGGATCTCCCACTACTCCACATAACTCGCAATTAGGAGAATTGTTTTTTTTTCATTAAAAAAGCAAAATTCTCTCACATGTACTTCGACAGACTAAACCAGATGTAACATGTGTCTTTTTCAAAAATATTGAATGGTACTTCTGGTATTATCCAATTGATTACAAAATCCACTATTTTATCTATCACTTATAAGTGATATATAACAGATAAGTTATATACATATCTTATATTTTATAACATCAATAATACATTGTGAAGTGTTTATTCGCCTTGATATCAGTTCAATTTGATAAGTATAACGAGTCGGTAAACATTAACGAAATGGAAAATAAAGTACACCTTCGATAACTTATAATTATTGAAACAACTCTTTTATAAATTGTAGTTCAGTTTACGGGTTTTAGTAACTAATTCCCTGAACATTTATTGCTTTTTTTCTTTTTCATAAGAACAAAATGAATTCTATTCTATTCATGTCCTACTCAAAGAAAACAAAACTATACCTAGTTTTATATTTCTACAGTCAGCAAATATAAAATCATATATATCTCATAATCATTTGAGCGTTAAATTGTTTTCGACCATTTAGTAAAAATTTAAGTTTCTTAATGTTTTAACAGACATTTTGAATTGCGACTGAAATGCGATTACAATCATTTGAAAGGATACCTAACATTCAACGAGTAAGGTTGATTTTTCTCATTTGATAAAGTTTTGAGATATTTTTTAATGCCTAGGAGTGTTCAGATAATTTTGATGTTGATGGCACATGTGATTGCTATACCTTTATGTTGTACGCTTTTACGTGGAAACTAGGCTACTCTAGTTAGTGTTTCTGTGTTTCGTCAGTAGGCGTGTATTAAGCTCTAAGGAATTATGACATACATTTTCAGCGTAATTTAATTTTTTTTATTATTTAATTTAATTTATTATTTTGAATCCATCTGCGATCAGTCCTTGAACCATAAACAGATCTGTGCTATAGTTTTAACGTAATTTGGAATAGAGTCCTGTGACGAGTTTCTTCCTTAGTAATTCGGCTGATTAAAAAAAAAAAAGAACGCGCACACATTCATAGCCCCGCACTAGGGAAACTCTTTATCGCGGGTGTCACACACAAATTGTACCCAATTTCACGAGAGAAATAAATGTTTATGTTACACGGGAATTTAACCCGGGACCTCTTGCGTGGCAGTCCAGCATGGTAACCGTTCGGTCACTAAGGCAGTTTGTTCTACTGATTCACCTTTCTAGTATCTTTGTCTTTTTCAAAGGGCTCAAGCCACCCAGACGCTTATCGTCTACCGAAGATTTTGCCAACACACAATGCATTGACAGTCGTGACTTATACTTTTCCTTACGTGTCTGTCTCCTGTTTGATAGGTGGGCTTTCAAGTCAAGTATTTCCTGGGCTCTTACAAACCATGGAGACTGACTACGGATTGAGACTACGGTCTTTAAATGTTAAATTTCATGTTTTGCCTTTTATGTAAGGTGCTATGTTATTTAGAAGAAATCCATCCTTATGATTAAGGCTTTCGACCAATATAGTAAAATTACAGGTGCTTTTTTTTCACATTTGGCGGGTTTGATTCCCGAGTCAGATAGGCGATTATTTAAAAATCTTTGAATGCAGTTCGAATTGTTTTTAAAATCAAAATGAAGTCTTCTTTCGGTAAAATTTTCTATATACGGTATTTAAGGTACTTTTCCTCCATGTGGCATAACCATTGGACGCCCTGTATATATGTCTGTATCGGTTTTAAGACCGACTTATATAACAATAACATATTCATATCTTGACTTTGTACTCATTACTCACAGCATAGATTTGAATTTGTTGTTCAATGATGTGATGTGAGCAGTGAGCATGATGCAAAATGACGTGAGCTCAACATGTTACTTTTCTATCCAGATGCACTCCCTGGTATTAAACAGTATCAACAGTTTTTTTAGCGTCATTGACCCTACGCTTGAAAGGTCACCACTATATTAACGCCATTAATACGGAACGTCCGTCTTAAATCTGATGAATTAAACGTGAATATTTTTTTCTACAGTTCGGGGTAATCTACGGAGGAGCTCAAAAGAACATTGGTACGTCAGGTGTAGCTCTAGTGATCGTCAGGGAAGACCTCCTCAACCATGCGTTGCCAATTTGCCCATCCATCTTTGACTGGACCATCACCTACAAGGCGGACTCTATCCTGAACACACCTCCTATGTATGCGTGAGTATATCTTTTTTTAAATTATATCAAGTGACGGATCGCAAAGATCTTAGGGACAATGCCACTGCGCCCATCACCTTGAGACATTGACAAGTGCCTGTAATTCCACCAGCAACTTTACCCTGCGAAACCGGAACGCTGAAATGTTCACATTACCGCTTGGCTGCAGAAATGTGTAAGGTGGCTGTACTTCCCGGTACGAACTCTTTCACAAGGTGCTCTACTGCTATTAACACACTTAGTAACACTTAAGTACTAATGTACTATGATGAATCTTATTGTAGATCATATAAAAATAAAACAATTGAGTCCAAAAAATCATTTATGTGTCAATTAAGATTCCTAAGAAAAAATAGGCAGCCTGAAGGAGCTTACTGCTACTAAAATATTCATTTGTCTTCTAGAATATTTTTGCAATGACTTGTGTTAAGTAAGTTACTTGTAATTATACTATGAAAAATATAATGTATTCTTAACTAATAACTTGTTAACAATTTTCCAGCATTTACATAATGGGCCGTGTTCTCCAATGGATAGAAAGGCAAGGCGGTCTTGATAAAATGTCTGAATTGGCTGAAAAGAAATCCAAACTTGTTTACGATACCATTGACCAATCTAACGGCTTTTACTATGCACCAGTAGCTAAGAAAGTTAGGAGCCGGATGAACATACCGTTCAGAATTGGATCTCCCGCAGGCAATGACGCTTTGGAAAAGGAGTTCTTGAAAGGCGCCGAGGCCTTGGGACTTATTCAGCTTAAAGGACACAGGTACTGTTATTTTGATTTTATATCGACAAACCTCTGTGATCGAATGGCTTACCCACCGGTTTTCATGGTCGCCATCTCTTAGGTCCCGGTTTCGATACCATTTCCATAGCACAAGTGCTTTAGTTACTTACTTTGGGATCAAAGCAACGTATGTGATGTTGCGTAATATTTATTTCCATTTATTTTATTATTATTTCTATTCTGGCGACTACAGTGGCCCAAGAGCTTTCACTGTAACCCCTTGACTAGGTTCCGGGCTCGATCCCCAGTAGGGCCAATTGGAAAAAATGACACTTTTCTGAATTAGTTTTGATCTGCATGTTTTGTATGTGCCCCTGTGTTTTTTGTTGCTCTGGTACTTTAAAATTTCATAGTTTTAGACCAGGTAATCGGTGTGGTTGTCTGGCACTTAGTATTATTGCTATTTATTTCTATTAATATGTATATAGTTTCGTTAGTGCCAATTTTCCGAAGTAACAAAACGCTGTCACTCTAGGAACTAACGTGTAACTGTAACTGTTTAACCTTTAGGTTAAAATCTTAATGTAGGGAACTTGTAAGTTCATGGTCCAAAACAATGTCTGTAATAGAAATAAATGTAACTTCAAATTTTAATTAGAATTCGTATAAACAGTAAGCTGTTAAGCTTACAATCACGTAGTTTAGCAACTGCCGTTAGGTTATCTTCTCGTTGCTAGTAGAGGCTTATTATGTTTAGAGATTTGATTGTGATGCTGCGATTTCTTATCCGTTCCTTTATCATCAGAATTTTTAAGAAAGCGACAAAGTACCGATCGTTGCGGTACCGATTATTCTTAATAGTTACTACGTCACAGATACATCGCTCTCATACATACAAAATCGAAAATATCAACGCTATAATCGCTCACTAAATCTGACTAATGACACCAGACGCTCACTATGAGGAAAAAAGGAACCTAAGCGAGCGCTCAGAGACGTGAAAATAATGTTGCCTGCCGTGTGCAGTCGTGCGGAGCCCGAATACTCATAAATAAGACTTGTATGAGCGTTTCTACCGACGTCGGTACACTGAGTGGTAGACACTTATCGCGCAACCTTGAGTGAGTGACGGAGCCCTGGGGCGTTACCATGAACTCTTATTACGATTCAGTTTAGGACCTAAAATGAATAGTTGTGAAACGACGCTATATGAAGTGTATATCCCATCCCGCTTTATTGTAGTGTCGAACATATACTGAGCTGTAATAAGAGTGCATGGTAAGGCCCCAGGGGGTCTACTCTCGATCTCCGTCCGAATAATTACTGCCAAATAAGCAATACTTGACCAAATGAAAAGACGCGTGATGCGAATGAAGCTTCATACTTGATACTTGTCTTTTAATTTTGTCGAATATTACTTATTTGACAGTAATTGTTTCGGACGGATGTCGGACGGAGATCGAGAGTAGACCCCCTGGTTAGGGTATAACAAATCTGACTGTACTTCAGCTACTTATCGTATTATATCATAACAAATGACTATAATAATAATATTTTAATATAATAATAATTTATTGAGCAAGGCCTAATTACATAATAGCTAACTAACTATGAGAAGTACGCATTTTTGTTCTACACACCAAATTCTCGCCTGTAATTTTCCATCCTATTATTCTCTCCTACTCAGTAGCTCCCTGAGCCGAGGTCCGTGTTCACTTGGACGCCCTCGGGGTCGCTACTTAGTTTAGTTTTAGTTTATTTTTAACGGGTTAAAAGCCTTCAGCTCGCCCATTCATCGGATGTCACTGTCAAGGTCATCAGCGGCCAACTGCAACGTCTCCTTCAGAAAAAAAAACAACCCTGTTGTATTTAAAATTACAAACTTCTTTTGGTAATACTTATAATTATTTTTGTGTTCCCGTATATTTTAACGAACGGCTATTGTATTTTACTATTTTTCTAAAGTTGTAAACAAAATTTGTTTACGTACTTTGAGTATAATAAGCCCCCAAAATATGATTGCACATTTTGTATATCGTCGCTTTAATTCGCAAACCTCGTACCTCCATTAATGTGAACTTTTGAGTAGGCACAAAAAACAGAATTACTAGATATAATGACAATCTATGATTATACCTTTATTTTATATTTATAAAACATAAAGAGGTATAGAAAATAGTAAGCATTAATAGCCCGATATTGAAGTGTCAAAAAAGGATTTTGACCAAAAATGGAGTTAAGAGATTTTCAAATTTTGCTAACGATGTAATTATGCCTACAATACCATTAAATACATGATGAAAATGTAATTTATGTTAAAAGGAAAAGTAATTTATTTATGAAAAATAGTGACAGACATAACATTAATACGAGGAATAGATATAAACTAGCTTTTCTTGATAGTCGTCTTCACAAAGTCAAAAAATCATTTAAGGGGCAATGTATACGCTTCTGTAACAAGATTCCGGTTGATATACAAAATTTGCCTCTCACGAGGTTTAAAACTATAGTGAAACAAAAACTTTATACTAAAGGTTATTATACAACTTCTGCGTACTTGGATGACAAAAATCCGTGGTAGTAACCCGTTTAGCTCATGGAGGTAGTCTCGATCTCTGATGTTTCAAATAAAAAAAAAATATTGTAAATGTTATTTACAAAGAACAACCCCTAGAGTTTCTTGCTCATTCTTTTCAGGGGAATCTGCCTTACGAATGAGCGGTAGAGTTTAACTATTGTGACGATTTCAAGTGTAATAATGCTTACCTATGAAATAAAGATTATTTTGAATTTGAATTTGAATTTTGATGTCAATACCATTTGTAGTAGTTAAGAAGTGTTGAAGATTCAATCACGTTTAATTTCCTATATCTTTTTTTGACCAATAGAGTCACAATTAAGGCCTAACAACGTACTTGCATTTACAATGATAAGAAAAATGCCAATAAATTCGTCAGTATCTTATCGTAACGTACATTGTTGGAAAATGTAATTTATTTTTGTTTTATACATAAGGATGAGTATTCAAATATCATGATAGAATTTACACTTTCGGAAAAGAACAAAGTGCCTGTCAAACGTCAGGAGAAATTTATATAATCACAGTTGCACAAAACATCTTTAAGGGAGAGATAACAAAACAAATAAAAAGAACAAAAACAATAACAATAAAAGAAATATACAAAGTAGGGTATTTGCATAGTAAAGTCCAACGCCAGTCGCGTGGAGCGTCATAGTGATGTTTGATAATTTCTTGTGAACTGAACAAATCAAGTTCAGAATGACCTTAGAACATATTATTAGAGTTTCAATGTTCGCATTAATTATTATACTAAGTTTTAAGTTTATAGTCCTACGAACAAACCCATGCCAAGCAGTGGGGCGTATAATAGGTTGATGATGATGAAGTGTATGGTACACAAGTTTATCTCAGTCAAAAGCGACTATTAGGTACTTTTACCCGTTTTAAACTCATTACCACTGAATATTTTGCACCCTTGGTGTTATAAAGTTACAACTGCAAAATGACAACTTTTCAGGAGATAGGTTTAAATAGGAGTTTTTATTTTTACGCCTTTCACATAATCACATGTGGCTTACCAAGGTGCGATTTGTTTATTGATAAAAACTGATGTAATAGACCTAACTGCCTCAGTGGCCGACGGTTACCACGCCACGCAGAGGTCCCAGGTTCGATTCCCGGGCCGGGAGAAATATTTGTATGGCCTACATTTATTTCTCTCGTGAGTTTGGGTGTAATTTGTGGTTGTCTATGTATGTGTCCATGGCACCCGTGACACAGGGTTTTCCTAGTGCGGGGCTATAAGTGCGTGCGCGTTATTATTACATCATTCATTCGCACTCATAGGCCGCACAAGGGCGAACGCAATAGATATCTTTGCTTAATGTCTAATTAATGTACAGGTCCTTTCCTATTATTATTGCTAAAGCAGATTAAGATCTGCAGACCGCTGTGTGCGTGTTATTATTATTTGTCGGTGCATTTAAAGTAGGTCGAATTATTATTGTGATGTATCGTTAAGATTTTTGAGTTGTTCGCGTAATCTATAGTAGTGTGCCTTATTCCATATTTACCATAATCGACTATTTTTATTATTTTACTCTATTAAAGTTATAACTCTTAATGATTTTGTAAAGGAGTCGGTTTCTATCACAAAAAGTAGTCGGGGTGTTTTTTATCGTCAACATAATTTAATTACGTAATCTGCATCACCTAGCTTAGACTTGATTGCGCTCGGTAAAATTCGTTACTTAGTCAGTTTTAAAGTTATGAAGAGTGTATTAAAACAACCTTATTTCCTTGTGACCATCTCAAATCTCGTGAACCACGACACCTGGTTTTACAGTCCATGCCGTAAGATACATGACCCCCTAGCCGACCTTTTGGTTCTAATAGCCTTTTCATTTCTGTACGCCGTGGGTATAGTTTGTATACTTCTATTCCGTATTTAAGAAAGTGTACGCTCAAGATCAAATTGGCTTAAAAGTTTCTTAAAACATCATTCACTGCTGTTGCAATAAGAAAGTCATATCAGAATTAATTTTACGGCTCACAGGTTAAAGGTTTGTTTAACACTTTTCTTGACACTTAACTACTCCGAACCAAAAGGTCGGTCAGGGGGTCAGGGCATCGACACTATACTACTTATAGAGGAGTACTTCACGCTGACCTAATGTGGATTAGACGATGTTTTCCCTTTTCCGTTAGCTTGAGGTATTCCTACTGAACATTTGCAAATGTACGTAATTTAGAAATTGAAGCCATTGGTATATATGCCGCCAAAGGAAATCGAACCGTTGACCTTTCGTTTGAGAAGCAATCATTTTTCCATTCCGTTCTTCCTTGCTTAATTAAAACCATTTTTATTTTTCCAGGAGTGTCGGCGGCATTCGTGCTTCTACCTACAATGCTGTCACGCTAGAAGAAGTCCAATACTTGGTCAAATACATGAAAGAATTTCATGAAAAGCATGCCAAGTAAGCGGTCGTAAAGTATTTTTATATTGTCTACTATTGTAATATGTATTATATAACGTGCCTTAAAATTTCGGCTGTGTATATTTTTTCTGTTGTCAAAATTAAAATTTATTAATAATATTCTTTATTTTTTATTTATTATCTCCCTTGTGTGTAAAGATATCTGACATTAGATATATACTATCTACGCAGATATAGTAATACGTGGTTGTTTATAGTGGTATTATGTAGTAGATAGCCTGACAGCGCATCCTACAAAAACATGTCTTATGCTACAAGATAAGATATAAATGTTGTTACCACTCGATCGAGAAATGACTAGGTACGGAGAACCCCAGTGAAACCTAGTTTTGACATCCAAGCATTTTTATTCACAATTACATCGACTTGCCAGTGCACACGTTGTATGTACAATTTTGGAAAAATGAGTTTTGTTCTCCATGTAATTTAGTGAAGGGTCGCGCAGATTTTGTCTGAGGAAACAATTTTTAATTTTTATGAATAATTTATTAATTAATAGGCAAACATTTCCACTGTCTCCGTGGCCGAACGGTTCCATGTCGGACTGCCACGCAGAGGTCTCAGGTTCGATTGCCGGGCCGGGAGAAATATTTGTATGGCCTACATTTATTTCTCTCGTGAGTTTGGGTGCAATTTGTGGTGGTCTATGTGTGTGTTCATGGCACACGCGACACAGGGTTTCCCTAGTGTAGGGCTGTGGTGAGTGTGTGAGTTATTATTATTATTATGATTTACGTCGGTGTAAGGAACTGAAAATGTGCGTTTCGCGTTAGTAGCCCGAACGAAAGCTAAACACACGTTTTTATCTACATGTGTAACTACCGGCGATGTTGTTCAAGGCTAAAGAAGCTAAATTGTTATTTTAATGTAGAAAAATAAATCTCTTTATTTATTTATCTACAAACAGGTATTCATCTATTCGTAGATGTGGTTTGCTTTTAAAAGCTGAGTAATGTCGGACTCATGCTTTGACTTATGACAAAATTGGCAAATACGGCAGCTAGGAGAACAATGATACAGTCCATTTAGTTACAGCCTGTATAAGACAAATTAACGTTTTATTGGTAACGAGTTATTAGAATAACTCTGCTACTAGGGTAAATTGAATTTTGCCAATGGTATACGGGATTCCATTAGAATTAATAAGTTCTTAAAATTTTTGTGAAATGACGAGAGTTCAAAACTTTGCTACAACAACGAATAAAACACAAAGTAATAAAAGTATTAAAATTTATTATTCCATTAAAAATTTTGTAAGAAAATATTACCGTCAACGTAATCACTATAATGTGGTAAAAAATTGTGATGGAGTATCTATCAAAAAAGGAATCCTTGAGTATTTTTTATTTTTCTAGGTACTTGTTTATTATGTATTTATTATGTTATCGCTTTAGGAGTCGTAGGACAAGCGTTTTTTTTTTATAAATTATTATGTGTTATGGAAGTCTTACTTTTAATACAAAATGTACTGATATGGTACATTAATACATTATTCATTTCTATTCTCAAAAAAATTATATAAAAAAACATTCTTTACACCTTATACACCCATCCATACCCACACATTCGCTCATACTTAAATGTTAATAAAAATACAGTTCAGTTTATGATACAAAATATAAACTGTTGACTTAAAATTATCAGAATCTACTGCAGTTCTAGTGTTCAATAGTACTTTTTTTTAAACATGTTAACAAAAATGTTTATATACTTGTTGACAATTAACAACAATATGTTTACTTCTAATGGCGTAGATTCTGCATAATAAATATTCATTAGTGTACCCGCCGTACATACATTCTTGTTGCTTGTAATAAATTTCTCATACGCATGTTTAAGAAACAACTGAAAGACTTGAAACTAAAAAACACTAGTGCTGTAATGATTGTGCATCCTACTATACATTATACAATTATTATTATAATAACATATTTACACAATATTGGAATGTAAATTATCTTTTTTTTTTCTCACACAAATTCATAGAATAACATAGAATAAATTTGGATAGCCCTGCATTTCTGTGATATATATGGCAGTGTCCGCCTAACAATACTTGAGCATTTTGTTCATTGACGATAATCTCAGAACATCAACACATTCACTGTTTTAAAATTTAATGCCTTCGTGTATTTTATGATGCAATATTTAAAAAAAAAGAATATATAATTGTGACGTTAAAGTTAAAAGATAATATTTGGTGGGGCTGTAACGTTTAAACAGTGAGTGTGTTAATACACATTCTCTAAGTTATTACTTAACTTAATAATAAAGCTAACCGAATACAAAATTACAATAAACATACTTCACTCTCGGTAGTGCCTTGAAGGCACTTCTCTATAATACAGATGTATGATAACTTAATAAGCATGCCCTTTTATTTACAAGAGATATAAGGTATAAATGTTGTTCTACCGAAAAATAACTTATATACTGCCAGTTACACAAAGAATACATTTACAGAAGTATACAGTGTTATTTGTAAAATACTAACAACCTTTCAGGACTATATTACTAACATCATAAACAGCTATTTAGTTTGCATGCCATTTTACAAAACATAATTTTATTAGTTGTACTACCTGACACTTTTTATTTTTGTATTTGGTGGTATGGCTGTAAGTTCAAATGTGCAAACGTGCGCGCCGACGATCCTCACCCCCGCTCCTGTGTTTTAGAGTTTTGAGCGATCTATGTAAATATTTTTGTTTTAGTACGGAACTAAAATCTGACGGATTATTAAGTCATGGAACAAAAGTTGTTGTATACGATGTTAATATTACAGTCCTGGTAGGTTGTCAGTATTTAACACATAGTCCTGTGTAATGTATAATGTTATTAAACCTAAAGTAATTCACACTATATAAGTAGTTAAAAATATTTTAGTATCTTAGAATTTCGCTTTTTGAAAGATTTTGAATGGTCTTAAATTGTGTTCTACATTAAAAGGGCATACAATTATTAATGCAATCGTACCATAATATTGACTATAATTGTTCGGGTATACCGAGAATTTGAAACTAGTACGTATTGTTATGTAAGTCTGACCAGAATACGACAAAACAGTCCTTTGTTGCGGTTACTGACCTTCGCTGTCGCTGTCACTCTTATCTGTAACGAACGGTGTCAGAATGAGCATTGCATCATGTATCGAAATGGTGTAATAGACGTCATAAGTAAGCCAAGCACCTAAATAAATAGCTGAGAGGTCAACATAATAACACAAAACACGAATCGATTGTATGATATGCGTGGACAGACATGCACGGCAAGTGTGTATAGTGAGATAATAAGAACTCTATATATAATTAAATAAAAGCTAGAACTCATAAATGCTCAAGATGGTTTGGCTTTGGGTTTGGTTCTTTTGTTTGACTACAGTTTTTGGATGAATTAGTCCGTTACTGTTTCTACTAAAGTCGCATGATCATAATCATCAGGTCTTCTCAGTTACTGTAGGGATCTCAGTCATAAAGGGAATCTTTGTTTAACCGAATACTTCAAATCCGATGACAGTACAATAATATAGTAGCTGCCTTGACCTGATGCTGCAACTGACTCTTCAGTGCCCACTGGGGCGCGGTAGGGACCACTTTGGTAAATTATGATTTAAACGGAGGGGGAAAAGGATGACAATTTTAAATTTGTAACTATTTCTCGAACTCTACGATTGTCATAGAATGCCACCATTTCAGCAGTTATCAGTCCGTGCGTAAAGCTGCATAAAATTAAAAAAAAGGTGTAGACTAACTACGTGCCTTAAAAATACTGACCTTTCTTACCAGGGTACGCGTGCCTCTTTAATCTGTCATAGAGGTCATCTTTTGTCCCGTAAATGCTAGCATTCGACCGAGCTAGACTATTCATTTTTCCATTCATTCCATTGTGAAGACTTTCTTTCATATATGTCTCGTTATAGAAATTAGGCATCTCCCATCCGTCTTCCTCGTCGTCGTAATAGTGGGCGTACGTGGAGTGGTGGGATGGGGCGATGGATTCCGCGTATGGCGTGTGCGCTCCGTAGTAGAAGTTGACTTGGGAGCCATTTTGGTCGATAGCTGGGGTTAATGTCTTCTTTGGTTCCCGTTTCTTTGATGATCTGTCAAAAAATGTGAAAAAATAACACATATTCTGTTTGCATTGATAAACTAACTCTACATCGATAGTGTTTGAGATTTTGTACAAGGATGGATGAACGTCTGCCTTCTGTGAATTAATTTTAATGTTATCTATTTATGAATTTCACAGTGCCTTGGCAATTTAGGCCGTGTAATTGTATAAAATAGTGCAGAGTACTAAAAAAATCGACCAAAAGTCATTCATCCCCTACTTTGCCAGGTGGAATATTTTCTCCAAATTTAAATGGTACCACATCTGAGTTAACCTCTTTTCAACAAAAAAAGAACCATGAAAATCGGTTCACAAATCGCGTAACATACGTACAAAAAAATAGTTTAATTGAGAACCTCCTTTTTTTAGACTGGATTTGTTTGTTTTATTATCTTTATCTTCATCGAGGCGTCACGTCGTGAATACGAAAATGTCTTTGTATCGCTTTTCGGTATCTTTGAATTCACTTGACGGATCTACTTTGACTATTATTTTATCGGGAAAATTACGAATGCCGCCATCTTTGTAAATAAGTATTAGAAACAAAATGGAAGTAAATTACTTTGTTACTCCGTGAACCAAGTGAAGTTAAATTGTGCAAAATAAGAGCGGGTGGGAACTTTTTTTTCATCACCCACCACCCTTCCCCCGCATAAAATTAATGAAATAAATAACACAAGCGCAACCATGAGCGCAACTATATTCATATGTACAGCTTTTTTTTCACAAATTTCGTGGTGTTGTGTGAAAATTTTTGCACAATTTAACCTTCACTGGGTTCACGGAGCAGCGAAGTTATTTATTTATAATTTAAGTTAAGTACGTGGATTTCGCAAAGTAACGACTGAATGTATTAATTAGAAAAGAAGACACACATTTTAAAATAAAGGTAAAGAGAAACTACAAACCTGGCACAGATCATCCATACAAGCAGCACTAAGAAAATAATGAAGATGACTCCTCCAGCGACACCACTGGCTATGTACGCGAACTCGCTCTTCTCGCGGCAATGTCGTCCCGTGAAGGAACCGGTACATCTGCAGGATGGTTCACCTCTGGCGTCTTTAACGCACTCGCCACCGTTGTCGCAGAAATTTAAGCAGAGGTCTGGAAATAAAGTTTTGATGATGATCAATAGTGTGGTTCTTCACTGAAAAGGTATACGTGGTAGGTCAAAATTCACTCGATTTATTCATGTTTGGTTTTAACTGACTCTTAAATGGAGGTGGTTCTCAATACCACTGTATTTTTTTGTATGTGCTACGCATTACTCAGGCATTTGTGAACCGATTTTGATGATTCTTTTTTTTCTTGAAAAGAGGGTACCTCAGTATTGGTCCCAATTGAATTTGAAGAAAATATTCCACCTCTAAGGGAGGCAAACGGTTTCGCGAACTTTCCGGTAACCGATTTCAATAAAACTTGGCAAATAGATGTAATTCCACGAACTTTTGAGGTCAGTTTTTTGGATCTAAATCGCGTATATTTGTTTTTTTCAAACAAACCAACGGGCCTGAAACGTTGTTATTTACCAATAAAGTGGTGTCTACAATTAGTTATACGTACCATCACAAACTTCCCCAGTGCCATTGAAGCCAGGTTTACACTCGCAATTAAACTTGCCATTACTTTGCAGCAAGCAGTATGCGTTCACACTGCAGTGCATTTGAGGGCCGTTCGTCTCACATGGGTTCGTACATTCTGATTCTGAAGTCTGCAAACAATTGAGTATATTGGTATGTTGCTTAGAACAAGATCTTTTTATTTTAATAGTGAATAAAATCATCAAAAGAATGGTACTATTTGTTTTCAACGGTATGCACAAAGAGATGGCGGCGGCAATCGAGGAAATCGTTATGAGGCTTTAACGCGTATGATATGATTTCAAAGGTAAAAAAGGTTCTTTTAAGCATACAATATTTAGCAGACAACTTGTTCATTGACGATAAATATTTGAGAAATTGAAATGGACCTACGGAGTAAAGGAACATAGTGAGCAGAAAAGTGAAAATACCTACATATTTGAGACACTATGGACGTATCCTTAATATTGAAAATGCTTTGCCGGCTATAGGACATAAGATCTTAAGTTTCAAGTGCCTCTCTGGCCTTTCCCTTCAATGCGGAACATAGGAGTGCTGCTTTGAAGTTTTTTTTATAATATCAAGTGACAGGACAAACAAGTCGTGCGCCTGATGGTAAGCTACATGCCTGCACATAACATTATAAGTGCCACTCAGAGCTTTAAATCCCAAAGATCTGAGGGTCACTGCCACTGCACCCGTCACCCTGAGACATAAGTTTACGAGTCCCGCGTGCCTGTAATTTCACCAACACCCTTACACAGTAATGCTGACATTAGTGCTTGGCGGCAGAAAGAGGCAAGGTGGCAGTACTTCCCTGGACGAACTCTTTCACGAGGATCTCTACTGCTGCTAATATATGGTAGAATATAATAATATATAATAGAAGTAGGAATGGGTACCTATTCAGGCAGGTTCTGCATAGATAGACCCTAAATAAATCCCTCCTCCAATAAAAATATCTCGTTATTGTATTCTTTAAACAAATAATGTATTTAAATACTTACAGCGCCAGATCCATTTGTGCTGGTATTGATGGGACATGTTATACAGGTAGTTTGCTGCGTTTCCGACTGGTATGTTCCCTGTTTGCACTGTACGCAGCTATTAAATGTCACATTGAGGTATGAACCTGAAATTATGAATAGATTTTATTATAAATTATTCCTTTCGTCAATTGGACAGAAGAAACTCGCTCTGGTCCGATGCAGTGGATGCGTAAACCACTAGAAGGACAATAAGGCGAGACATAATAGACACCTGTGTAATGTTATAATACCTAATGTCACCATGTTTTACTACCATACTACGATATTCAATTATTTTTGTGGAATTACTCCACTAGTTTACTATAATTATTAATAAAAAGATTGAACACAAATTCCTTCGATCCAGATGGACTCGAGCCAGCGACGTCTCCCACACCTGAGCTACGAAACGAGTCAACGGACCTTACGAATTTCTGTATGTGCTCGTTGCAGTTTGTATTTGGTTTATGTCCGCCTGGTGCTATTGTTGAATTGTTGTTATAATATGACAATACTCTCAGTTTGTTTTGTAAAAATAAGGCTTCTTTTTCATCCTTGCACGACTTACCAGGTCTACAGATAGGCAAAGAGCATTGGTCCGGCGTAGAAGCGCCGTCTTGTGGAGTCGTGGTACCAGGCGGGCATGGCGCACAAGCAGCCCCAGCGCCGTTAGCCCTCCAAGTTCCTCGCGGGCACGGTTCGCATCCTCCATCATTGCCTAATTGTTCGCCTAGAATTACGTAAGCCATAAATAAAAACCATGCACATTAAAAGTGATATAAGGTAGCACTAAACAGGATTAATGTAATTAAGACACAACTTGGCTAACTGCCAAATACTGAGTAAGGTAGAATTAAGACTCCGCCACTAAAACGTCAGTATTGAGTAACCAGAACCAAATGAATAATGTTAATTTGTTACACATTAATTTCATGTCATAACTCTTCATAAGTTATTTTGTTATTGTACTTCTGGATATAATTGTACGTTTTAGTAACAGGAATCGAATTTTGTTTGCTATATTTATGTTAAGGTACTTTATAGAGCTGTGCCTCTATATTTTTGTTATCCATATGTAGGCAAATTTACCTGAAGGACAATCGTCTCTACACTCAGCCGAAGACACGGCTTCAGTGGCTCTGGTAGTCTGTCCTCTGGGACAGGCTATACATGTGAAGGCACCTTCGCGAGGTTGGTACGATCCATGGCCGCAAGGGCGACAAAGATCCGCTTCCGCATCATAGTATTTGCCAGCGGCACATCGTTCTGTTAGAAATAAGTGGATATTTGAAATAGATATACCATCACGGATTTCGAATTAATAAGAATTGTATATCTAGGCGACGCCTAATAACCATTGTTATTACTCTTTTTTACATAAACCCACGGAGTAAAGAGACAAAAAAGTCTAGTAAAAAAATTTTTAGTTACTTATTCAAGATTTGCTTAATAAAGATATAATAATATAAAACATATTTCTACCTTTACAGTCAGCTGCACTTCGAGCGCCAGGGGCCTGTGTGACGCCAGGCTGCCCAGCAATAGCCGGGCAAGAGATGCATTGCAGTTGACCAGCTTCCGATTGGTACGTGCCCATCGGGCAGGGTTTGCAGCTGTCACTAGCCGCGTCCAGATATGTACCCACCGCGCAGGCCACTGCAATTATTTTTGAGAACTTACATGTGGAGTCACATATTGAAATAAAATTTCTCACAGAAAGTTATTGATGGGGAAATGAAGACAAGACAATTCATACATACATCGTAAATATACTTATAGCTTGAAGATTTGTAAATTTAAGATACCATGCGTCGGTTATATTTGAAAACCTCGTAATTCCGTTTCCGGATGAAATCCCTTTTTTGCTTTTCAAGAGTAATATCATAGATTGTTTTATAATTATTTATAGTAATTCTGTTTTTTGTGCCTATTCACTAGTTCACATTAATGGAGGTTATGAGGTATCCGAATTTAGCCGACAAATGGTATTGTAAAATAAATAGGATAGTTATGAGACTTACCGCAATCAGGAGCCATAACAACCTGTCCCATAGGGCAAGCGTAATCAGAAACGAGCTCCAAACTGGCCGGGTCAGGCACTGTGTTCGGAAGAATGTTTCTCACGTCGAACTGTTCGTCTTCGAGTATAAGCTTCTCCAATAATCTCTGTACGGTAGACCGTTCATTGTTGCCGCCGTGGATCACTGGGTCGCTGAAAAGTTATTTTCCTCATTAGCATAACACGTGCCTCGAATTTTTATAGGTATTTTGCACCAAATAAAAGTCGTTGGTCTTCATAAATATATTGAAATTGCGTTAAAGGGCCGATAAAGTGATCTTTTTCAGTAAATTGACGATTTAAGTGGCTCCTCATGAAACAATTACACGTTAATAGGATCTTGTCTTTTGACAAACGCCTCTGCTTCTGTTTTCCATGTTTTATCTATACCTTTTTCCACTACGTATCAAATTACGTTAAGTACTACTGCTATTAAAAGACATGCACGGTACTTACTTGACAGATGGGAAAGCGATCTCAATGCTGTACGTATCGCCGACTTGCCGTCCTTCCCTAGTGCCTCGTGTCCTAAGTGCCAGACAAATACATGCAATCGTGATAGAAGGGACCATAGAACATGCTTAAAATAGAGTACAGAAGTTGATATAGGTACTTATACATTGTAGTGCAGTTAACTCTATTTGTTACCTGAACTAGAAGTGCTTGTGTTCAACAACACATGCTACTAAACAGTGCTCTACAGAAGTGTAAGTAACAAGTTTATTCTGCCAAAGTTTGTGTGCATCTACCTACTCCAACACCTGTCTCAAACTTCCTACTCTAAATTAATGGTACTTAAACTTTATTAAATATCAGTCACTTGTTTTTACGTATACTCACTCTTCTACTGGAATTATAGTATCCAGAACGTAGGTGTCTTCCGTAGTGGCACTTGGTGGTGAAGATATTTGTCTTGTTTGCCTTACATTGGCGCGGTGGTCGCATTTGACATTGATGTCCAATTCTTTACATTCTCGAGTACCTGATGAATAAACTCTTATTAGTAAACATGTAATGTTGATTTAAAATTATGATCACACTGTTTGATGCCTTACCGTCGACAGCATAAGAGCAGAAGTTCCAGTCCCTGTTAAGTTGGTTGATAGCGCTGCGTACTTTCTGTCGAAGTACAGCTTGTCCAGCGTCATTACAAAGCACGGAACTCGGGAACAACATTGAAATTTTGAATACTCTCTGAGCTGGGGATGCCGCTGTAAAAGGGCAAGTAGACAACAATCAGTTGTAAGCCAGTATTTTTAGTAGTATTTCTCTCTGAACTAGAAAGTATTTTCTGTTACTTACGTGAGCATGCAGGATACACAAGAGGCAGGCTTGGGTCAGTTGTAGGTCTCCAGAATCCCTCAGCTCCGCAGGTGTAAAATGGTGGTATCGGTTGAGAGAAGCGAAGACCATCGCGACAGGCGATTTCGCACACCTTAAATTGTCCACCTGCTCCCCAGTCGCGGCACGACTGGTATCCACCGAGAGGATCAGCCAATGCAGGACAGAATTCCGCTGAAATGTATAAACAAATTTGTGTAATTTTACTTAAGACAGCATTAAACTTCGTACAAAACAAACATACGTAAAGGAACAGTCCTTTTACTTACATAGTACAGTGACTTTGAAAGTGCAAGTAGCGGCATTGCCAGCAGCATCATAGGCAATGTAAGCGATGTCATAAGCTCCCCATGCAAGATTTTGCCCTGGCCTATGTCCAGATTTTTCGATTACTCTTGCGACTCCTACGTTATCGCTGAACACAGGTGTATCCCAGTTGACAATCGAAGAACCATTCTTAGCAATGACCCATAAGTCACCAGGGCAACGGTCAACCCGAGGTGGTTCTTTGTCGACTTGCAATTGTTGACATTTACTGCCAGTGTAACCATTAGGGCAAACTCTTTGGCCACAATGCGATGGTACTATTCTCTCAACTCCACCGATGACATCTTCGTATCCGGCCCAATTTAAAACCAGTCCATTGTACAAGACAGGCTCGGTTCTGCAGTCGCGAACTTGTTTTTGTATTTCATTTGTAATGTCCAAAGCGCGATTCCAGATTTGTACTTTAGTTAAGTGACCTTGGAAGCCGGATTCAGTGTAGGCTTTTGGATTGTCTGATTGAGGTTTTCCTAGCGTTACCCAAACACTGAAAATAAATAATAAGTGTTAATTTATATTGTAGCTAATATTGTTTATCTTAGTTTCATGAAGGTCCATTGATAAGTCCACTTACTATTTTGGCAGTGTTCGTCCGCTACCATATCCTTCAATCTTGCTAGCAATTAATCCTTCAGTTATAAGTGTTAGTTCGCCTCCATTGTTGCCGTCCCATACCAAAGCCACGTGATGCCACTGTCCATCGTTCACTGTAGCGAATTCACCAAAGCTTAGATAGACATCTTGTAGTTTAGGGAATAGAGATACTTGGACACCATTGGAGTGAGCCTGAATGACGGGCCTTCTGTTGAGAGCAATGTGGGAATTGCTGAAAATGAAACAATAATATTTTAATTTCTAGTAATCTATGCAATAAATATTTATCTAATGACTTGGTGGGCATTAATGAAAATCGTCGTATACCTGACACTGTATGCGGTGAAGAAGATGCCACCTTCGTCTTGTTGTGTGTACTGTACCCACATCGCGATTGTAAGACTGTCGGTCGATCCAGTGTCAAATGGTACTACTTGAGCAGCACTAGAGCGGAGTGGATCACTAAAGTATAGGTCAAAATCGACATTAATACCTGAAAATAATAAATCAATTATAAAACGATAGTAAATAATGAAGAAAATTTACATTTGGATGCCACCGAGTGGAATAGTGAAACTTACTCTTTCTGCAATCATCTCCAGTGAGGTTGAAAGGACATTGGCAGTAGAATCTTCCAGGTAGGTCGATACACGTTGCTGATGGTGGGCAAGAGTTTTCCTTGCAGTCAATGATATCTTCGTCACAGTTCTTTCCCTTGAAACCAGGGGCACAGATGCAGGAGTAATTTTCACCGTCATCAACACATGTTGCACCATTCTGACATAGTCCAGCCTCACAAGCATCAAACTCGTACTGGCAACCAATGCCTGTATAATCATTTGAACAAGTGCAGTTAAGGCCAGAGCCGAAGTCCTGACACTTTCCGCCATGCATGCAAGGATTTCCGATGCACCGTTCGGGTGCAGTCTCACATTGTTTTCCATCAGTTCCACTTGGGCATCTAAAAGTAACATTGAGTAAATTTATATTACAATACGTTCTTTGAAATAAACATAGTTATTGGTATAAGAGTTGTAAGTACTTACACGCAGAAGTAGTCTTGGAAAAGATTAATACATTTAGCGTTGTTTTGGCACGGCCTGTTCATGCAGTTACCGATGTCATTTTCACAACGATGTCCTGTCCATCCCGTTTGGCAGGTACATCTATAGCCACCTATTTCATCTTTACAAGATCCACCATTAAAGCAAGGGTTAGAAGCGCAATCATCAATATTTGTTTCACAGAATTCTCCTGTGAAGCCTTCTCGGCATACACATTGGTATTTGTTGTCCAGATCAATGCATCGATCAGTGCCAATAGGGTTACAAGGTTCTGTCAAACATTCGTCGATAGCCGTCTCACACTGTAGACCGATGAAGCCAGGTCTGCATTTACAGGAGAATCCGTCTATTTGGTCAATACAACTTGCACCGTTCTGGCAAGGGTTAGAAGTACAGTCATCGATCGTATGTTGACACCTTTTACCGGTGAATCCAGGTTCGCAATTACAAGTATAGTCATCAACACTGTCAATGCATTGACCACCATTTTCACAAGGAGACATCACACACTCGTTGATGTTGATATCGCAAGATGGTCCTGTCCAGCCTGGATCGCAAATGCATTGATGAACAAAGAGTTTATCGACACATATACCGTGTTTGCAAGGTTCATTAGAACAAAGATCAATCTTCTCATGGCAGCGTTTTCCAGTGAACCCTTGTGGACAAGCACAACTAAAATCGTTAACTAAGTCAGTACAGTGTGCACCAAGGAGACATGGTTTTTCAATACAGTCATCAGTGTTGATTTCACATAATTGGCCTTCCCATCCGGGTAAACATTCACATTTATATCTTCCTTGTTGGAGAGCGATACAGGAAGCACCATTTGTGCAAGGATTTCCATTTGCAGTGCACGGATCAATCTGTAAGAGAATTTAAATTTTTTGTCATTACATTGATAGTATATAAAGTGACGTAAGCAGAATAACATTTCAATGCTTCTTACCGTAACATCGCAGTCAATACCAGTGTAACCTGCTCTACATAGGCAGGTGTAGTTGTTGTATCCTGGTTCATCTTTGCACATAGCTCTCTCGGGACAGGTGTCATTACGACAATCTGACTTTTCTTCCTGGCAGTTAATGCCCCCATAACCAGGAGGACAAGAGCATCTGTATCCTTGTGGGAGATCAGTGCAAGTACCACCGTTGTAGCATGGTTTACTAGCGCACTCGTCAATGTCTATCTCACATCTACGTCCTGAGAAACCAGCAGGGCAATAACATTGAACACCGTGTCCCTTTGGCACACAAAGACCACCATGTTGGCAAGCGCTGTTCGAACATTCCACCGGCAAACATTCCTCTAAACCTGTAGCTCCTGTGCCTACAGTTTTCATGTTCGTAGGGCATTCCATGCATTCTATTTGGCCTACTAAGTTTTGGTAGAAATTCCTTGGACATTGTGAGCACGGGGCTAGTCCAGTTGGTGAGTAAGTACCAGGAGCACATTTGACTCTGCACCTATCTCTTCCAGGGGCAGCTGGTTGGTAAGTATATGTGTTGACGGGACAAGCCTGACAGTCCTTGAATCCTCCTACCGGAGGCTCTCCAGTGTAGCTGTTTCTTGGACACTCTAGACAAGGTACTAAACCAGTTGGTGAATATGTACCGTATCCACAAACAGGTATACAGTCCGTGACATCTTTGGAGCCTTCTTCCCTAGTAAATGTTCCTTGCGGACATTTGAGGCAGGAACCTTGTCGAGCTTGGTTTTGGAAATAACCTCTTGGACACATTGTGCAGGACTTCTGTTTTTCTCCGGCGAAAGTACCAGCAGGGCAGTGCACTAAAAGAAAAAAAATCCCATAAAAACAACCGTCAAATACTAATTGTCTTTAGTGGTTGTACCATATTTGTGATTTTGTTACTCACAGCATCTTGGAACGTCGTTGGTATCCATATTCAGAACCTCTCCGACACTGCAGGTAAAGCCCCTTGTAATTGAGCTTCGGATCGCTCTCAGTGGTGGGCATTGGTTGCCAATAGATGAAACGTTGAGCACAGGCTCGATAAGAGCACTAGCGTATGGAACAGATAAATCGAAGATGAGATTCAGTGTAGAACCACAAAGATCATACAGTTGCGTTTGCCTTATCGCGGGAGTAATCGCTAAAACGAAGTCCATTTTGACTACATTTTCATCAAGAAGGCTTGGCATTGCCTTGATAAATGTCACGTTTATGTTTACGTTGACTGCAGAACAGCGTTGAGAGAGTCTTTCATTAAGGATGTTATCGTATTGAGCTAGTAAATCCTTGTATTGTGGCAAGCAAGCGTTGGAGACGGCACCAAGAGCGCGGTACTGTACACTAGCCACGACGTGGTATGTTGCTTGTTGTGTATCTGAAATAAATATAGAGATTAGAGCATTAATTCAAAAGAGTTAATGAACATGGAAACAACATGATCAATAATATGACAAAGATTTCACCTACTTTCAGAAACACAGTCTGGTACTACTGCAGTTGGTACCCATTGACGCTTGGTTTCGCATACGAAAGTCTTAACTGGTTCTCCGTCAGTGAATCTAAAGCCGGGACTGCATGTAGCTATACACTGGATTCCCCTGTCACCAGGTAGGCAGTTAAGAGCACCATTGGCAGGGGCTTGTAGTTCCCAGTCTACGCAAGGTGTGGCTTGTACAGAAACTTGGAAGTGACATTGGGCTTTATTTCCATACTTATCAGAAGCAATCACGGTAACATTTTCATAACCGCGAATAGGAATAACTGCTCGTTCAGGAATGAATTTTAAGAATACATCGCCAGATGCATCTGTTGCGTTAATTCTCCTTCTGGTTTCGTTGAAATTAACAGCGTAACTGACTTGTTTGTCTACTAATTCGATGACGTAGCTCTGTGGGCAACTAAGTTTTGGAGGTGTGTAATCGGGTACTGTAATATTCACTTCGCAAATAGCAACATTTCCGTCAAAGTCGAAGGCCACGTATCGTACTACCATATTGTGGAAAACTTGAATAGGTGTTCTGAAATGTGCAGGTGTAACTTCTAGCCTAGCGATGGCGCCTGAATTATCAATCGCAGTTGGTTCAGTAAAGTTTACTGGTAGCAGACCGCCGTTGACGTCAGTTTGCACAACAATTGGCTGCTGTGGGCAATTTTGGAACACTGGTGGTTCATTATCAACACATGGTGAATATCCATAATCATAGCCTAATAAAGGTTCGGCTGATGGCTCATCGCAGCCCATCAGTTCGAATTTCAAGCATGCATTATCCATGAAACTAACAATGCCTAATATAACAAATCTTGCTTGAACATATTTAGGTAGTGTAATCATGGCCAATTCACCGTAGTTACCAGGATCTCTCATTGTTAGGTTAAAGTTGGGAAAGTACACAACATAATTTTCATTTTCGGCTTGTTTGTAGAAGAATCTGATTTCTGTAGGACGTCCCACTATGTCTGACGTTACGACACCCTTGACAAGTATAGCCTTCACTCTATAAACTTTGCCCAAGTCAACACTGACGTATGTAAATGCTTCTTGTTTACCACACCAACCAGTAACAGAATTAAGCCTGATATTTTTTGCTTCATAATTGGGCCTTTCTGACGTTGCGTTGATAGCAGAATCAGGAATTCTGCCTGAAGCTAAACCAAGTGGCTTGATGACTTTACATTCAGGGTCGCGAATACACGAGATTGGCCTGGGGTTTATCAGAATATATCCAGGTCTTGAGCAGCCAAATAGTACTTCGGATCCTTGCTCATAACTTCTCGCGAGTTGATAACCGTCGGCAGGCCTTCCAGGATCTTCACATACTGGACCTTCACACCTTAGATCTCCAAAGTCCCATATGCCATTAGCTTGACAACGGACCACATTATCGTGTTTGCTTGTTTGTCCCGCAAGTTTGAAAGTATTTTGACATCCAAAGAAAAAGGAGCTCTGGTATCTAGTGTCAAGATATTGTCCATATTCTGCCCCAGGCGTGGGCATAGGTACGCCACAGTCTTTTCTCGGACATTGAGGTTGCGCACCCGATAACCAATAGTCAGGAAGACCCTGAAATGTAGTACGTATGTGGTTCATAAGTCAATACTGACATAATTAAAAAAAAACGTATTTATTCATTAATGGTATTAAAATTCGCTTACCGGTTTAGGATCGTAAACACATTGTCTAAAAGATGACGTAACAGTGTTTCTTAGTTGACGTCCGGCGGCTGTGCAAGTGATGGTGACATTGTCTCTGTATGGCAGTAGCACACTTTCAGGATCTTCCCTGATTATCTTCAGGCCATCGTTTTTGTCATCAGACAAAGTTACACATCGAGCATCTGTAAAATAATGTCAGTTAATATTTTATTTGGATTACCGAAAAAAATAAAATTTGTAAAATGGTGGTAAAGAAAAATATGCTTCTTACATTGGCATTCAGGGGCGGTTCCGTTCCACGTTCCGCTTGAAGTACATAGAAGTGATGAGAATCCAGACATGACGTATCCAAAGTCACATTGGAATTCTACAATATCTCCGAAATGATAGGAAGATTTTGTCGATAAAAGCTTGCCATTTTCAGGTGATGCCAGAGATGGACACATCACAGGAACGCAAGATTTGTTTTTTTGATAAGTATCACCGTCTCGGTTTCCAGTTTCCGATTTTTCAATGGAAAATCCAGCAGTTCCATTAGAAGAATAAAGTTCGAACCCAAGGTTGCAGGCGCATGAGAAGTTTCCAGGCCTAAAATAAATACAAAGAGTATGTAAATAAACAATTTTTAGAACAATACATCATTTATTTGACGGTTCTACTTACGTATTTATGCATTTCTGATCACAGCCACCATTGTTTTCGGAACACTCATTGATGTCTGAACAATCTAACCTGGCGCATCCCATGACTTCGAGCTTTAAGCATGGGGCTCCTACGTAATCTTGTATTTTGAATTTAACATACTGAGCTTCGACTGGCATAGGTAAGTTCAGAACTGATAGAGTTGGTTCCAAGATGCGGAATTCTACTGCAGTACCGTCAGGGTTTGTGTAATCTTTAAAAACGTCGGTTAAATCATTGGTATACTGAATTCTAATGGCAGATGTGAAGGCGATGTTGCCATCTGCACGCATAACGCTCATTGTTCTAAATCCTCTGATGACAGTTGGAGCTCTTAAATCGATAAGTACCCAGTTCGCTCCAGCTTCAAGATTGTTACCACACCAGCCTCCTCCATTGTTTAGGCGCACCATCTAGTTAAAAAGAAATGTAATTAGTCTTAGTTTTGTCGATACTTACCTGAACAACTACTATTTAATGTTATTGTACTTACTCCTTTCGAGTATCCTAGTTCAGGAGTCGATGTTGTAATCGATTCATCGGGAATTGCTCCATTTATTAATCCCAAATCACCTACTGGTCTACATTCTAAATTTGGAGTAAATCCAGGTTTGCACGGACAGGAGAAGCCTCCATGTGTGTTTTTGCACTCGGTTGAGGCACCATCACATTGACTACTTAAGCACTCGTTCATATCGTCACAGGTTGGAGCTCGGTCGAATTGTTGGTTAGGTCCACACTTAAGTACGCTAGGTCCATTCAGTTTAAAACCTGAAAGGAAAAGAAAACAGTAAAATTAAAGTTTTAAATAAATTTCACTCTAAGTAAACAAGTTCGTAGTTAACTGAAACTTTAATAATACCTTTGTAACATTGAACGCGAGCTTCATCTCCAAACATGTAAATTCTTGATTGATCAACCATGAAACCATTTTTAATTTCGGGGAAATTAGGGCAAATAGCTTTCGAACACGATGGAACTTCCCCAGACCATGTTCCATTGCTCATGCAAAGAAGAACTGGCTGACCGGATCGCACATATCCAGGTTCACATTCGTAGCGTACGATTGTTCCGTAGCTTCGTCCGCCTCCATTTAAAATAGTGACATTAGCGTGTGCCACGTCCGGAAGAGCGACGCATTGCGATGCTGTAAGAAGTTTAAAAACAAAATGAATTATATTGAAACACCTTTATACGATAAAATGATAAATACGAGAAATAAGTTGGCTCTACATATAAATAAACTATTTGCTTTCTTACCAAGGCAAGTTGGTGTTCTTTCCCAACGTCCATCGGAAAGACAGGAAATTCTTTCAATAGGTTGACCCGTTGGGAATGCGAATCCAGCGTAACACTGATATGTAGCGACTCCTCGGTAAGTAACGTTAGTTGAGCCAATGGAGAATCCATTATCGATTTGCGGAACCGGACCGCAGTAAACCTCTGTAAATAATATAATTATTAGCTTTCGGTAAAACGGTACTAAACAACGTTGATTAACCAAAAATCCTATAGAATTTGCTTTAATCTATTTACCTTGACAGCTAGGAATATAAGTGGTTGACCATTTTCCACCATCCATACATTTGGTTGTGATGCGTGATTTGCCAGTGGCAAACTCTTGACCAATTGGACATGAGAATGTTATGACTGTTCCAAAGGCGGTATCCCTGTTCGATGCTAGTGCACCAAGTCCAGACTTTAGGGGTGGGCAATCTAAAATAAAAATATATTTTATTGACCGTCTTGTTTTACTGCCAATTGAAATGTAATTTAATGATTTAATTCTTGCTTAACTTAAATACTTACCAGCTGAGAATGTCGCCTTCCATCCTTCTCCGTTATGTAACGCGTCAGACACAAACCGAATAAGCATTTCGCCACTTGAAGCCGTTAGAGTAATCCTAGGTTTGACAATAAATCCATTTTCAGAATGTAACCTTAGGCCATTTGTGCTAGACCCGTCAAAAACTTGAACGATGTCTGAAGGGTGTATGTTAAATTCATCGAATTTCAAGGATAGCGGACCGCCGTTAGGATTTTTTATCCTGTACAAACATTCTTGGTTGTTTGGATAGTTGGTTAAGCCATAAGCAGGCGATGTAAATGTTCCATTAGATGCTATTATTGTTGCTCGGCATCCTTGTGAGTACCTCATATTGAATCCCTTTTTAGAATCACCGAGGCTAGTTCTGAAGTACATGTAAAGATGGTTTGTTGTTGATATAATTACTTTAGTGTTTTCTTCTCCCGGTCCTGTTAATCTTGCAAGTACTGGACTGGATGGAGTGTTACCGTCTTTGACAACTATATAGTCGCGGTTCATTCCTAGCTCTAAGTCTTCAATTTCTAGTGATACTATTCTGCCTGGTTGAGCTTCAATAATGTACATGCATTCTAGTCCGCCGGGGTAACCATTAGGATAGCCAGGTGAGGTCAATACTTGGCCTTGAGGTGTGGCTCTAAGCAAACCACCGCAGTTCGATGACTCAGTTTTCCAAGAAGCACGGAAACCTTTCCTTTCTACAGATCCGTCCGTGCTGAATTTAATAATCATGAAGTTCGATGCAGATACGTAAACTTTATTAGATAAGTCTTGTTTTCCTGACAGGGTCGCCAAGTTTACAGACTTATCTTCGGTTCTGCCTCCTACTAAAATTTGAACAGTATCGAAAGACTTTTCAGTTTCAAAATCTTGGAACTGTAAGACTATGTTTTGACCTTGTGGTCCTTCAAGAGTCCATTTGCATTCACTAAAAGGTGGATATTTATGAGGATAGTTAGGACTTTCAACTACATCTCCGCTACTGGCCATATAAAAGTGGCATTCGGCAGCACAGTCCATTTCGTCCGAAGCATCACCGCAGTCGTCTTGCTTGTCACATTTGAAGGCTGCGTTTATACATTTTCCATTTGAACAATGGAAGGTTCCTGAAAGAGAAAGGGATTGTTACTCTATTGTTTTATTAACCTTAGTATTGGCGTTTGTGTTTCCGCTTGTTCGAAGCTAATTCAATTAACGAAGCTAATTGAACAAAGGCAATCTTTTGTTACTTACCCGCTGGACAGGCAGATGCTCTGCACATAAAAGGTAGTAAAGTTTCGCAGGTCGTTAGTTCCCATGACTGGCTATCAGATGACACATGAACATCGACACATTCTCCATACTTAGGATTCGGTTGCTTTAAATCCCAAAATCCAGCATACTGTGAAACAAGTGTTCCAGCTGCTGATTCTAGAGTATTTGTTCTAAGGTCATCGACAGTCGCTAAGCCAAGCCAGTAATGGTTATTGGTTGGACTTGCCGGCACCATCCTGGCAGTAATATTGTTTTCGGCGTACGTGTCTACAACCATGAGTTCGCTGCCGTATCTGTAACATAAAAACATGAAATTAATTAAATACAAAAGTTGATGTTAATTCAATGTAACAGGGGTTCAGTATATAAGTATTACCTCCGACATAATTCTGCTGCCTTTTCCCATGAATGCCTTATGTTGAAGAATTTATAGCAATGGAGACCCTTTAGCTCCCAACCTGAAAATAACACAAAACGTGAATGTTAATCTTCTACAAACACAATTTCCTGGGTGAAAACGAGGTATTTACTTCTATTACGTAATGCTATGACGTCGTAAATACAACTTCTATTCTGGGAAATAATATGTGTAAATGAACGTGCAAACACGTACGTCGATATTCAAATAAATGGCTTTCTAAAAGGGCTAGTGAAATCGGTGGGCATTTTACACGGCTTAACGGAAAGAAGGTTTTCTCCAGAATACTTTTCAAATTTCGTTATGCACAGTATTTTAGTAAATCTTGTCTCTATTTAGGTTGGTTTAAACTCGAAGCCGTTAAGTTATTGCCCTCATATAATTTCAAGTTGATCAACAAAGTTTTTACAGCGACCTCATTCCTAAATTTCAAGGATCTTCAAGGGTGCGGGTAGATTGCTGGTGTTAGCATTAATGAATTGCCTTTATTTATGCTAAGCAACTTGGTTAAATAATGTGCAAGATGTCAGGTATAATCAAATGAGCAAATACGCAAATGAGCCTCGGGAACCGAACGGAATGAACGGTGCTCTACGTGTTTCGTTTGCTAATAAACTTTCTTCAATATAACAGCATTTAAGAGTTAGGTATTTGGCAAATTGTAAATATTATCTGTGTGATTAGCAACGGTTTTTCTTCATTAGCATCAGTGATGTAAATATACTTGACTTATTACTGGTCTCCTCATTTAATTAGATAAAAATTTTATTTTTACATTGAGCAGCCATGATTTAACGTCATTCCCGTTGGTTTTTTTTGGTATCTTTTGAAATAACAGTAAAATTTGTTACGAAAATATAGTTTATCAAGCAGTACACGAATAGGGAACTAAATTATTTTAAAATGAGTTCGCAGAAAGAAGCAGTTCATTGGCGTGTACAAAGTCCTGCAAAAACGCGTGAACTCCCTTATAGAATATGCTAACCTCTGTTCCGCAGTTACTTTTACATCCGCCTTTGTGTTCGTTCACACACAAAAAGTGTCAACAAGCCTTCTGACAGCAAGCTTGAGACTCACAGTGTGAAAATAAAACCGATAATTTGATACTAAACAATGAATAGCTGTAAGAAATCCATGTAGAAAAATTTTCAAGGCAAAATTGCTGTTTGATTAAGTCTTGGGCATCACCTGATACAATTTGATCTGTATGTATGTTTATCAATGCACAATACAACAAACATTGAAACCACTTTAGTAGGTGTATTTTAAAAGTCGATAATCATTGTTTGTGGGAATTTTCTTTCCAACAAAGCACGAAAACAATTTCACGAAAAATTAACACTCACTAATAAGTTAACCGCACCCCAATTTGTTAGGGTCATGGCTCGTGAACGACAGATTACTACAAATTACACTATCGACTGGGCTGACACTCGGTTTGTGATGTGAAAATGTTGAAAACATGCTCAGGACCGATAAGGTCACCACGATAATGCAATGAATTGGGGCTTTAGGTAACGCAAGATTTCCCTTTTGTAATGAGTTTTTGGTTTTATGTAGATTGGGCATTGTGGTTCAAGTAATATTGCGAGTTTTACCTTTGTAAACGCTATAGAAAGGACGATATCATCAAGAGTTGTACTGAGGATGTTTTCACAAATTTATATGCGAACAGGACTCTCGTTAATGGATTTGCGGTTTAATCTCTTTAAGACTGTATTTGTTCATAACCGAGAACATGAATAAGGTTCTAATTTGTTAGATGACATCTTTTTAAATTTATGTAGGTATATCCATTGACTTACAATTATATGGACGTCGGGTCCGCGCTAAAAAGTGTCCGCACTTTTAAGGCGCTAAAATCGTATACAGAGCGCCAAACTCCGCTTTATTCCTCCGTCTTCATTTGTTCGACTGACAGCGCGATACTGCGATGACATTACAATTTAAATTTCGAATAGGTTGACTTGGGACATTTTTTTCGTGGTTTTTGTATTAGACCCGTCGTCCATTTATTTGTAAGTCAATGGGTATATCGTTAATTTATTTCTTCTTCAGGATGTGTTCAGTATCAAAACAAAGAATTATACAATGGGTTGTCCCGTAATAAATGTTCATAATGTATTAACTCCAATAAATACTAAAATTATAAGGTAATATTATTTTATAAATAGTCGTCTTACGGTAGCTTATTGGCGGAGCCTTTTTTAGGTTCCGTCATTATCTTGCTTTCCCCTTAGTAATTAGAAGCTTCTGCGGGTTTTGCTACTCAACGAGTAATTGTGGAAGTCAATCGATATAATACATTAAGAAGCTATATGCAGGAACCTTCCACATGCAAAATAGACGACTGACCGAGTTGCGGACACATACCGTGGTTGAACTATTTTTTTACCCAAATAAACGGGTGAAACGTTAAAAGAAAAAATGATTTTGTGGTCAAACAAAGCGAACGAAGTGAGAACGTTCGCATTGTTTCCAAATCCGCACATATCCGTGCGTGTGTGTTATAAAAAAGCGAATCGCCTCAAATAGAGCGTGTGAGTTTGGCGACTACGTGGTCGTGAAGAGCGCGCTGTGTTCACGCTTCACCGGTCGGCGCAACACGATGCAATGTGTTTGACCTACTTACTACGATACTTTGAAATGCAATCCCAACTAGCTGTCGCATCGAATCATTAGACAATTCTCAAAGAAACACGATATGAAAATAGGAAATGAAACTATTTTTTCGGATCTAAATCGAGTATATTTATTTTTTCAAACAAACCAACTTTTCGGACACTTTACACGGCTGACTGAAATAGAAGTCATCTACCAGTCTAATATTATATATGTGAATTAAATACCTTATTTTCAAATTTTTTCAAGGCATCATTCTTATTTTGCGCTACACGTGTTTTAAATGTTTTTATTTTAACAATGTAATTCTTTTTATTAAATTTAATTTTATTAATTAAGTAATAATGGTAATAAGCATTAATTAAAACATATTAATTACTAGGTACTGCTGGCGGCTTGGGATTTTTCATCAGAGGAAATATTGGATCCCAAACTGGTGGTACAGAGAAACCATCTTTCTTCTTGAAATTAGGATGTTTTTAATTTTAATGGCCTCTCGCAGCGTTCTGGGTAGATAATGGACTTGGGATTTGTCGAACTTAATTGAGTGTGTAGGTACATACAATAAATAAGCCAACGCAATTTATTGCCTTGTCTTAAGATGCATTGCGGAATCTCAACTCGTTAAATTGAGAAAACTTACATTACTCGGCTTGTTTGCTCGGCATACTGTCATTTGCTTAAGAAATTATACGTTTGGCAGATATCCTATTTACGCTCCATGTCAGAGGAAATTGTTACCCTACATCTAAGCATCTGTGTACCTATTGAATACTTATGTGCTCGTATAAATTATATACAAGTATATTACATCGTTATATATCACTGGAGCAACAGGTAATCAAGCTACCAGTTACGAAAATTTGTTGCTCCGCAGGGAAATCGAGAGCTCCGTCATTGAAACTTCCTAGGGTTAAGTATCTTCAAAGTAATGATTAGTCGGCGCGGGCGTCACAGAAGTGTGGATAGCTTTTACTCCACTGCGCACATACCATTACGGTTACTCTAAAATTTTTTTCGTATACTAAATATTATTTCATAATGAACATAATGATATTTCGATATGTTCCAAACGCAAGTATCAGGTTTTCGTATTTATGTGTAACCTTTGATAGACACATGACACGTCGTAGTTACGACATATATATTGACACCTCTGATGGCATAACTTTGCGAGAACCATCGAAATTCACGCTTCTAGAAGACTATTAACAAGTTTGTGTCCCAACTAACAAATTATAGAGTCGCCAAACTGCGTGGGTGTGTTCGATGACCCAAATCCAAGTTGTGTGCGCCTGCATAAGACATAGACTGCAGTTGTGCGCAGGCGTCACGCATTGTCTCATACAAGGCTAATAATTACGTGCATAAGATGGGTACGTTGGCCTCATCGCGTTTTACCGCACGATGTATAGTGATGGCATAGGAAAACAGAAATATTTTACTCGCCATTTGCTAACGGAATTTCACGGTACAACATTGGTTTAAAAGTAAAACAACTGAGAAAGGTTCGCGAGTCTAGAGTTTAGGAGGTGAGGTGTGGGGGACTGCCCCTTCTGTCCCGCAATCCGCGCGTTTAAAATTAATATGAATAAAATAATATCAGGCGGAGGAAATTAGACACAGATCCGATGTTGACGGGGCAGTGGGCGGCGTGGCGCGGGCATTAAACCGCTGGGCCATTTTCCAGTTTTGGAATAAATGTGATTTTAATAATTAGAAGGCTTCAGTTGAAAACTAAAATTTAGCAAGTTCTCTATAGTACTTGAAGAGAAATATCTCGATATAAATATTATATCCAAAGTTAGATATTTTATTTATAAATAAATCGTTTTAGATTTTTATTTTAGCCTATTTTCGGGATTTGATATGATCGAGTAAAGTACTTCTGTCACCAAGCAGTGATGTCAGCAATGCTGGTGAAATTACAGGCACATGGGACTTGTCAACTTATGTCTCAGGGTGACGGGTGCAGTGGCAGTGCCTCTCATATCTTTGCGATTTAAAGCTCTGAATGACATTGCAACTGTTATGGACAGGCATGTAGCTTATCATCAGGCGCACGACTTGGTCGTCCCATCACTTGATATTATAATCAAATGTACATTCTATCGTGTAACGAATTAGCACATTCTTTAGGCAATCCTTAGGTGTACCGCATATTTTTTGTAAGAACGTTATTTAATAGTAAATACTTAAACCATTTAATTTAGCTAAACAGTTTTTCCCGCTTCTCTGACTCGCCTTAAATATCTAAAGCTGAGACTCATAAAGAGAAACTCGACTAAGCAAAGACGGCGACATAAGTAAGTTTTTCGTATTTACAAACGAACTTTGCCTAAGTTTAAGTAAGAAACTACGGAGTAAACTCAAAGTTTAATTTAATTTCTTGCTTAAAATTAGGCAAAGTTCGTTTTG